TAAAATGCATAAACAGTAGTGTACTTATCAAGGAGTCATTATGTAATAAGAACAGAAATGGAAAAACCTCAAAATGGAAAAGAATTGTTTAGTTTTCATATTATATAACATCATTAAAATTTTGTAAACTTAAAAACTATCATTAAAAATATTGATAATTAAAAAAAAATTGTGTGTTAGTGTCTATTCATTTTCAAGTAAAAATTTCCCACATTCAAACCAGTGAGCCTAAGCTCAACTAACTTGTCCTACACCAAATGACTACTCTAACCAAACCTAAAAGATGTCTGCTGAAACTCCGAGAGAGTAAGCTCTAATGGTGCTGGCAACATAAGAGGTTTAGAGATTTAGAGGTTTAGAGACGGTTGCTGCTGTTACTGATACAGTATAGGTAATTGTTTTCCAAGAGAAGACTATTCTGGGTAAGGTTTTCCCCTAAATACTCCATGCCAGTAAAACCTTTGTGAGCTTTCCCTTAGTCCTTGCAATATCTTTAAGCACCCAATGAACAATTCAATGGTCAGTCTTCTTGATGACATATTAAACACTATGTACTGCTATATTCAAATGCCGGGATTATATGCAACTGTTTATCAAAATTGCTTATTAGCTTTATATTTAACAAAAGTCTCAATTTTAAATACTTACAGTAATTTATGAAACAAGCAGAGGAATATGATATTGAAGCCAAGCAGTATTAAAATTTAAATTGAATTAATGTACTACCTATACAGGTACTATGCCACAAAATGCACTGTAAGTGCATCAGACATTTGGATGTGTTACACATCTCAACTTAGCTATAGCAATATTTTTTCTACCTTTGTATCCCCTTTCCCAGTATTGTACAGTATAGCATAAGGTGGCTGAAATGAAGGGTAACATTGACCCTCCCAATTTTCATCTTTTGTTGCTCTTCATACTCGTTGCTGGACATATTGAGGATAAATGTGGGATGAAAAAAAAGAATATAACTGAAGAAAATAATATAGAAAGCAAAAATGACAAATACGTACACTGTAAATCTAAGGCCTTAACAACCTTATGGCACTCGCTCCCAAACAATGTAACTCCTTGATATACAACAAATTAACAGTGCATTGGTGATCCACCATTAGCTTATTTTGCCTCATTACCTTCATTACATATTCAGATGCTATATGAAAAACATAAATACAAGTACATTACTTTACAGATTTTGGTTTGGAGAACAGGTGCAGTAGCTTCCATTAAAAGACAACTGTCCTGAGCTAACTGAACTGTCTTCACTGACAAACCAGGTTCTCCTATACTATATTTGAATGTTTTATACCTCTTTATCAATTAGGTAAAAAAAAAAAATAAATAAATAAAAAACTTTTATAAAGCACTTAAGCCATGTGAAAGTCGTTGTTCATTTTGTTTCTCTTTCAATGAATTGTGGACAAATGCATTTTTTGTGGTCTCTTGTAAGGCTGGGGACACTTATCTTAATCTACTGAAACTCATTAGGAATGACATAACAAATACGAGCAGTAGAGCCAAATAACCTTGGGCAAAATCTGCCTGAAACGCGGGGGATTGACATTATCATACGTTCAAGAAATAAAAAATGTAGTCTTCTTGGCTTTGTAAGATTCCCCTTGCATCTGTTATTAATATGTTAGTGCAATTTACTGTACAGGCATGCTAGTTGTGCCAAGTATTGCTACATCTTCATAATGTTGTAATATTTGACACTAGGTTTATCTAATTTACTTTATCATCTTCATTACTGCTTGGCCTGTTAGTCACTTGGGCATTTAAAACCTATTCACTTTTATTTTGTGTTTCTCACCGAACTCTCCCTAAATGGTACCCAAGTAAAAACATATGCCAAGGCATGCCCATCACTGGATCTACTGTGGCTATTGCCTCTGAAATTTTGCTTCTATTTTGTTTGTTTGTTTTTTGTACCTGTAAGAGAAAATAGGGAATGATTGCAGTTATAATCCCTCTTAACTATGAGAGTGATGATTCATCTCCATACTTTGTAAAAGAGAATAATACTGTACTGTACTGTACTATACTAAACTTGGATATGCATGGCACTAATCACCAGATGGGAATACCTTTGTAAAGCTTCCTGACATTGCATTCATACTGATATACCTAAGATTGTCCACAAACTAAGTAGAAACATTATTGCACATGTGTAGTCAATATGATTATTGGTGATACTAGTAAAAAAAAGATGTACAGTATAGAATATATCTCTACTTCCCTAAAACAAATTCAAGAATACTTGTAACTACATGTGGTGAAAACAATAACATTCTTTTCTCTCCTTAAACAAATTAAAAAATATTTGAAACATAAGAAAAAATAATAGCTATAGGAAGATTTTGTTGATAATTTCATGAGTGAATTGATACTTCATAACAGATATCCAGTACAGTAATTCATTTTGGTTTAATATTTTTTTCCAACTTCAAATTTCATTACTGCACCTAAGAGTTAAGTGTGGATCTCTAAGAGTTTATCTGTCAACAATGATAAATCTTATCAAGCTAAAAGTAGCAAAATATGGTAATCCTATGTTTACCAAAATTAAATTATTCCAATAGCGGGCACACTACCTACCCAGTACTATACCATACCCCTTCAACTTATAATATACAGAATATATGATACATATAATATGGTACTTATTACATAAAAATTGCATAAATTAAATATCTATATTTACATTAAAGTACTGTACAGTTCAGTACTGTATAAGGTATTCTTAAACACTTGAAACTAATACAGGAAAAATTGTTATGACTAGCAAACCATCCCTGGAACTGGAGAGCATCTGTTAAAATCTTGGTCTATACTGTATATGTCAACCATTAAACCAGCTTGTATGTCACTTTTCTTACAACAATATATAATTGCATATATGCTGAATGGTGGAGTTTCCCCTTGACAGCAATTACAAAAAAATTCTTAATCTAGTATTTTTCTTAATGTATTTCATTTATTGTGGAAAAATATTGTTTCAATGCCTATAACTCCTTTCATAGAAAGCATTTCTTACATTTGTCTACAGACTTATATTTCAAACTACTGGGGTAAATCTTTACTGGAATTTCCCTACTGATAGATTAGTTAACTTAATGGTGACAAAGGTATCCTACAAGTACCCACTGTACAGTATGTTAAAATGCCAGTGATGGAGTTCAGTGCAGATCATATTAAATGTCATGTGATATAAGGACAACTAGTGTATAAAGTCACAAATCATTAATTTAAATTTTTTTTTATAGTTGCAGGAACTTGGTTGATGATGCTCTGAGGTGAGGTAGTTGTGTAACAGTATGTGTATATGAGTACTTGTGCAAACTATAGTGTAAGTACATTACACAAAATAAATATACTGTATAGTACAGTATATATATAAACAACGGTTTCATAAATTTCATTTGCTTACCCCATCTAGTACAGTATATTAGAGCTTCAGTACTGAATTTGCAATAGAGTACAGTAATATATGCTGACGAATACTGTATAAGGTGCTTATAATGGTCTATTATATTACTGTAAATAATAGAACATAAGAACAAATACTGATATATCAATTAGAATATTGTGTACGGTCAAATTTACTTATAGTACGAGTTTTCTGATTCTCAGAGAAAAACCGACATTAACCATAAAATGTATTCTGCAATGCCTTTTTCCTCTCGGGAACTCCCCTAAGTTGGGTGGCCATGACAAAATAGCCTTCATGTGCCCTATAATTACAAACAATCTCCTTTGCTCCCTGTATTCCCTTTATCCCCCTCCCCATTGATGTATTGTTTCACTCTGGCCTCCCATGATGTAACAATTCTTACTTTAACCATTGTAACTGCTTACAATGTCCATCTTGTTTATTCTTCTTTCTACAGCTGCCCATACCATCTCCGTGAACCACTCTCCACCCACTCCACAATAATGTATACATAGCTATCAAAAAATCTAAGATTCCATTGTGAGATTCTCCATAGCAGAATAAGCTAATTAAGGTTACTTTAAGGACACAATATAAGCTTGCTATAATCATCCACTGGGACTTTATACACTGTACTTCTTATAATGGTTTTCAAAATAGTATATAGCTACATAATCATCATGTCAACCTGTGTCATCCCAGGCCTACTCCTAGCTCTCATTCCATCCACATTCAAACATATGCTGTTTGTTTCCTCCATTCTCTCCACATGATCAAACCATTTCAGCCTACCTCTACACTACACCTAGCCAATACTCTCAATACTCGCTCACCTTGTCAGTTCAAAACAGGGTTTCCTATCTTTCAAAGTCACATTATATATTCATCTTTTCATTCTTAGTTCAGTTCATTCAAGCCTATGTATGTCCACTCTCTCCCTTATCAATTTCTTAATCACTCTTTCCACAACTTTCATAATGTGATTCATCAGCCTCAGGACCCTGTAGTTTCCAAGTTCAAGCGCATCACCTTCTCCCGTTTAAGTACATGATAACATAGATGTAAAATAGTTTCATTCCCATATAATCATGTGATAATACATTAAAAATGAGTGGAAAGAGTTTTCACACATATCCATTGAATGAGATACTGTATTGTACCACAAATTACTTTTTAAGATGATAACTTAAAAATAAGCTACAACAGTTACTAATGATAGATACTGGGGTAAGTTTACTTTCAATTCATTCAATATTCAGGATCATACAACATTAGGAATACAGTAATCTGACAGATGTATCACAATATTATGAGATGCATCTATTTTTATTTTATTCCCAACTGGAAAATAGGGACATTTAAAAAAAAAAAAAAAAAAAAATTATATATATACGGGTATATATATATATATATATATATATATATATATATATATATATATATATATATATATATATATATATATATATATATATATATATATATATATATATATATATATATATATATATATATATATATATATATATATATATATATATATATATATATATATATATATATATTTCATATTTTTTTTTAAAAACAGTAAGTCCTGGAAATGCCAGAACTTCAACACCAATAATTTAATATTTAGTTAATGGAGCTACTTGTAGTTACTTACTAGTGAGGGTTTATGTAACTCACCTTAGGGAAACTAAAACTTCCTTAAGACTTATACCTTAACTATTAATTTTTACACCATTCATTATTTCTACTATCATCCTTCCTCTCCTCCCACATGAGAGGAATGGATCCTGGCAAACTCAGAGCTCAAGAATAGATGGAAATACACACTGTAAAAGGTCCATCTCTTAAGATAAATAAATGTACAACTGACTGATTCTCCTCCATATACTCCCTGTAGAAAATGTCCAAGCGTCTGAAAGGTTTACATATGGCAATAAGACCTAGCTCTTGACCTTTAACCTTCAGTAACATGGTTACCAAATATACTGTACTTTTGTTCTGTACATAATATTTTGTTCCAACAAAATCTATTAACTCATTTTTGGCATTTATGAGACAGGCCTGTCTAAAAGTTTGCATAAAGTTGAAAAACCTTAAGAACTAAAAGTTGTCAGGTCAACAGTTATGGTTATCAAAGATTGATCCAATCAAAAAAAATATATCTGTAAATGTGAGATTGATCAAGTCAGTTCTATATAGTTTACTGTAATATGTATTCTGCTTTAAAAGGCTTATCTTTTGTACAAATTGTAGTGCATATATGGATCAACATAACTTAGAAACATATTACTCTATCCTAAAACTGTAACAAGAACATAAATCTGACCTCACATACAATTCTGTAATGATTTTTCATTATCACAAATTGTTGACACATCCACACTTTAAATTAATAAGACATTCATTACAATTCTTTTAATCTTGTTAAATTTAATGCTACTATATTACTTTAGAGTCCCCCAAAAAGTATCATTAGCCATGGGGCAGATGTGATTCGAGGCTTTCCGAGCAATGTTACTTGACCTGTTTCTCAACGTTTGGTAGTTCTATATCCGTGACCTTTGAACATAAATGAGTATATGTTTCTGAACAATATGAATCCTCCGAGGCTTCAGATCATATATTACATGACTCAGAATGGATGTTGTAAATGGATACCAATGCCATGCCAGTCATCAACGGGATCTTACATCGAATGGAGCGAGGAATTATTGGGGAGACATCACGAGATGTGAGAGGTGCTATCATTGCCCTTCACAACGAGGGTATCATAACTCTGAGATAGCACGGCAAACTGGGGTGAGCAAACACACAGTATCACGATGGGTTAGGCGCTATGAAACAACTGGTGCCACACTGAAACCTAATAACCAAAAATGTCTTACCCAGCACAATAAAATACAACTACTATAGCTGAATGGATTTCTTGTTATACTGTATTGAAGTATTTAGTATGCCATACAAGGATGATCCCCTCCCCCAATTCTACCCCTATCTCTAGCTGTTGCTGATATGGCAAGCAGGCATATTATGATGATACACTGGGTATCATATCATAGCATTTCGTCCAGCATTTTAAATCATAGCAACAGAAAATCTAACGATACTTTTTGGGGGACTGTACATTCATTTACTTCAATACAAAATTATTCCAAATCTTTAATATTCCCTTTACATTTCCATTTAATAGCTCCACCCATTAGTTTTGAGAAAACTAACTGATACTTCCCCACTTTTATATCATTCATATTTACAAACTCCCTTGGCATTTCTCACTCAGTCAAAAACACCTCAAAATGTAAGTTTTCCTTGACTTTAATATAATCAAAATATAGCAGCCTAAACATGTTGCCTAGCTTAAGCTGCAGGCAGGGTTTATGTAAGCAGCCATTAGTGGTATCTAACTGAATACTAGAAGAATTAAATTTACTCAGCAGGGCTAAAACCATACAGAGAAGCAACCCTGGTGAGAAGTTCAGCCACAACCTGACGGAGATGTGGATCATGTGCATGTGCCGTCAGGGAGCGCATGGTTGGAAATAAGAGTGGAAGCAATGGACGTAGTTCAGAATCCTTCAGTTGGCTTATTAGATCAAACACCGTCACAACCATTTCTGTCCACACTTTCAGGTGTGCCTCACTGTCCTGTTGAGGAAGAATATTTTTTTTTTCTTTCAAAGATATGTGGTAAACATTAAGCTTACAGCTACCTAATTTTGATAAAAAAAATTTTGCTGTCTAAAATTGCGAATATAGTCCGACCCCACCCAATGTATCTACATGCACCACGAAATCAACTAAATGTGTCAGAAGAAATGTGACAAAACTCCAGTAACATGTTCAGAAATTCACATACATGCATTCTTAACTTGTTACAGTGTGGGCGGTGAGACCCACATGACACACTTTCTCACCCAGTTACAGTTTAGGATCATAGAGGAAAAGTGCACTTGCTTTTTTGGGGGGGAAATTCTATATAAAAAAATATTTAGGGGGAATGTCCTGGAAAGAAATGCAAGTCATGCTGCTATCATGCCAAAATTACCATGAACCTAATACTGTATTATTAGTTGGGATTATCCTAAGGGTTACTTTCTATGATAATTTTCTTATGCCAATGGTGCAGTACTTCACTATAAACACAAAATTTTATAAAGTTAAAATACTAATGTGAAAAAAGGAAATAAATGACAATTTTGTTTATTGAGGTTTCTACCTCCAAGCCATAATTTCTCTCCTCAATCCGGTATGCAATTGGATACAATTATTTAAGGTATGAAACTGAAATAGTATGAAAACATTTTTATAGCTGGCAGTATATATATATATATATATATATATCTATCTATCTATCTATCTATCTATCTGTATATATATATATATATATATATATATATATATATATATATATATATATATATATATATATATATATATATATATATATATATATATATATATATATATATATATATATATATATATATATATATATATATATATATATATATATATATATATATATATATATATATATATATATATATATATATATATATATATATATATATATATATATATATATATATATATATATATATATATATATATATACAGTGAATTAACGAACTCGGTTAACGTAATTTCGATTAACAACTGCCTTCCATAAGGATCTTCAATTGGTTAACAAAAAATTCGGTTAACGAAGTTCTTACGAACCGACCTCAACATGTTTTCGCTTGCACTGACCGGGCAACCAGCTTTAGTATCAGTCCGCCAATACATTAATCGGTTCTAGGGCTTAAATTCCTTACTATTTTAGTAAACATCAAGAAGTTTATACTATTCAATAATTTTAGAAGTTTAATATTCAATTTTTTAGTCATTTTAACAATTATTGAACATAATTGAAGGTAAAGTGACTAGTTTAATGCGCGGCATCCAGCCTCTTAACACAGCAAACAGGAGTTAGTCTCTCTGTTTTCACTGGAGGTAACATCTTGCTTGAGACTCTCTTCAACTAAATGCTTTTTTTCTGTGTTTCCAAGCAAATTATTGGTCATTTTGAAATATATTTTACATATTGACAATATATAATGCAGTGCAGTGTTGATTTAAAGAAAATAATCTTGAATTACACCAGAGAGCTAAAATTTTATGGGTGAAATGGCGCCATGGGGTGACTTCTCTTCCACCCCAATGCCTGCTCTTCTTCCTTCTCCTCCACCCCCATTCTAAATCCCATCATCATCATCATCATCCAGGAGCCTTCTACATACACACCTCAAAGTAAGTGAACTTTTCTACCATTTTTGTTGAATTTAGGAAATTTTCGGTGAGCTGGAACCAATTACCCAAAAACCCATTGAAACAATGGTTTCGGTCAATGAACGACCTTCTGGAACGGATTGAGTTGTACCCCACTTAACGCGGTCAATAGAACCCAGAGGGTCCCGCGTTAAGTGAAATCCGCGTTAAGTGAACAACAGAACATATGGGATTAATTCCAATAGAAACCAGCCCGACCCCCAAACTCCACTTTTTGAAGACACATAACTATGTTGTAGTAAAAATAACATCTTAATTTTATGATGGTACATGCACACAATTAATACTTAAGAGAAATAGAGAAATACAGTCGCCAAGTTAATGTCCATTCAAATAATGGACTCAACTCCCTCCCCCTCTTCTCACACTACACTGCTGGCTCTTCCCTCTCTGAGAAATTTTTGGGGGAAAACCACTAAATTTTAATTAATAATACCTCAAACTAAAGTTAGGATAATACAATTGACATTGCTGGATTCCTTGTAAGACCAGGAATATTTTGAATATAAATGTCATATATTTTGCACAAAAGATAACATATTTACTTAGAGAAAACATTTTATCTAAAATTTGTATGTCTAATGCAAAATATATGATGTTTATATTCAAAATGATCACCAAATTATAAGAATTCCAGCAATGTAAATTATATTCTGGCCGGGTAATTTGTATGAATTTTATGAGCTAAAACAGGCAGTCAGGCAGGGTGGGGCAAATCTAAAAATAGCGTCTCGAGCCGGACACTCACCGCGTATATGTGGGAAAAATCCGTGTTAAGTGAAAGTTCAGCTCTGGCGAGGCACCGCGTATATGATAAAACGCGTTAAGTGAAACCGCGTTAGGCGGGGTAATACTGTATATATAATTTTTTATTTTTTTTTTATTCTCAGAAATTATTGTTTCTTTTAAATCATTAACTATGTATCTTGAAATGAAAGTTTTTGTGGCCAGTGTAAGAAGTTTGTAGTTGTCTTGCAATGAGACATGGGTAGCTAAAGTTGATGACATACTGTATTGCACTGTACATAGACTTGATCAAACTAATATGAGAATGATGAGATGGATAAATAATGTGACACTGAGATATAGATAAGTCTGTAAAGTAAAGAGTGACTCAGTACTGAGAGTATTAGCAGGGTATTATACAGTATAAGGGTACACTGAGACAGATAGTTCTGGTATGTGGAGTAACTGGAGGAAAGCAATTGAGACAATAGATGCACGAGTGTGAACCTGAAGGAAGGATTGCTAGAGGTAGTTAGGAAAATAAATAACATGGTAAGAGGTAGTGAGAAATGATCGTAAGGATAAGCATCTCACTAGGGATTGTACAGCATTGAGAGCTGCTATCAGGTATACACAGGTAACCCATTGAAAATGGCTGTAAAATGATGATGATGATGATAATGTTATAAAACCTGCTAGATCTCCAAATTATCCATATTACTTTACTTACAGTACAGGAGAACAATATCTAAATTTTCCTTATATATTTTAAAGTGCAAGTTTCACTCCTTATGTTTAGGAAAAAATCAAGTAAATACAAAAAGCAACAGAGAATAACTCAAAACACACCTTCATGAGACTGCTAGTTCTCTGTTCTTCTATCTCTGGAGGCACAGGCTCAATAGGTCTGCTGGGTCGCTTTTCCAAGAAGGGATTTGTTCTCTTCTCTCTGTGAAGTGATGGAAGGGAGTGTTGGTTCTTCCTCCGTCGGTAATCAGTCATCAATGTGGCTATATCCCTTTCTGTGGCCACTCGGTATATGCTTTGCTGGGTTCCTAGGAATAATTGACAAATTAAACACAAGCCATGTAAGTACCTTAAGTTCTTTCAAAGAACTGAATACATGTATAGTATTATAATAATATTTAAGGAATATACTACTGCATCTGCATAGTTCTTATATAATTTGAAACAATGAAATATAAGTTATCATGCAAAATGAATGATTCCCCATACTTTGGAAAGTCGATTTACTGGTACCTGTACAGTAAGGTAATTATGTGTCAATACATCTTATAATACAATAGTAGTTGTTTCTGTATCCATAAAATGAATTATCAAACACAGAATATAATATTAAATTCCAATTGAGGATAGAGCAACAGCTTGAAATGTGGATTTAAAGCTAATACAGTATGTCAAAAGCTGGTGAAATCACAGGGGTAGTAATCAACAATTCCCAAGTTCACCCCTCTCTAAACTGACTCCAACATAGAACTTTACCCAGGTATAAATGTAGATGATGATTCTGACATTGTAGGTAAGAGAATAGATCTTCCTCTATTTTGATTCATCTAATTTGCAGCTTCTACAATATAGTATTGTTGCTATCTTTGGTTACCACATGTGACCTAAACCGTTCTATGGCATCACTCCATAAAATTTACTAACGTACCTTTACTTCAAAGCTTGAACCTTTTATCATTTTAATTGTTCACATATTTTGCTTGACCTTGTCATTCAATATGCATATAATTTCAATCCTCTAGAGTACTTTCTCTTATTTGTTTTATATACACAGTACCTGTATTGCAGAAAGGTGACTGCATACCAACTCAAAGTGTCCCATAAATTCCTTCACAGCAAGAATTATCCTTAAAGACTCAAGTTATTCCATTCAGGTTTTGCTTAAATTTCCTCATAATCTGTGACAATCGAACCAATGAAAGAAGTTATAACTAAATGACACACACACACACATATAGTGTTGATTTCTTATAAAAAATGTGTTTCTGCCTCTACCTTCCAACTATGATAGCATATGTAATGAATGCATGGATATATATTGTAACTGGCATGCATAAAAAATACTGTTAATTTATGATAAATGCATAAATACCTAGAACTTTCTTACCTGCTAAACTAGCCACACCAGAGTCTCCACCCTCAGCAAATTCTGGCAATTCTGAGTCTTCAGAATCAGAGCTATAGTCTCTTGCCAAATCTGAGAAGGAAAAGGGTCTAACTTCAGGATTCTCCTCTTCTCTCATAGGGATGTCTAGAGGTATTACTGCACTATGTACATTACCACCAATGGTCATAGTGCCAGAAAGAGGATCTTTGTCTTCCATTTCTGCATCTGAATCAATTTTTTTCCCCTTTGTAAACTGCTCATTAAATTCTTCAAGACTCTTTGTCCACTGAGCTAGACTTTTACGATGAGCAGTGGGAAATTCATCGGGTTGAACAGTGAGGAAGAATATTGGCTGGTCATCAATTCTGTCAACAGCAGAGTAATGACCATCACGGTCTATAACAAGATCCAAGTACACATCACAAAGTTCAGTGAAGGATTCTCGCAGCCACTGAATGTACTGCATCGTGTCTTTGTTTAATAACCGCTCGGGTCGTGGGCATTTTTTATCTTCTGACTCACGTGAAGTAACTCCTTTATTTTCAATCACATCAACTGAATCGCTAAATTCTCTGGACTCTCTTTTCACAGTATTCTTAACTCTGGCATCTTTCTCTAGAACTTCCTTTACTTCAGGTAATCCCAAGCCATGTTTGACTTGTGCTAATGTTAGGTCAAACAGTGTGACCATTCTCAGAGTCCAGCTGGCTCCTGCTTGCTTGTAAAGATTTGCTGCCCTCTCTGCTTGAGCCACTTTCTGGATTAGGAACTTTAATCCAGGACGACGATCAAATTCAACAGATGCTGTGTATGACACCTGCAGAGAGTTAAGTAGTATCTGCACATGCTCATGTGTCATGAAACGAAGAAATCCTGGAACCTGACCCTCACTTTCTGCAACTCTTCCTTCTTCACTGTCCCCATTGGAGAAGTCCAATCCTTGAAGCAACACATTAGCTAAACTGTTGGAGAAAAAAATAAAATTCTACTGTATATCCTGACATGTTCACCCATATTACCTTTAACTCGATGGCTATAGAGATCATCACATTTGCAATATCCTTATCTTTATATAATTTTCCAAACTGATGGTGACAATGATTATATAAAGTAAAATGCCTTCATCACACCCTGAGACTTTTTAAACTGTTTGTAAACATTCACTTAATAAATAAAACAACACTCGTTCTAAAGCTTATAAAATATTATAATGATTATATATTATACAGCACAATGTACAAAACAAGGGTTTGTTACAAATGACAGTAAAGTAAGAAGGAAATGATTTTATAGCCATGGAAATGGTTTCAGCAAAATTTTTAATATAGTACCATACTGTCAAAGGTCTGGTAGACAATGTGGATATATTTACACTGAAGTTGGGATAAAGCAAATTCTATTCAACCCTAAAAAACTAAATATTTTTATGTTCCTGGAGTAAACTACATTTTAGTTCATTGGTGTAAGAATATTAAGCAACCAATATTTTTACATAATCATTAATACACAGAAAAAGAATTCATCTTGCCAGAACACAGTAATTAAGCAGAAAAATAATCATAAACAGAACTCATGTTATCTTATCCATTCATCTCCTGACTAATGCAATGTAGTTAGATTATAAATTACAGGAATAACCATTACTCTGGGTCTTAATTCGCCATTTGTGTGAGCATACATATCTGAGGGTGGTATATCACTGCAAACAATAGATTTACCATGTCCTCAACCCTCTGATGCTGTTTCCTTCTGGAAGCTTTTATGTGTATTTTTAATAATATAAATCCACACACCTTGGTATAATATGTGGGGATCCCCTGACTAGAAGTGTCCCTAAGGTCTGAAGGAGAATCTGGTGAGCGAGGAGACCCACAACCAATGTGCGAAAGGGAACACGGACAGGTTCTCCCTCTTCTGTCATATCAGGGTTGGTGTTCCCCATTTTGAGGGCAGTTGGGCCCTGCTCTTCTGGGTACAACAGGAAGATAAAGGAACGGTCTTCAGCATCTGGGTTATCTATGGTTGCAGAGACATTACTTCGCTGCGTGTCTAACAAGAAAACCTGAAAAAAGTAATAGAATTACTTATTGATAGCACTGAAAACTACAATATATATATATATATATATATATATATACACACTGTATATATATATATATATACATACATACACACACACACACTGAATATGAAATCTCCTTATAAAATACACATCAAATTGGAGGAACTGACCCTGGACTATTGGTGATAGTGTATTTAATGTAGTGTACTGGGAGGAGGGGGGGGGGTAACATGGGTTGACCCCTACCTAAAAACAATAGTGTACCAGTAATGGATGCAAGGTCGATGATACTGTAGTCACAGGAATAGCTTGGACAATGTTGTGTTTCCTGCTAGTATCTTTATATAACTTTAATAATCTAGTTAGAACAATGAAATGCAGATTATTATAGAAATATAACAAAGGGACATAACATCTAAAAATTACTAAACTCAGTCATCTATATACAGTACACTATCTTTAGCAAGTGGAATAAAATTCAGTTGAAAATGGGAAGAGGAGTTGAGTTCACAAACTTTTGATTACTGTACAGAAAGATGGAAGTATGGGTGTACACTGATTGCTATTTCCCCCTTGCTTGGTCTGGCCAGGGCTAGGATAAAAAAAAATACATATTATTCACCTGATGAGAAAGTTGTCTGAGGCGATCACTGTCCTTGCCAGTGCAGTCTCTCCTTGCTGCTACTTTAACTTGACCTACATCACCATAGAAGTTTGGCGAGTCTGGCTGGAACAAGTTCATCAACTGATACAAAGGGTAAAGTGACACCTGCAACAGAAAAAAGGAATTCTTACCAAATGACCCTTAATTCACCTTTACACTGATCTTCTACACCATTTCCTTATCAACTAAACTCATATACTGCACTTTTCTCCTGGTTCCTGTATTACCTCTACACAGCCAACATTGTTCTATAATGTCACATAATGCACGAACATCTGGATAAACAGGCTCAATGTCTTCACCCAAAATAGACTATATAACATACTGTATATAAAAAAGGGCAAAAGAATGTGATTTAAGAAACAATCAATAGAGGACAGCAGCCATGTGAAGTTCAAATCAGTATGGTTTGAATAAGATTTTTTATTTGCCATTGTGCACAAAAAATACAAACACATTTTCATGTATAAATGGAACAAAATCTAAATTTGGAAATACTGTACAGTATATAAATAATGAATGTCTGCATAAATGAAATCAACAAGTTAGGTAATAAACAAATTACAAATTAAATCCAATTACAGTCCTCATAATAATGCACCATAAACTATATATAAAAGGAAAAGTATTACAGTATAATGATTGTCATATCACTAGCAATAATGAAAGTGCTCAATAGCCACTTGGTTAGAGCACTTGTGATAAAAATACCAAGGCAATAGTAATTCTTTTATATGTTAATTTGTGTACAGTTTACCTGACAACCACGGTGAAGGCCACACACCACCACATCCCAATATTCAGGTGGTAGGTGCTCCCCACAGCTGCTGATCACATGTCTAAAACGAAAAACATCAATACATTAATCAACAAATAAAACTGGTACATACTCTAGCCTGTTAGAAGAACAGTACTTGCCATAAAGCCTCCACAAAAAATTTAAGTAACCAATCATGATGGACATTACAAGATACTGTATTAGACATAAAATTTTTTCGTCAAAGCTACCGACTATTTACTACTTTCATTGTAAGAAAAAAACAATTTGACCTTTGATATAGCAAGGTGTAACTGATGAGTTCTGCTAAGGATTTCCCCATCCAAAACAATGACCTAATATTTCCATTTGGTTCACTGATGTTACTTTGAAGAATGTTTTGGGTATAATAATCCTTACTGATTCATTGATGTTAAAAAATTTTTTAGGATAAAATGCTGTGAAGGAAACTTCGTGAAAGAAAGGCTTTAACATTAAGAGAAAATAAAAACTTTACATACTGATAAATGGTAAGGTTACAAAATTTCTAGATACCATTATTTTCATATACTGTACTGTATAGGGTAGGAATCAAAGGAAAATTACTGTACTTGTACTTTATATTGAAAAAAAATGTTTGTACTGATGTTAATGAAAAAGTTTCTAACAGACTTAAAACCAATCTAATCAGGAAATAAACATTAACATGGTAAATATAATAAATTAGGCTTACTCTAAAATATTTTATGCAGCACCCTAGCCAAACTTAACATAATCCAACTTAAACTAACCTTAACTAACTCTAAGACATGCAGAGATGTAATCACAGAGAATAAACATTTCCTGAACTTACCTAATACAAGCACACCCAAGCCTGGACGTGGACTCACTGGGATGCGTGATACACTCAACCAACACCAAGAGGCACTGCTGCAGCATCAGGAGGGCACTATGGCTTTCACTCAAAACACCTAGAAAAACAAACTGAACTAAAGCAAAGAAGAAATACATAATCTACAATATGTATAAGTTTTAAGAATCAATCCTTCATTTATAGCTTGCCCATCAAAACTGTGGATTGTAATCCATACTAAAGGACCCTCCTAGAAATAAGCCCCGACAGCTTTATTGGCTATCCTAGCTCAAGTTGCCTTCCTGTTTAGCATTGTTGTTTATCTGCACTGTCTCGGCACACAGGAAACTGTTTACCCCCAATGCCTATGTGGACAGTACACCTATGTACACACACACACACACACACACACACACACACACACACACACACTCTTCCTTCAGCCTTCATAGGGTAAGGACGTGTGTAGTCGGCGCTGTCCGCTGCCAGCCTGGTTTGTCGGGCCTTCCCTTTCCCCATCTGGATTTATCAACATCCTCCCACCAACAGTACAGTGCAAAGATTGAAGATCAACCCACAACTGATATACAAAAGTATCAATTTCAATTTGAAAGGAAGAAACAACTGTTAGAGCGACAATCAGTACTTAGCGGCCAATGTTGATCCGACACCTTGACCTGACGCACCCAGCCCGCGGTACACTCACCACCCCCAACACTGGATGAGAAGCCAAGAAACACTCTAAACTACACCAGGAGAGAAATGAGGACTCCCTACTCCACCCAGGTGAGGAACTATGAATTCCTAACTACATCATATGAGGAACAAGAACCATCTCCAACACCCTGTGTGAGCTGGAGGATCTCCCCGGACCACGTAGTACATCTGCAGCTGCAGTGAGGTAGCGGCTTAGCAGTCAGGTACAACGGCCATCAAGACAGTGGGAAGGACTTTGTTGGCGCTGACATCAGGTCACAAGAATGTCTACGGACCAGCTCCCACAGTACCAGATCTATAGTTAATCTATGTTGACTCTATGTTTCTTATGTTTTTGTATTGAAAGCTTTTGTCAATCAAGTGACCCACTCCCCGATTTCACCATATGTAACTTATCATCTCTGTTCATAGTATATTTTCAGCCTTCGGGCTGCCATGTTATCTTAATAAACCGTTAATTATTTTATTATTACTGTATTATTATTTTTATTAAACACGCATGCACGCACGCACGCATGCGCGCACGCACACACACACACAGAGTAGATGAATGGTAAAAATTACCTTTAGTAGCCAGTTTAGTAATGTATTCTACCACCAGGTCTGAGGTGAGGCCAGTGTACTGTTTGAATGATGCAGTGAAGTCCCAGGTAGTAGTGGATGAGACGGTGTTTGATCTTCTGAGCCAACTTTGCATCAAAGGTAGCAAAAGATGGTTCACACAGTACATCCCAAAGGTGGGACCTGTAGAGATAAGAGGACTCTTATATGATATTTCAGAATTCATTGTAATAATATTGTATACCTATCTTGAAGAACTTATTGTAGTTAAGTCAATTTTAAACTAATCCAGAATTCATGAGAATAATGTAAATTTGAATGATGTGGAGGAAATAATTAAGTTTTGCAATAAAAGGAAAAGGAGTTACCAATATCTCTACAGCCTTTACTGGACATTTATTCCCTATAAGGATTGATTAATGAGAAAAAAATCATTGCTTCATTGCAAGAGGCCAGCAACAAAGCAACACATCCATTAATAGTAGCAACAAGCAAATTGTTTTGGAGTTAGGATACGTAGTTATATTTATGGTTACTCAACTTACAACTTGTATTAATGATTAAAACTGTCTTCCCAATGTTCTCCTTAACTAGTATCTAATATCTGATAGTAACTTATACAATTATTATTATAATATTATGCGCTGACAAATAGTAATAATAATAAAACAGGTCTCGACTTATCTTGTTATGCAGCATGACAGGCGGAATTAAAGAACCCAAACTCCCAAAATTTGAAGGAGACGCCGATTTCTATTTATAAGCAAGCACTGCGCTTTACCTTAATCATAAGATTTAAAAAAAAAGGAGAAAGGAGCAAGTTAAATTAGTTTAGAATGTTACTCTAATGCCTATATTGTCCCCATGGATTCAACAGTCATGTTGATATCTACGTGTCAAATCTTGTTACCAATCTACCCTTCTTAATTGGTAATAGTCTGTACTGTATTAAAGGAGCTTATGGCCCATTGGTTATTGTAAATTCTAGCTTCAATAAAATACTAGTATCAATACTAGTACAGTAATGTAATCTCCCTGTTAGCAGGAATCTTTGATTCCCATAAGTTTCCATTACCTGGAAATTTTTTGAGCATTCCGAGAAATTCCGGGAAAAATATCTCCGTCCTGAGCATTCAAACAAATTTCTAAGAGATTGCTTCATGGACCGACACCTGCCGAGTGCGTGGATAGGCATGCTCAGAGTGTTCATGAGCTACAATTAGCTACTACTGTCATGTGACTGCATGGGATGCCTATGATTGGCTGATGTATCTTGCAGTATGGGATGCCTATGATTGGCTGATGTATCTTGCAGTATGGGATGCCTATGATTGGCTGATGTATCTTGCAGTCTATCTCGTCACACTCTCAGTTCATTGTTTACTGTCATTGTACAAGCTTGTTTGCTTGCTTGCTCACTGCTATTTTCATATACAATCTGTGTTGTGCAGTACAGTACATTACTGTACCAGGATACCATCAGCCATGAATACTGTTAATGCACTGTTAAGATGCAAACAGTGATTATAGTTATGTACAAGTATACTGTACTGTACATTCAGTAAGTGTAAAAGTACCATATGTACAATACTATACACAGCAGAGTGGACAGTGTATGCCTACTGTAGGCTAGTGTGTAGAAGGTTTATGTACAGTAAATGTACTGTACAATCCCTCCTTCATGGATAGAGAGAAGAGTTACAGTTAGCACCAACTGTCACAGTACAGTAGATGGTACAGGACAAAGCAGGACATTCTGTGTCTTTGTATTGCCATTTGGCCTGCCTGCATTACAACCTCAAGGTGACAGCATCTGCTGGTGAGTACAGTATAGAGTAGCATACATTGTTTATTTACAATCTATTGTGTATTTGCATAAATAAATACAGCTATGTGCTTGTCCGACTGTAGTTAAGCCTTCGTAGCATCGATGCTTTTTGCGAGATGCTTAGTTTAGAAATGTAGAAACATTCACTAGTGCCTGGAAAAATTCCGGGGATAAGAAAATTTGTCTCAATACCCGGAAATCTCTCAAACTCGGAACCACTCTGCAAAAATTATTCATATTAATGGGGATATTATTGTACTGCATCCTGTGCTCCTATTACTGAGGTTTCTAGCCAGTCCCATATTAGGGTAATGTTCAGATACACTGTAGCATTTTAAAGTTGTTTTTGTGAACTTACCTGGGCAATCAGGCAAACTACGAAGTAGTGAGAATAATGTATCCAAGACCTGTGGTTGATAACGTCGAGGACAAGTCATTGTAGCTCCAACAAGTCCCTCCAGTAAGAGGTACCATACTTGTAAAATACCACTACTGCGATCCATTGAAGCCAAAGAAAATCCACTGGCATAGTCAAGTGAAGGCCACAGTGGCATGTAAGAGACCTGTAAATGTATTCCAGAATTATTTCATAATTTAACTCAATCCTATTGTCATAAACTTCTTTTTGCATTTATAGTACAATAGTGAATGAAAATCCTGGGTGAAAATAATAAAATATTTATAATCATGAGATAAATTTTGCTCACCTTTTCAGTTTCCATTCCAGCAATTTCATCAACAAGTGACCTCAGAAGATTCTCATCAACATTGGGTAGATGTGGGTCTACTAACTGAGGTGGAGTGTTCACTGTAATCCTGCAGAGCATACCAGGAACGTTACTGTATGAATCTATACTGCCATCCACCTCATATTTATCTTCTTTATCTTTAAAAATGATCTTTACCAGAATATTCACCACTCAACCAAGTGATCTAGCTTGGTAAAAAAAAAAAGACTCCTGATTTTCTACAGTACTTTGGTTATATACATGGTTCATTTACACACAGCTAAAATCCAGAAAAATTACCTTAATATGTGTGGATGTTACCAATGCTAAAAAATTTGCTAAATACTGTATAGTACAACAAATCTTAAATACCCTGTACCGGTACTGTACTATGATGACCTGAAAACCTTTACAACTTAAAGAACACAAATACTGTACAGTTGTACTGTATATGAATAAGTACATTACAGTACAGTGTAAAGTACTGTACCCATATATCCTACTTGTGGTCAACTCGTCCAAAGTAGAAATACAAGTTTGAAGGAGACAGGGAGTACAGTCCACTCAGAAATCCACACACCTTGGGACCAAGCAGTATGTGGATTTCCAAAAGTTACGTACTTCTGAGCAGTATGAAACCCAAGTTGTGGTTTTATATGATTTTCTTTTTTAACTGGTATTAGTATAAATAAATATGAAGATATCTGTACAGTACATAAATATATGCAAGGATGCATAAATGAAATATAAACAATCACACTGAGTTTTATTATGAAGTTATATGTATGTTGCCATTACGTGTTCCATTAGGCATTTAGTTTCGAATTCTGGTGAAATTGACTGGCTTTTTCACACAAAAGAGGGTCAGAAATAGGTACCCTTCACTACTCCATTGCTTAAACCACTAATACATCCCTGAGTCAAGTTCTGTTGACCTCACTCCATGCAATGATTTATAACAGAAACAAAAATAGTGAAGCATAAAAAAAAACCTTCTGTGAATACGTATCAGTATGGAAATTACAGTCCCGTACCAGTAAATATTCACACTTACACTTATACAGCAAAATATCAATGTTCCATATCTGGGTACTTAGCGAGATTGGCAGTGCATTTATTTACACTGGCTAATGCTTACAGGATTGTAATTACAGCACTTGGTGAGTAATTCAAGAGAAAATACACATTAATAAAAATTGCTTAAATATTACTATCATCAAACAGTTATTGTCTACATACTACAATACTGCATGCAGGAAACTGCTGTTGTACCGGGAGTAATGAACCATTTAAATTTTTCCATGTCTGTTTAAATATCCTACACGCTGATATCACGCACGCACGCAGTGTACTGCAGATGCTCACCTGGGTGATGCTGTTTGATTATGCTGCTTCTTCACCAATAAATTAAAAATTTTTGTAAGGATTGTGCAGATAGACATGAATATTTTTAGTAAATACAGTACACAGCTTGTGATAGGTACTATTTAGAGTATTAGTACAGTACTGTACATTGAAGAGAGCATTTTCAAGAAAAAACATGTCTTGTACTATATACACTGGCAAATGCTGTATAGCACACAACCTGTCCTCATTTTCAACCTTGAGCTACATATTAAAGAACCTCAGCTATGTCTCTCAGGGGTCACTTATCCAAACCCCTTATTCCTATTGAACCCAGTCTTTATCAACCACAGTTTTCCCAACTGCAGGAGAATTCTAGAACATAGCCCCTGAGGTTAGTAAAGCATTACTGTATTTATCATATTTCATCATAGTTCCATAAAATACAATACAAATAGTATGCAGAGGATGCTAAAGTAATTCTCTAAAATTATACAAAATATCCAAAGAAATATCAAGTGCAGGAAGTTTGAAGTGTAAGCACAGAGGTACTTGTGAATGAAGAAAATATTACACAAGTTTCCCTGCACACAGATGGAACTTGTATAGCAGTTTATGACTTTGCAAGACTTTTTCCAATCCATAAGCAACTGTCTCTAAATATTTACACTTAATAATTATTTTACAGAGCAGCAGGTAGTGCAGTGGGTGTTATGAGGGAAGGAATAAGGTGTTTCATACCTATGAGCAGCATGGAAGACTGGACAAGCTGGCATCTCGTACATGGACGCCAGGATGGCAGCACAGCGGTGCAGGTAACGGAGGGCATCAAGGCACAGGTCACCACCTACTAGTTCGTCCCAGCCAACCACTGTTTCATCACAACTTTCCTCCTCACCTTTCAAGAAACAAATACCGGGGAAGGTGTAATAACAAACTAGAAATCTCTGAAACAGGAAGTTCAGTATCCTGTAACACTTTTTATCAAAAACAATATCTATAAAAAAGAACACACAGACTGGTTGCCCTCATCATTACCTGATCCCTTGACATGCTTGAGAAGACACAAGATACAATCCAAAGCTGCATTCGCAAATACTAAAACATTGTCAGTTGCCAGGAAAGCTTCAAACACATCCCTCACAACATGCAAATGACCAACACTCTCTCTCGATGCAATAGTGCCACAGCCTGAAATGATAAAGTGAGTAATTAACTTTCAATAAAAGACAATAATTTATTCAGAATTTCATAAAGGTGTATTTTTAACTAGTTAGTCTTTGACTAGAATATTGGATGGCCTTCATGAAACCTCAGTGCTCGCCTATGTTTTCTATTCCTATTTTACCTATGACATAGAAATGGAGGTGTGATCCAGAAAAAACCCAGCTTTATTACCGAACTACCATACTGTATTGTGATAAAACATGTATAAGAACCGTCAAAGCCAGGTTGGTTCTGAGATGGTGTTCGAGTATAAAAGAAAATGTAAGTGTTTGCAGGACTAAAAAAGACTGTCCTTAACCCTTGAGCCCCAGACTTTCATCTCTATATAGTTTATTAGATGGAGGATATATATATCTAACGGACCATCGATATAATGGTCTTCTCTCTCTATACAGTCCGTTAAATAGAGGATTCACTGAATGTACTAAGTTTTACCCTTACCTATAGCAGAGTCACTGGAAAGGTCTAAACTAACAAAATTTTCACTAAAATGTAACTCACCAGTTACACTGTTGGGACCTGATGGTGTTGGTAGGATGGATGGAGGACGCACACACCTTAATGCACCAAAGAGTGGACGCCAACCTGATCGTATTTCAGGAGTGCAGCTTTCCACGAATTCACATATACTACTTACAATCTGAAAAATGTGATGAGATTAGTTGTTATTTTTTTTTATTTCCAAATCTTACTAACAAATTGCATGAACAAATATAAGTTTTAAGCTTAAAGTACACATTAAATTAATTCTTAGTAAAGGTACGACAAATAATTTAGAAATATTTTTTCGTTGATGTATAAGCACAAAATATTACAGAAATGCTACTAAAATCCAATAGCCTCATAATTATAAAGTGAACTATCATGATGCAGTGACACTTACCTGATCCTGGACATCTGAATCACAAAGCTCTAAACACAGTAAATTTTCGAAGGGCTTGAAGAGTGCTTCATTGAAGTGAAAATGTGGTAATTCTGTCTGGTTGCTCAGCAAGGCATTAACAATATCATGGATAGAACTCACAGCTTTCTTGCTCACTGATCCATCTTTATGACAAGCAGCCTGGAATATATATATTTTTTCATTATATCTGGGGTAGGATATAAGGAGAGGTGTAAGAAAGGGATAGACAGCAACAGGAAGTAGTTGAAATAACAAACGAACATTCTACACATACTGTACTTCCTAAAATCCTCAATTTGTTGCCAAGTTTAAAAAATGAGCCCTCAATCCTCTCATTAGTTATACTGCTTCCTATCAGTTAACCATGAATAATAGGTGTCAGTCTTCCTCTTTCTTACACTATCATGTACAAAACAATTCCTCTACACATTCTCCATAAACATGAGAGTTTTCTAATGTGAAAACTCTCATCCTCACCAATCCACCTATGTAGCCTGTCCATATCTTCCTCAAGTCTCCCATTTACTATTGTACCTTAACCAGGGGAGGAGCGAGGGGGCCCATGTGGTCATGGTCCCCCTTCTTTGCCTTGTACTGCAAAGAAATCCACAGATACAATCACAGAAACTTAAGTGACCAAGTCATTTACCAGTATTGCTGTATTAGTGAATTGTTGGGGAAAGACTTTTCTGTTGAAGTTTTACATACAAATAGAACTCTGCAATAGTAATTTTGATGAGGATAATTACAAGATGAAAACTTTGAGTCTGGCATAGTCACCTAATCTGTGCTTGTTAATGATATAATATATTTAACTGTGGCATCTCTAAGTAAAGGTAAGATGACTATTGTTAGCAAAGCTGGAGCGGACATTTCATACATGGTAAGTCAAGGATACGACAAAGCTGCAGTTGTGTCTGGTGACAAAAATGGTGTTCCGAAACATGTAAAAAAAAAAATATCCTACAGCCTCATACACTCGCTGTCTTTAACATCGTTTCAATCTTTGCTTGGTAAAATCCTGCAGTGTGCAAGGAATATAATCATCGGTTAGTTGTATGACTGAAATTGCATGGTTTTTAAAACAATCTCACTAAAGGTTGACAGTATATTGTACAAGACAAAATTTCCGAGTTATGTCCATCAAACTCTCATGTCCGACTAAAAGATTGTACAGAACACATTGGGTGGAGAATCAGCAAGCAGCCTAATCTTCAAAGAAGTATACCTGGCACTAATAGCATCACTAGAGGTTTTATTCACAAACAGAGATACTGCTGTAATCTGAAAGTAACTGCTTATGATAAAGCTATTAATGGCCCAGGTTTCCTGGTCAGCTTGAAAGTACTATACAGTAATGTACTGACAACAATATTAAATGTTATTAAACCATTGTTTGAAAAACTTCAGGGAACACAACAAGACCTTATAGCAGCTCTAGAAAGTGTGCAGAGTTGCAAAGGTGTGCCTCAAGCCTATCGGGAGGGTGAAATGTTTGGTGGCGTATTTGCACGAGCCTGAGACGTGTATGGAGATGCCTTCAGTCACCAGAAACATAAGGTTAACCCTCCAGTAATATCAGCGTGAGAATATTAGAACAGAGTTTTAATTTTCCCATTTCTAGACACTACATGTATATTGGCATAAGTCAAATTAGTCAATGAAAGATTTGCACTTTGACACTGCAGGAAGCTACAGTTGGGAAACCTTGTCCCCCCTAATTGTGCTGAAATGAACTTTGGTGAGCTGAAGATGGCAGCTGAATTTCTGCACTGGCAAAGTTACTGAAAGAGATGAAACCCAAGGAGAGGGATAGAAATGTAACTGAATCATTGTGCTCTAAAATACCTGAAACCATGCCTTAGGAACATTATGAACTAGCTGCATTTGAGTAGACTGGTGTTATTGTATGTCCATTGTGATCTAAAGTTAGATTATAAAGTCATTGATGATTTTTGCACGGAAACAGACACCTTAGTTTCCACTGAAGTATGAAGTCATAGTTATTAATCAGAAACTGATTCAGCAATTGTTTTTTATATTATTGTTTATTTTTCAAAATAAATTACCAATCCACATTCATTTTTTTTCCCCAAAGTACTGGGTAAACCCTATTTTTACCCTGCAATTCTTAATTTCAGAAAACAATATCAAAGTTTCACACTTCCATGTACTCTGTCTATAACTTACATCAGGCCAATGCAAGGGAGTTAATTATTAAGTACTGTACTGTACAAGTTTAATTATTTCTAAATAGAGCTAATTCTCACATTAAATATAAAAATGTAAAGATAAAAATTAAGTATTTGGCTCCTCTTATCTATTTTTCATTGTAGATCTGCAGGCAACCAATAGGTAACTTTTGTTTAACTGCTTCATAGTATGAAAGGAGCTGAAAATTTTTCTTTTTGAGGTATAGTCTCGTTCAAGATTCTTCGAACACTGCTGGAGACAGCTGGCAACTCAAGGCCGTTTGTTTACTATAGTACGTAGTATAATTTATATGAAACAACAAAGCAAACCATTAATTAAGCAACGAGGAACTAAGTAACCAATCACCGACAACCTTTCACAATCATTCATAATTTTTACTACGTATTATTGTAAACAAAAACGGCCTTGAGTTGCCAGCTGTTTCCAGCATTGTTCGAAGATTCCTGAATGAGACTGTTTAAACTTAACTATGTTACCTCCATAAAGTGAGGACCAGCAACAGCCCAGGCCCTCATGATGTGCAAAAGCGGCCGCCCAGAGTTTACAGCCCGGAGCATCACCTCGGCTAAACGATGCAGCAGCAGAATGTCCCCACCTCTTCCTCGCACTACATCTTTTCCATTTGATGCATTTGTCTAAAAAAATAAAATGGTAAATCAAATTGTAAATCTGAATTACCCATTTCCAATTAGTTAATGAAGTTTCCCCACAAAAATTAATTATTGCGCAGAGACTACTGACAACAACACTAGCCTTAATACAGGAGATAATATTTTCTGTTTTAGTAATGAAATAATCCTCCAAGACTGCAAAGCATATTGTTAACATTGCATGTAACCCCAATCAGTGTTAATGCTATATTCTTCCACCCCTATATTCTATGGTGATAGCATAAAATTTGTGTAGATCTGAGAAGGTTAAATAATAGAGAACATAACTAAAATTTATGTCCTGATACACAACACACCTTCCTGGGCCACTTGAGGAGTCCTCTCTGTGGTGTTTGCGGGGTCATACGTGAGAACAACTGTGCCTGAGAGGCTGCACAAAGTTCTGCCAAGAAGCTCACCAAAGATGACATGTTCAGCTTTGTAGAAGCATCATCAAACAATCTGTAGAACATATGTATATCAATATACAGAATTTAAATCAGTAATTAATGTCTGTCTTTCTAGGTAAAACAGAACTAGTGCTGAGCAATAAGGTGACCAGAGAAGAGATCCTCCATACACCAAATAGAGGTTGACATCTTTGGTAAGGACAAGTTTTGTCTTATCATGACATGTTTGATAAGTAGTCATGTTTTAAAATGACAACTTAAACAAATACAAGGAGTTATATCATACAACCACATCTCTGTACTCATGTACTGTACTGGATGTGAAGGATCATTAATAATGGAAAATATGTATACCTTCTGTATTAATAATTAACTTCTTTTCTTCTACCATATAAAAAATATCAACTGCAATCTTTTGAATAGCTCCCTATGGTATAACTCAGATTAATGTGAAAATAATAGAAAAATGAGAAAAATACATCCAACCTCCTAACATTTATCTACAAGCCATAAATAAGTCTTCACATCTTGTTGGTATGCAAACTAATTACTTCTAAACAAATATTGAAAAGGCCATAAAAATAAAACAAAATTACCCTGACTGGTCACAAGCAAAATCCACACCAAATCTGATAAAAACCGGTTTAACCACCTTTCAAATCAATCTATCCAAAATTGCAAGATCAGGTAAGTTGATAGGCTTCAGATTAAAACCACACACTTACACACACCCCACCCTACATGGTGAAATGGTAAAAAGTTTTCTTCATCTTACCTGTCTACAAGTTGAGTGAGAGCACATATGGCTTTGCCTGTATCTTGAGGAGAGAGGAATCCACTGTTGTTTGTGTCATTCTGACTCTCATGAATCAGCTCTTCTACACTTGTGGTTGGAGCTAAGGGTGACATTGCTACCACAAAATGATATGGATCTTCACTGTAAAACACGAATTATGATTACTTTAACTACAACACTGAAGCAACAGGCTTATATATAAACATTTAATTCATATTATACTACCAACTAGAAAAATGCAAATATATTACTACTGTGTATGCCACATTACAAAAAAAATTGTTAACTTGCTCAAAATAACTTCACATCAAATTGAACTTAACACCTTAAAAGTGCCTTTTATAAAATGATCATACGTACTTGAAAAGGTCATCAGATGATTCTATTTTTGACTTGTCAGTGGTTAGAGAAGGAGGAGCAAGTCGAGTGGGAAATGATTGATACCTGCTATTGTGGCTGAAGAATGTGTGCTCCAGCTCAGCCAGGTAGATACAGCATCTGAGACAACAAGAAAAAATTAGAATTAAAATTTGTCATGTAGTTTAAATATCTTTTATCTATACATGCCTCACATTTACTGGTAAAGGATACACGCGACACAGTTCAGTATTCCGGCAGCCACCAAACTGACTCAAAAGATGTGTGTGGCTGCTGCCTGTATGCCATGACGTCACATAAGGGGGTGGGACAGTGCGGCCGGCCAGTTACAGCTCACCGTCTGAGTACATACGTTCACTTCCCACACATACACACCCATGTTCTTCCTTTTTCTTGTTTTATATTAGATATTATTTATTTTTAAGCCACATTAGAGGACTGTAATGATGTGCACTTGGAGCATAAAATCCACAGTTTTTCCGACTTCCTTCTCAAATTTTCCTAGTGGGTTGAATATTGCTAAACCCAAAATAGACTAATCGTTAAGCAAGAAAGGGCGTAAAAAACTTTATAACGCTAAACCAAAATATTGCTAGGAGAATGATTGTTAAACGAGGGATAACTATACAGTATCTAATGTAGCTACATTTCCATTACATGTTAAATTGAGACAAATTCAAACACTGGTGAAGGTAAGGCTCTCTATGGAAACCTCTGTCTTTGATACTTACTTGAATAAGTGTGTCCAGCAATCTGGAGCATGAGAACCAAGTTCCAGACCTGACGACATCATTACATGAACAGAGAGCAAGTGGGCTGTGTGGAGGCGTTGCACCTTCTTGGATATGGCTGGAGATCTTAGGTGATGGCGCTTTGGTGTGCTAATTAGATTGCGTTCATTGTTGGGAAGACAGGCAGTTGCAAGCAGGGAAAATACCACTCCACAGCGGTTCTGTAACCCTAGAGCAATAAATTAATAATATTGGATGTAATTAAGGTGGACACATATGAAAGATTTGAAATGTCAATTTAAGTGAGATTTGAAAAAAAAAGAATTTACGACAGAGATGACAAAGTTTTTTATTTTGCCCACAAATAAATTGATGCAATGAGAAGATAATAAAAAACTTGCACCAGCTGTTGTTTTATCTACATAATATAATGAAAGAAAAACTCACCTAGAACATTAGCCAGCCTTGCTGATGACTGGAGAGCATTGAGACATTGAGCCAAGAGATCTTGTGACCTGCGAGATTCCTCCCGAGCTCCCTCAACACCTAATAGGATGCGGAGAGGACCACTGAGCCCACCACCTCCCCCACCCCTATTCAGTACTGCCCCAAGCACCCCAACCACACTTTCCCATCCACATGTAACGATACGACGACACAGCTTCATTCCTAAGAGATAAAGGTAATTTCTGTAATGAATTATTATAATGGCTTGGATAAATATCATTAATACCAACAAGCTAATGCTGAATCACAAGAAGCTCTTGTGCACTTTTTACAACAAAATGTTGGTCTTCTATAATACTGGGTTTATTTTTTATTAAAAAAAAATTTTTCCTTACAGTTTATACACTTGTAATATTGTCTCTGGAATAAGAACAAATCAGATTCTTCTTCAAGACTTTACCATAATCCACTTAATTAATTTAAGCAGGACAAATTCTCAGATCCAAATAATATTTGAGAGTTATAGCGACCTTAATGAACTGACAATTTGATAATACAGTACAAGAAAAACTGGCAAAAGACACAGAGAACAGAGAATAAGTAATGAAAAATAATACTCCCACCATAAAAATTAAGTAGAAAAGGAAAATAATAAATATATTCTTGTATGATACGTTAAGAGGGCAGAAGTTTGGTAATAGGACTACAGTACTGAATCATGACATCTGTGACACTTGACCTCTGATGCAAGGATATGGCTGCTGTATGCAGTGCATTTAGTAATGGTATGTTTGTACCAAATTAGGTAAAATTATCCTCAGAAGTTTAAAACAAATGAAAAGGGCATGAACTATAACCAGATGGATGTGCAGTCAGACAAATGGACACATGTACACATGAACTGAAATACCATTTTACAAGCACCACAGATCAAAAAATTAATGTACTGTACTGCATCAGCTATCATTCTGATGCCCCCTCAACATGAAATACCTGTACCTTAAACCTAAGGGATTGTATAGTATCTTCATTTCATCAATTACTTTTCTCAAACATAGCAGGTAACATTTGCAAAATATTTTCCAACTTAAGTTACTACCCATCCCCTTATCATAACATATATAAAACAAAAAGAAAGCATTGCTGTCTGTGTAATATACCTGCCAACAACTCAGGGGTATGTGTTATGTTTGATGCAGCTTTCTCTAGTCGACGATGATCAGACAACATCTGACTTTTCTGCTCTGTGCTTCCCAACCCATCTAAGTCTGTAAAAATATATGATTCAAAATAATATTAAATAACTGAGAGAACATTCATCTATCCACTCTACACAAATACAACTGTTCCTATAAGAAATGCATGAAGAATCCTAACAGGAAGCTTCAGTCACTATTAGGTAGACACATTTTAATCAGTACTTGTCTGTCAACTGGTAATCATTTAATAAATACAATATGTCAATGGGATCATTAAAGAGGTTACGGTTTCAGATTAATGTAAGGGAAAACTAGGAGTAACTATACGTAAGCGTGCACAGGTTGAACCTTCGTAATTTGGATTGCCATGAACCAAAAGCTCCTGTGGTCTGGACACTTCTAGGAAATAATGAATAGAAATTGTACCAGTGACGCACCAGTGATTCTGCTGGCATGAAGATGCACAACAGTACAGTAATTTCAATAGAAACTAAGGTGTGCAAATTAGTTGTTCCAAAAATTTTGTAAATAACAAATAGATTTACTGACACTTTAAGAGCCTACCAAAGGAAACTGATGTAGCTGGGTTCAGAGTTGGAGGTCTGAAAGTTGGTATTATGGGGAAAAGACACTGAGCCATATAAAGGTGGATATCTGTTGTGTACAAGAAACTAGATGGAAAGGAAGATCTGTGAGGCGATCAATGGCAAAGATTATAAAAGTAAAGGCATGATTGATTACTGGTAGGAATGACAGGTACAAAATCTTATGATAGTATTGAAAAAAAAAAAGAAAAGAAAAAAAATGTAATTGAATATTTGGTAATAAATTAAATTGAGATCAATCAAAACTGTGATATGGAAATTGAGATAAATGAAGATTACATGTATTGATAAAGTAACAATCAACTTTTAAACTATTACATAAAGCACTAATGCCATAGTTAATGAGTGAAAGGAAGATAAAACTATTACTGAGCACTATACTTAATTATGCATCTCCAAGTAATTGTTACTAATAACTTATATGTTAACTCCTAGCAGTAATGCATGTATTTCTCACCACAGTGTCTTAGGTTCAATCCTTGGCCCATTCTTCAGGTACAGTATCCCAGTTTCCAATTGTACTAACATTGGAACAGACCAACTGACAGCACAGGTAGTAAGTGGTGGGAGAAACACTACGATTCAGCTCTGCCCAGGTCCCAAGGTTGTTGAAATATACTGTACATACTACCAAATTAACTGTTTAAGTGATAACATCTGAAGTAGCAGAAAAAGTGGCTCAAATAATGATGATGAAGTTTAACACATGAAGAAATAACTAAATACTGCATCATCTGCACGAATACTGGGTGAACAGCAAACTGGAAAAAGATTGAAAATTAAATACTGTACTGTACAGTGAACCCTCACTTTACGTGGTTAATTCAACCCACGGCGGCCCGTGTAAAGTGAGAAACGCGTAAAGTGAACAACATAACATATGGGATTAATTGAAATAGAGACCGGGCCGACCCCCAAATTCCACTTTTTCAGACACAATACCTACGTTGTAGTAAAAATAACTTCTTAATTTTATGATGGTATGCACACACAATTAATAAGTAAGAGAAATATCAATAAAATTAGGTTTTATAACACTTACATTAGTAGAAAAGATGGCTGGGCACACGGGGATGGGGGGTTGGTTCTGAGGCAGAGGGCAGATTATTGGTCCTCACCTGTATCACTTGTATCACTATCCACCACAGAGGCTAGCAGGGCCTCTTTGTCAAACCCCTCAAAGTCCATATAAGTCCATATCCTCACTATCATTACCACTATCACTGACTTGGGCCGGCTGTGGTGGGTGGCGGGTGAAGAACTCGGTAATGTTTTGATGACTGGGCGACCTTGTGCGCACCCTGCTCGCGCCGCTCTCCGCATAAATGGGTACACACACCGCGGAAAGTGAGCATTCCGGTTTCGGCAGGGTACCGCGTAAATGTGGAAACGCGTAAAGCGAGGGTTGACTGTACATCATTTGTATATGCATTTCAGCAAGAAAGACAAAATGGAGGTTAAGCCACTAGCATGGAATGAAAAGCAATAAATACTGTAAAAGTGAATTAAAAATAGCTAAGAAAAAATATGAGCCATCACATGAATCTTTTGTGAGTGTTTGTGCATGAGTAGATGTATGTGTAAGTCTGCATTTTTAATAACAAATAAAATAATTAACAGTAAAATATGTTGCTGATAATCAGTATGAGTTAAATGGCCAGCAAACATAAGATAATGGATTTATTATAACTATTAATCATATGATTTTCTTTCACCCAAAAACTGGTAGATCATCATCAACATTTTGTAGCCATTTTCCACACTTGCGTGGTAAATGATGTTCATTTTCCTCTCAGTGCATTGCAATGAACCAATTTAAAGGGAATGCTGAAAATACAGACACTCCCCGGGGTACATAACACCCAGTTCACAGAAATTCGAGGATACAGAACGCCTCCCATAAGTCCCATTTAAAAAATTTTTGGGTTGTGCAAGAGTTTCTGTTATTACAGAAGGTAACTAGTACAGTGTAACAACACTATTTGAGGAGGATTATGTGTAAGGCAGCTGAGTGTATCCCCTTGAGAGATGCCATCTGTGATTCAGTACAGGGTACAGTACATGTTTACCTTATAGAAAGGACCATTTTCAGTTTACGGAAAATTTGGCATAAAGATAGGGGCCAGGAACGGAACCTTTCCATAAACTGGGGAGTGCCTGTATTCATCAAGCAACAATGGGACCAGGATGGGATATATGAATATATTGCACTAGTTCAGATCTTGTTTAAAGTTTTTCCTGGAGAACATGTATGGTATGCACCTGCCATCTACTGCTAATTTCTTTAACTATATTCCACTCAGGGCTTCACTTTATTTTCTCCTCACTTTTCCACCTCCCACACCACCATAATCACACACATATTGCAAAATTTTGAAGTTACCGTATGAATATATTATTTAATTTCCTGTTTCCATATTTGCATCTATATCAACATTTCTGATTATGAACACTTTTTCTTCCCCCAAATTATCTCATTCTGTACAAAAATAGTTTATCAGTACAGTATACCCTTGAAATTCGAGGGCTTGCGATTCACGATTTCGACGATTTGTGGTAAGCAGATAGTGGATATGGTGGCTAGCTTGCTATCCTTTTCCCGCAGCACAACAAGTCACCCCACGCAGCATCTCGTGTTGTACTCTCAAAACTTTAGTGTTTTTGTGTGATATGGACCCTAAAGGACTGCCTCGCGTCAGTACTAGTGAGGCTAGTGCAGTGAAATGTAAAAGTCAGAAGTCAGTGATGACCCTGACAAAGAAAGTGGAATTATTAGATAAATTAAAAGAGGGGATGAGTGCTGTAGTGGCCTATTCATGCCATTCCTTGCAACCTAACCCCCACGAATAACAAGGGTTTACTGTACTGTATTAGAGAAACCATTTTATGTTCTTAACATTTCAATGTCTAGGTGAGAGAATCCTTTATAATGTTTCCATTTGAACTTTACATTTAAAATTAAGATATTAAAGAATAGAATATACCATAATTCTACAGTAGAGTACAGGTATAATTGCACCTTAATATTTTCTAACATAAACAGCAGGTTTAAGTGAAAATGGATAAACCCAAAACAAATTCCTATAAAATAAAAAAGATAAACCATTGGTTTTAGTAACCTTTTTAACTGCTATCTCATTCTTTCCTTTAAATTTTAACATTTGAGCAATTTATGTACTGGAGGTACTTGCAGAAAGGGGGGTAGACTTACAATAACCCTTCTTGTGTGTGTAAAAAATGAGTGTCATGCCATAACCATAAAACACAGAAGCACAATAATAAACCTCAAAGAGAGATGTACAAGCAATAAAAAAAAAAGAAGTATCACAAATAAGCCAAAAACACAGAAGCAAGAATAATCCTAAAACAAAGTATCACAAGGATGGACCATATAAGAAGCAGTCAATATGTACTATGATACTGTACTTTATAACAGCCGGGTCAATATATACACACTATGCCTGGAGAAGATTCCATCAAAAAGCCATCCATTTCGTACATATATAATGGAGGAAAAAATTACATCATTCAAGCTAAACAAGAAAACCCAAGGCTCAGGGACAAATTACACATCATAAAAATTAAAAACAATTTATTTCAGTTGTTTACCAAATAAAAAATTTATACTGGTTTCAAGCACCCATCAGATTTGGGAATATACAGTACAGTATAGTAGTTTATTCTAGAATGAAAAATAGCATTAACTTAAATTACTCCAATTTTCTCAGTTCAGTTAATTTTGTACAGTAATCTCTCATTAAGTCAAAAAGAGATTTATTTCAATGCCTATAACTATGGGTGATGGTATCCACTCTGAAGTTAAAGGTCAATGGGTTGACCCTCACTTTAGTAAAGTATATTTATTTGTAATTTGTTCATGCCTCATATTGTCCACTTCCTTACTTCACATCAACATCTTAACAAATCCACCCTAAACACATTTGCTCCACTGTTACACAACCAAGTTTTACTAACATCAAGCAGAATGAACTGTGCCACTAATATACCCCACCTTTCTATACTTAGCACCCAACATGTATAACCTAATGCTGGCTTCGGAGATTCACTTATTATCAACCAAAGTCTATGGTTTGAATACCATGGTGCTTCAACAATGGTAGCTAGAACTATACAGTAAACCTTCCCATTTTAACCATGGCCCTCAAAAAAGGGGTCTTGGAGATATCAGCCAACACTTAGGATTGAAAGCTTGAGTCATGTCCCCCCACTAGCCATGCATCCCAGAAACCAAACTTGGCTTATGGTAGTTGGAAACCATCATTAAGGCTAAGCACCCAACCGACATCAGCTATGTGTTCTCCTCACTCAATACAGCTTATTATATCTTAATTTAACACCAATATTGATATCCTTTCGTTCTTCTTGTGATGTGGCACCCTTGGATGTAGATAAGCGCTTGCCTGTCATAATAAGGAACAAAGTTACAAAACACCACATGGAACATGAGAAAAATTATCACTCACTCTGGCAATGGTTACTGGATGCTACTATGTGACACTGTGCGCTCATCCTGCCTCACGCCACGAGTGTCATACCTCGCTGGCAACAATTGCTCAACTACACTGCTGGCCCGCACAGATTGTTTACCGTGCAATTCAAACCATATAAATAAACAAAATATGTCCACATAAATTTAAAAAAATGGTATAAATACAATGCCAGTGTTATTAAAAAATGTGTAAATTAAATCTATGTAATTCGAACGACAGCTGTACTTCTCTCTCTCAAACAAAGGGAGCGGATATAATAAGACAGAATGGTGAGATATAAATGTAAAAAGTTACAGAAGAAACCTAAGACAAAGAGCAGATATACTCGTACACACTTCCTCATATCCCCAACTTGCATACTGTACATACTGTATAATGTAAATCTCGAGCCACTGCAATTATTCACAATATTTTCTATCAATAATTTTTTTAGGAATGTGTTGGCTATCACCATATTTGGGTAGGCACTCATGTTGACTCGCCCATTAATAAAAAAAATTCTTCAAGCCACTATAGTTTAACAAGAGATTATTGTACATAGATATTTGAATATGCAACACATCATATAAATAATTTTGAGAGGATGCATCAAGAGAAGAATTGTACTAAGCAGAAACCCATCACCATTACAAACTTAAGGCCTATGTTATATTACCAAAGTCATGCTTAAGGAGCCATCGCATGCCATATTCCAGATCTGATGGAAAATAAATACAGTAATACCTTAGTATTAAACACAAGATGGCAAAAAACGTTTTTAATGCAATAAGCAAAGGGTAAGCAATACTAGCATGTTAATAAGTCACTGTTCTAAGGAATGATATGTCATTTACTCTTAAGGTCCAGTCACTCTATACTTCTGTTTACATTTTCATCTAAAGGTTTTGGCTGACCAAGTCTTGTCTCAACTTGACACTGGGTGTGGGAATGAGAAGAAATACTTGTATTACTCTTCAGAACTCTTTTTTGTTTTTAAACATGTTTTCTATCATGACCTACAAGCATGTTTACTGAGACAGCAGGTCCCCTTAGAAGAAAAGAAATGATACTTTACTTCCCAGCAGATTGCCTCATCTACCTGTACTTACAACTCAGGTCACAGAAACCAAGAAAAGATGGTCAGAGAATCCCTCTTAACTATACCAATCCTCCTTAAAGAAAATTATATTAAATTGTCCAGTATATGGTGTTAAGGGACTTTCAAAATTATTTTACTAGAGAAAATAATGTGGTCTTGAAGGAAGAGCATGGAAGAATGTACAGGTATACATAAAAGTGGTGCATCTCACCAGAAGAATCTGAGGAAGTATTTATGCAAGTGGGATGACTACAACAACCGAAAGACTAATAATGTTACATATTCTAATGCAAAAATCTAAAATCTGTCAAGCTTTATTACCTGTTAACAAATTGATGAGAGCACAGTTATGAGGTGAGTGAGGTGTATAGCCAGCCCTCTGAAGAAAACTGTCTTTTCTAACCTGGCGATAAACTTCACCGAGCCATGCAGATGAGAGATAGACCAAGACACCACTCCCGTGCACCAGATCTACGAACTGCTCCTGCGGTGTTCACTGGTTAGTATCACTAGTACTAAGCAAAGTAGCACAGCAATGTTAGTTCACTTAATAATCTAAGGGCTTTCATATTATTCAATTAGTCTTTAATATTTCCTCTATTGAAAACAGCAATGTAAATATGAAAGAAAGCCAATTTACCTACAGGGAAATCTATCTGAAGTAAGTGCGGTCACTAAAATTTGTTAGTCACGCAAAACCTCTTGTAAATTGAGATAAATGATCAGCCTTCTCATTTAGTTTTAAAATAAAGGGGTACAAATGGCACAAATTTATTGGTTGGAATTATAGGAGATTGGGAAATGTCTTCCTTTTAATATGTAGAAATTCTTTCACTGCCAGCCACAAACTCTGTGAATATGAAATATTTCTTTAAATAACTGGTTATATACACCAGTCACTTTTGTAGAAGGCAATTTAACAATCAATCACTTGAAAATGTTGTACAATTATCCCATGATTTATGAAGGATTGATTTACAAAAGGTTATCTGGAACAGAACTCATATGTAAATTGGGGTATTCTGTACCTGTATAATATAAAATATGCAAAGAGAATTCCCTGTTAGTACTGTACCAGCCGCTTCATAAACATAATGGGCATAAAATGTTCACTAAACATATGCAGGTAATGAAAATATGAAGAGACCTACCGTGATACAACGGACACAAATCTTGGCGGGTGTAAACAACAAAGATGGTAGCGGACTATCTTTGGTTCTTTTTCACTAATGTTATAGTGCATCCTTCTTTCCTCACACAGCCAAGCTGTGGAATGTTCTGCATTCTTCTGTGTTTCCATAGTCATATAATCTGTCTCACTTCAAAAAGCTGGTTTTCCGCGCATCTTCTATCTTAAATTTCTTTTTACTCTTATTCTTTCGCCCCCCAGGCCCATTGTGGGTTGTTCGACCTGTGCCCGGGTAGACTATTCCAGTATAAAAAAAAAATAAATAAATAAATAAATAAAAAAAAAAAAGCAGGGGAGATTGGGAGTGAGGGATCTCAGCTGTCTCCTGTGTGTAGTGAAACAACTGACAAATGTTGTCCAGCAGCCAAATGGCATCTCAATATATTTTTTTTTTACTTATTGGTATTAATTTTAATTTATCCCTCACATTTACTGGAAAATATTATTTTATGTTATTCCTCATAGGAGCTGTGAATTGGTGGAATTCAGTTTCTGAGTTGTTACAGTAACACTGTTCATAGCATCAGCTGTTGTGGTGGTGATCATGGCCAAGACATGGTGTGAATCTAGTATCTTGCTACAAATTACGTCTAGGATTATACCTAGTACAGTATTTCTTAGAAGGTAGGGTCAAATTATACAAAAGATACGTATATGAAAAATTCAGGAGTTTTTACCCAAATATCAGAGGTCGAACTATATATATGAGATCAGTTTATGCATGAGTATATATGGTATATCTGGTACAGTAAAATATGAAAATACAAGGAGAAGCAGCTTTTAAATATTCCTACTGAAGAAATCTTCACTCATTCCACACAAACACATATCTATTTCTTTATCCAAATAAGAGGCAAATAATTCACACATAAAAGCTAAGCATTATTAATATTCATCACAACTTTTGTGTGGGTTAAATGAAACTGATGATTATAACACCATCTATCAAGTTGCAGCAATGTTATCCATGCAGAAAAAATGGTTCATGGTAAAGTATTTCTGAAAAGAAAAAGAGAAAAAAAGGACAGAGAGAGATGTACATTTGATCATTTTCAAATGAGTTTTCTGGAATTGACGAAGTGTAGAGCTAAGAGGTAAATGGTAAAAAATAATATTATAATCAGGACATCCTGAGTGTGCTCCACTAACCTGTGTCATGGGTAGTGGTAAATTTGGGTCACAGTAATGTCCCCCTCGGATGAGTTGCAGGTTGAGTGACAGGACAGAATATGTGGCCAAGTATATTCCATCTGCATTAATTATCACCTGGTGGCTTTCATCTTGGTTAGTGGAAGTAAACACTCCTGTAATATTAATACTAAATGAGAGAAAAGATACATATGTAAGCATACAACAGGCAGGATAGCTTCTCTTATGGGGTTTCCTTATACTGTATACATCCTACACGTGGAAAATGTGTTTAGGATTACTCAAGATATGAAGTTATTTACTCCATTACTGGTAACAAATTCATTTGCAATCTTTTAAATTAACTTAACTATTTTCCTTGAACAGGAAAAATCTAATACAGTGACCCCTCGTTTAACGAACGCCTCGGTTCACGAAATTTCGGTTAACGAACTGCCTTCCATTAGGATCTTCAATTCGGTTAACGAACAAAAATTCGGTTAACGAATTTCTTACGAACCGACCTCAACATGTTTTCGCTTGTACTGACCGGGCAACCAGCTTTAGTATCAGTCCGCCAATACATTAATCGGTTCTAGGGCTTAAATTCCTTACTATTTTAGTAAATATCAAGAAGTTTATACTATTCAATAATTTTAAAAGTTTAATATTCAATTTTTTTAGTCACTTTAACAATTATTGAACATAATTGAAGGTAAAGTGACTAGTTTAATGCGCGGCATCTAGCCTCTTAACACAGCAAACAGGCGTTAGTCTCTCTCTGTTTTCACTGGAGGTAACATCTTGCTTGAGACTCTCTTCAACTAAACGCTTTTTTTCTCTGTTTCCAAGCAAATTATTGGTCATTTTGAAATTTATTTTACATATTGACAATATATAGCGCAGTGCAGTGTTATTTTAAAGAAAATATTCTTTATTTACAGCTAGCTTAACTTTGAAAAACACGTGTTGACATTGTTTGAATCCAGCATGGGGCCTAAGAGATCAAGAAAATCTATTTCAATCCAAACCAAGCAGGAAATCATAAAAAAACATGAACAAGGCATTAAATCAAATGTGCTTAGCAAAGAATATGGCATGTCGGCATCAACTGTGTCGACAATTCTTGCACAGAAAGACAAATTTAAAGAAGTGAAAGTGAGAGACAAATCTACAAGTGTGTTTAAAAGTAGATCCCTAATCGTAGAAACTGAGAGGTTACTTATCATCAGGATTAGGGAAAAACAGATGAAAGGTGATTCAGTTTCTGGTGATTTCATTTGTGAAAGAGCCAGGGAGATTTATGAACATCTAAAGGCAGATCAACCTGGTTCTTCAGGCACAGAATTTGAAGATTTTTGGGCCAGCAAAGGCTGGTTCGAAAAATTTAAGAAAAGAAGTGACATTTTAAGTGTTGTTAGGCATGGTGAAGCTGCTAGTGCTGATAAAGAAGGGGCAGCAAAGTTTTTAGTTGAATTTAAAAAACTGATGGAAGAAGAATATTATCTTCCACAGCAAGTGTTCAATGTGGACGAAACTGGGCTGTTCTGGAAAAAGATGCCCAAAAGAACATTCATCACCAAAGATGAAGCCTCTTTACCTGGGCATAAACCCATGAAAGACCGTCTCACTCTATTGCTTGGTGCCAATGCTTCAGGGGATTTCCGACTGAAGCCTATGCTTGTCTACCACTCTGAAAACCCCAGGGTGTTCAAGCAACAGAAAGTGGTAAGAACAAAACTTGGAGTTTATTGGAAGTCCAACCGTAAGGCATGGGTGACAAGACAGCTCTTTAATGAATGGGCTGTTGATGTGTTTTGCCCTTCTGTCAAGAGCTACCTAACCACCAATAAACTCCCTTTAAAGGCTCTTCTCCTCATGGATAATGCTCCTGGTCATGACCCTGACCTTGCCAGCAATTTGGAGTATCAATTTGACTTTGTGAAAGTGTTGTTTTTGCCTCCAAACACTACATCAATCATACAGCCAATGGACCAGAATGTGATCAGCAACTTCAAGAAGTTGTACATGAAGAAAATGTTTAGGAGGTGTCATCAGGCAACTTCCAATGATCCTGAACTAACACTAAAACAGTTCTGGAAGACACAATTCAACATCCTGGAGGCTGTAAAATTGATTGTGTCATCATGGCAAGAAGTCTCCACTAGATCCCTCAATTCTTCATGGAAAGCACTGTGGCCATCAGTAGTCCATGACTTTGAGGGATTTGAGGAAGAAACAGAGTTGGACAAGGAGATTGTGTCCATTGGTCAGTCATTGGGCCTTGAAGCGGAGGAGGAGGATGTGGAAGAGCTTGTGATGTCTCATGAGGAGGAACTTACTCCTGATGACTTGAAGCAACTGGATGAGATGTTACAGGTAGAGGCTGACAGTGGTGAGGAGGAAATTGAAAGTGATGACCATATGTCAGCTAAACAGTTGAAAGATGTGATTTACTACTGGGAGAAGTTCAGGGAACTGGCTTCAAAGCACCCAGAAGTGGAAAAAACTGAACTAACTTTGTGTCATGTTGAGGACTCAGTGGTCTCCTTCTTTAAACATAAGTTAATGGTGAGGAGGACAGGTGCCCCACAGACCACAATTGACACTTTCTTCAGTAAAAGGCAGAGGGAACAAGATGCTATCCCTCAGCCTTCCACTTCAAGAAGGAGAGAGGATGTTCATGGTGGAGAATCTGTCAGTCCAGAGGTTCCTGACATTTTCATGGAAGGTGACTCACCTTCCAAGAAGCAGTAAAATGCTTCTCCACCACCTCCACTTCCTTTTCTTCTCCCTTCTCCTCCTCCACCTCCCACTTCAAATGCACATCATCATCATCATCCAGGAGCCTTCTACATACACACCTCAAAGTAAGTGAACTTTTCTACCATTTTTGTTGAATTTAGGAAATTTTTGGTGAGCTGGAACCAATTACCCAAAAACCCATTGAAACAATGGTTTCGGTTAACGAACTTTTCGGTTAACGAACGACCTTCTGGAACGGATTGAGTTCGTTAACCGAGGGGTCACTGTACAGTGGAGTTGTGATGACTGGTAGGTTAGGTAGCAGAAGACATCATGAATTATCAAATTGCAAACTACAATTTAATTAATCTAAATGGAAACAATTACTGTACTGTATTTAGGTTCCAGAGGCCAAGAAATATGCATAAACTGTTTTAATAAACACTAAATATCGTACATAATACATAAAAAATACAGTAACAGATATATTGTACAAAAATTAGGACTATAATAAATAAACAGCTCTTTCCCTTCTCATAATTATCTTTTGGGTAACACCAACATTAAGAGAGGTAGGTGCCGGGGCTGGCCGTCTGGTCATCTACGTAAACCGAGCATCAGGGATTTAATATGACACAATAGCTAATCTTGGGTTGAGGTGGGATTTATTTTTTCAGGAAAATTTATTATTATACAATAGTATTTTATTAACCCGACACCAAATAAACATAAAAGTATTATGAGAATTATGGTGAAATTGCATACTCATACTCGGACCTTCGGCTTAGAAAACAGTGCACTAATGTTCGAAATAAGGCAAACAGAGTAGTATTAGATTTTATATCTGGAAATGGAAGTAATAAGAGTGCAGAGGTCTTATTGCAACTATATTTTGCGCTAGCCAGGCCGCACCTCGATCATGCTGTTCAGTTCTGGTGCCCTTATTAAAGAATGGATATCAATTCACTGGAGTCGGTGCAGCGAAGAATGACGAAAATGATTCCAGGCCTTGGAAAACCTTCCATATCAAGATAGATTAAAGAAACTAAACTTGCATTCCCTAGAAAGATGAAGAGTGCGGGGAGATATGATAGAAGTATTTAAGTGGGTGAAAGGAATCAATAAAGGGGATATAGATAAAGTTCTTATAATATCCGAGCAGGATAAGACTCGTAGCAACTGATTTAAGTTGGATAAGTTTAGGTTAAGGAGGGAGATAGAAGAAACTGGTTCACAAATAGGGTGGTAGACGAGTGGAACAATTTTAGCAACTTTGTAGTAAGTTTTAGGATGCTGGAAGTTTTAAAAGGAGGCTAGATAGATTCATGGATGATAGAGAGTGGCTGTAACTCTCGACAGGAGCTGCCATGCACAGCCCAACCGGCCTATTGCAGACTCCTTATTTTCTTGTGCTGTCATCATAAAGGGGTTGTCAAATGTTCAGTCTAGCTAGTCACCCACCCACCCTCCTACCTCTCCAACACAGAATTCACTTCCCACTCTTCATTTGTCTTGTTTCGTAGTTTTTTATTATATTTTCTTTATTTCTAAGTTACATTAGAGAACTGAAATGATATTTCCACAACTTTTATGGTTTCTTATGAAAATAAACATGTGGCAGCCAGCACTCAGATGTGAATTATGAATATTTGAATGTGAAATTTAAAAAAAAAAGATAGCACAGAGGTACCTGCAAACTTAGGAATGTGAATTTGTATTTCGCCAATTATCGTGACTCCACTGTAACAATAATACAAAATAAACCTAGGTAAAGTTTAAAATCAAAGAAAATAGGCATGAAGAAGTTTATGGCATGTCAAGTAAAGTTAGAAATGAATTTGCAAAATTAGTTGCAATTCTAGTTCTTGGATAACATAGTGCATGGATTAACAAAACACAATAATTGCATGAAACTGTGAAGTTGATTTCAAGGTGAAGACACAACTTAAAAAAACAAAACAATGTTTTTCCATTAAATATACAAACAATCTAATAAATATCAACCTACTACCTTTCCTCCACTCACATGTACCTGGGTTAGTTTAAGGGATATAGATACCTTAAGAATTGTGATGCACAGTACCGCTGTACTGCATTTACCTGATTACATAGGTTTCCTTTTAAGTTAGCTAAGTTCACTGCAAATGCTAAAGAAAGCACAAGTTACAACATTAGGCAATAAAATCTGAGAAACTACACAAAAATAAAACGACTGAAACCACTTAAAGAAACCATACCTTTACAGTATTAAGCAATGAAAACTACAAAAGAAATTAAGCAAAATTTTCAAAAGTGAAAACTGTCCATTCACTATACCTTCACAATATTTTGAGGAGAATTCAAGAATGGCTTGATCAACTTCAATTGTGCTACGAATGGCCAGCAGAGATGGTAAAAGTGCACACAGTGTACATGTGAAGTGTTGTGCATTTTCACATTCCCTTTCAGCTTCTTCATCCATGACCTAAAACACATAAACCATCCTAACAAAATCTCAAAATGCCTGAACACTTTTGAATACCTTCTTAAGCTTATTAGTAAGGCTAGTTCTTGCTTAGGTCAACAAAATCTGTTATACCTTTCACTAATTAGCACTATATTTAAGCGGTGAGTAATTCACATGAGAAAAGTAATTAAAATATTTTAGATGCCATTTGGACAAGTAATTATACAGACTTCAATTGTGGACAATAAAAGATTCTTAATCAGCGTGTTCAGGAGTACATATATTGCGGCTTTGAACAAAATCGGTGAGATCAACATTATGGCCTAAATGGTAAGCCCTTAAGAGGATTTTAGGCTGAAAACACTTTTTATCTCAGAATTGAAATTTAATATGTTTAACTACTTAAGTACATCCAGAATAACACAAACATAAAAAAGTGACCTTGAAAAAACATAGGTGGCAAGTAATTAGCATTAGAAAAGTACAGTGAACCTTTGAAGATTCAGACCTGGTAAATCCGGATTTCTGAAGATTCGGACAAAATTTTGAGGTTCCGGGAGTTAAGAAGCCTCCCTAATTAGCATTCCCAAAACAGAGCAAAGATCATCTTATGCCTGTGTAATGAAGATGTCAGCACGGGGGACACAGGCGCCCGAGGCAGGAAACATAAACAGAGTTGTCAATTGTTGTTTGTGGGAATATTACTTCATTCACTCTAGCAGTGTTACAATGTTTCTTATTACGTTATCATAGGTAAATGCATGGTTTATATAATTTGTTTGTCATTGTGCCCGTCACAGTTTTCAAATTAGAATACAAAATATGTATTTCTCCCATACATATTTCGATCATACACCTGGCAAAGGGAGAGTGAGTGACCACTAGTTAGTGTTGTAACTCTCCTCGCTCCCTGCCATATTTCACTGGATTTACTGATATAATAGTGCTTAATAGTGATTAATCATGGCCTTGTAGCCAGGTTAGACTTGTCACTGTAACAACCAGGCTACTGGACCAAGCTGTGAGGTGTTACAGTTGTTTTTCAACTTGTATTTTTGGGTATACTGTACATAACTTTCTTCATTTATTTCTACTAGGTTACAGGCACACACCACCCTACATACATATTGTGAAAAAAAGTGAAAGAAATTATTGTCCTAAGGGTAAACAAGTAACGGGAAGAGAGCGCAAAGTGTAGGGGGTGGGGAGCGTTGCGAGACAATGGGTGTCCCAGCTGGTAGGCGTTACTGTGGTGAATGCAAATGGCGACTGTTAATCTTTCATTTGGCTTTAATTTATTGATTTGGCAATACAATATTTTTTTTAAACTTATTTAATAGTATGATTTTTATTTATTCCTCACATTTCCTGGTACTGTATACTGTATATTATTTAAAACACAATGGCGACAGGAGGAAGATACACAAAATTTTTTTTTCCTAAATACTGTACTCCTTGCTACAACAGGGGGTGCTTCTTATATGCTGTATTTTTGGTGTTTTTTATATCATTATTTTTCGATTTTATACATTTAGTCTGGATCTTTGAGGGTTCACTGTAATTGAAATTTTTGAGATGCTTTAAGAGGACTTTGTAATTAAATACAGTAATACCTTTTTATTCTAGACTTACATGACGCAAATTAGTAGTGGACTGCAAAGTTTCATTTAACCGGTGGAGCCTGAAAGCTGCTTGTTCCTCGCGCTGCTGTTCTGCTTCCTCAGTTGGCTCAAACTGTTGACAAAAGAGGCAAACTTTATTTAAACTGTATACCTATCTTTTTATACATATGTATATATCTAACTATCCTGTTTGCTATTCATCAATCTAGTTATAAATATGTCTGTCTATCTATCTACTTAAACTTCCATCTATAAATTTCACTCACAAAATGAGGAAAATTTTGACTGTTGGACTATTATCAAACTTTTGGCTTAGACGTTGAAAGAAAGAATTATTCTTGATAAAATAAATTATTTCATGCTGATGAAGCTTCATTAGGAGCACAGTTCCTGAGCAAGAAAGTGAGATGATTCACCTGCTCCTCTCCTGGGTCATCATCCTCATCTTCTGGTCCTTCTGTATCTCCTGATGCATCTGACTCTGCTCCTGCCTCCCCACAAAGGTCATTTTCTTTCTTCCTTCCATGTTTTGTCTTGATAAATTGTTGGAGTTGATCATCTGACTTTGCATCTTGAGGCTGCCCATCTGAGTGTGTATCTTCAGGGTCCTCATTTGACTGTAGATCTATTGGATAAAAAAATATTTAAAAAAAGTATCGCTCTCAGTAATAGTTCTTTTCTATTTGTTTTCCACAACAGTAATTGCCTAATCTGAGTTATAGCCATATGTAATATATATCTCAGTTAGCAAAACTATCACCGAGACAAAAAAGACAGTTGGAAATCGCTTGTTCCCTGAAAAGAATAAGGTTAAATTTTGACAATTCCTTGGGATAGCTACCTAACCAATAATCTCTTCAAAATCCACTTTTACACCAAAATGTAAATCCACCTTTACCAGTACAGTAAGTCTAAATAAAGATGCTGAGCAGAAACCAAATCTAACATGGCTAGATGGACGGAGAACAACAACACTATATGCCCACAAACCTACATTCATCTTCATCATCATCATTACCACTTTATGACTAATTTCCAAGCTTGTGTGGATTAAGAATATTAAATAAAATTTTCAATTAAAATACAACAATGAGTAAAAGCTAAAATATCAAAACAATTTTCATAATATACACACAATTTCACAGTCATGGGTTGCATTAGGCTTACCCACGCAACCAACTCCAAAGTTTGTTTTACTGGAGATAAGACACCCGGCGAGGCATAACTGGGACATGCACTTTTCATTAGTGTATGTTAGCCAGCCTTCAGGGGGGGTGGGCAGTGAAACAGTGTTGTACTGTTCATCACTTCACACCCAAAAACCTCATTTTAAGTGGTATCCCCTGGACCATGGCATAGTTAAGACGTCGTCTCCATCCTCTCCCTCCTGAAAGGGGGCAGGACACCACACCACACAGAGTCCTCTACCGCCACTCCGTCCTGTGAACCGTCATCGATACGAGACTAAGCGTGTTAACCTAGGTTGTTATCCCCGTGGAAATATCACGTGTGGATGCCTGGTTGCAACAAGAGCAATCCAGGCTGGCCTATCAAACCTACAGTAAATGGTTAATTAATTCATGCTTACAGAGTTCTCCTGCACGACACCCGTCTACTGTGACCGTGATCGACACGAGACTAAGTGTGTTAACCTAGGTTTGTTATCCCCGTGGAAATATCACGTGTGGAAGCCTGGTTGCGACAAAAGCAATCCAGGCTGGTCTATTGCACCTAAGTGGTTAATTCAAGTCACGCTTACCAGTTCTCCTTGCTGCGACAACCGTCTACAGTGACTGTCAGTGACACGAGACTATGTGTGGTAACCCAAGAGTACTTTTTGTTGTTATGGCCCGTGGAAAGAAGTTCTTGTGCGGAAGCCTGGTTGCAACAAAGGCAATCCAGTCTGACAATAAATGTATCACTTGAAGAATTAAGGCTCTGTGAAGTCATACCCATAGCAGAGTAATCACATGTGTCCCCAAGTTGAAAATTCTCTTTTAGAAGATTAATTTTATTACAGCGTGAACGTGAGTGAATCATATATCCATGCAAATTGTAAATCATTGCATGGAAGCTTGACAAATAAATGTAAGTGCAATTATCTGCCCGTATTTGTGATCCTATCTTATTATTACTAAAGGTAATGACTGATTGGTTATGACAAAGTATAACCAATAACTGAGATAGATGTTGGAAATTAATGGAATTCATTAAATCATCATTTATCAAGTATAAATCATGGAATGTCGAGTGGTGGAGTGAACTTCTACGTAGATACGCCATAATTTCCTGTAAGTAATCAGTGTGAAGGTATCGAACTCTACGGTAAGAAATAAGAAATACGACATATTATTATCTTTATATAATATAATCCACTCTTATACCACCGATTGACACCAAAACCATGACACACACAATGAAAAAATTTGGACACAAAACCCGAAGGTAAAGGATTCAAAATACATACAGTATCACTAACCATGAGGTCCCTACTGTCATATACTATGCATTCCTGAAAAATATGACTTTAAATGAGATCACACAAAACAACTAAATCTTTCCCGTGATAAAAAAAATGTACATAGGGAAGGTTAGGTTCCTAGGAAATGATTTCACCAGATAAAAAACATGAAAATCTAATCTAGTATAAAAACAAACATTTTAATATAAATGGATGTGAAGCTTTATTAGAGGGAGGAATAGAACTTTAACATTATTATACAGGTCACTGAGGCTGATAGAATAAGCTGGAGCATTATCTGCCATTAAAAAAATCTTGAAATCAAGGCTTTTCTCTGCAAAGTTAAGTAATTATGTGTTAGTAGGTGGCAGCCAAAGACACTACAGTACAGTATAATGAAACACAGCGACACTAAATTGAGACTTTCTCTAATTCCTTAGTGACCTAATGATAAAACTGTTAAACTGGGAGATATTAAGCAGGGACCTTCTGTACTTCACCTTAACAAAGCTGAGTATCATCTTCAAGTTACTTTACCTTTCCCTTAATAAAGCTTCAAGGAAGAAATTACTAATCTGTCACCATCCTCTTGACAAAATTTCAAGATATTATTAATTAACTCAACTTCTTCTGGACCATTTATGAGGTTTAAAGTTATCCCTTACCAACTTCACCATCCCCTTGATATTTATTTCCATAAGAATTCCTGATTTCATCCTTTCCTTGCTCTTCTCTCTCATTCTTTGCTTCTTCTTCTTCATCTTCCTCTAGGTCATCTATCTTCTGGGAGAGGGTGTCTGAAGCAGCTGAGTCAGATACATGCTTTATACTTTCAGGAATTTCATATTTTGGCAACTTGCTCTTGTTTTCATAAGTCAAGGGCCCTGTGGATGCATAAGTTGTCAGTTGAATATGATATCTTTGTTGAGATCACTAACACTTACAGTATTTCTGACATGACCAAAATTATAAACATGTTATTCTAATATCATCAGTGACAGACTTGATATCTAGCTACAGGTATCCCACACTATATGAATGCTCGAGATATGAAAATTCGCTTATAATGTACAAATATCCCAAATTACCACCTCTTTGTCCTGTTACGAAAGCTTTCCCTGTTCATACAAATTTCGGTCCCAGTAAAAATTCAAATCAAGTGTCCCCGGGAGTCACCTGGGGTAGCCACAAAAAATACATCTTGAAAACATTTTTCTAATTCTTTAAGTTTTAATGGTGCAATTACAGTCACTGATGCAAAAATGTTACCCAATGATTAAAAGCATTTCCTGTCAAATGGCTTTGAGGGGTAATATTACACACAGTCCTGTACTTCTATAACAGAATTTATGGAGAAAGCAAAATATTCTCAAAGAAAATCCTTTGGCTTTACCATTCATAGGAGTTGTTCCCTCTGTGGGTGCATAACATAGGAGTTCTCTTCCACTCTCCTTTTTTTTAAGAAAGTTTTAAATCCTTAAATAGTCAGAGCCAAGTATTAGGTTGCAAATGGTAAAAATCACTTTTTATAGCTGATTAAGTAGTGGCTCTAATCCCTCTCTTCTTCATGTATAGTACATGTATCCTTGACCTTTCCAGATAACCAGTGACATCCAAAACTTAATCAAAACTAAAAAAATTATGTAGTGTTCACACACATTTCATTGAGTACTTACTGTTCTCTAAGTAAGATGATATAAGAATGCATAATGATCAACAAACTACGCTGTTGCCATAAATGATATTTCTATAAACAATTATGAACTGCTTCGGTAGTGTAGGTGTAGTGGCTAGAACGTCAGCGTGCTTCTCTAGTGACTCATGTTTGACCCCAGGGCACATCGAGTGGGTTCCCACAACAGTTTCAATCAAATGGAGTAGAAAAACCTCAATCAATGGGACTCTATATAAAACTAAAAGGTATCTAGCCTACGAGATGGACCACTTCCTTGTGAGGTAGAAGAGTTTCATGTTACATTAAACAAATACTGTATATAACTTCTGAAAGTGTACCTGAATAATCTCCATCTTGAAGCCTGGTATATAAGGCATTGATGACTTCCACATGTTGTTGGGATAGTGCAGAACCAAGAGATAATTTTTCTAAAGATGTAAGAAGGGTGGACACACATTCCACTAAAACGCGTTGAATCTCTGCATCATTGCAGTTGCCACATTCAGCTAAACTGTCCATGACTCTGTATAAGAAGAATTATTATACAGTATGTAAAGAATATCAAATGAAAAAAATGCCAGACGTCATTTTCACCCATAGTATTTGTTTATACAATAAATTTCTGATATTATATATCTGGTAATTTTTCTTTTCAGAGAGGGTCCAGTTTATTCCACCATCCATTATGATATTCAATGACAGCTTGAACCGATCAAACGAGTTTCTTTTAAAGGTAAAACTATTAATTAGCACTTGATAATTAAATTGCTTAGTCTGAAAGTTGCCTTAAGCCAAAAAATGTGAAGGTCTTTATTATTAGAGCTTTTTTAGCCTTTGTAAACACTTAATATTATATAAGGTAGGGTCAGGTAACATATCTGGGGAGGGACTCTAGCTACCCCACAAACTACAACAATTTGCATGTCACTTGATCCTAAGGTTTGTGGGTTCGTGAGGTTCTACTGTCCTAGGGATTTAAAAAATACATTGGATATCCACCAATATACAGCCTCAAGGTATAGCTGGATATCTGGTAAAAGTCACCTCGCAAATCCTTAGTTTTGAGGCTGTTACAACAATTAAGAGAGAATGAATGTCAGCAAATGAAGGTAGAGTGTATTCCTTGACTTACCACCCTGCTCTATGATAAGTGAAGGCTTGCAAGAATGGGAGAAAAAATGACAGTAGGATCAAACTGGAAACTCACTTCTTATGAGTTGAAAGCCTAAAACATTACTTAGAGAATAAATACTTACAGTCTGAAGAGTGCCAGATCATTCTGATGAGGATTCCTTGGGTCTGGATACAGAATTGGACCAGCAAGCTGCACAAGTTTCACAGGACTGCTCATCAACTGAAATAATCCAAATAATTTCAGAAACTAAAACTGACACATAACAATCCACTAAACAAATTCCTGAGACTTAACAGTATGAGTGTGAATATCATCAATATTATTGTACAAAAAATAGACAAATTAAACGATGTTATCCCTTCACTTAAGCCCTAAACAAATTAAGATTCAAAGCAGCTGAACACACAATAATCATCATGACTTAGAAAATATGTATCACCTGAAGATTAGCCACAATACCCCATTTCACCTTAAGATTAATCATCCAAGTGCTAACCTAATATAACCTACTCTTAACCTATTCTAATCTACCCCCCCCCCCTCACCCGAGACAGCATTAGGGTGGTTAATCTTGAGGTACAATAAGCTGGGAGTATCTAATCTTCAGGTGATTCAAATATATAATTGATTAATCCAACTGTTCCTTGTGGGGTTGATTCCAGACAAACTCCTTCAAGAATTAGCAAAAACAGTGGTTGTTCTGCTTCGCCTTAAAAAAAATAAATAAAATAAAAATAAATAAATAATGTCCTCCAATATCAGTAAATGGGTTCAATAATCCACTACCAGTTTCATAGGATACACCCTAGATGAAGGGGGTCCAAGCCATCAAGCTGCTCAAGTGAAACAAGTAAAGTAAGAGAAATTGGTTTTCCTCATGAGAACTCTCTAATAAAGCATACTAAGAAATGTAACCTTCTACCAATCATAGGATAAATCTTACCCACAGAAGCTGGGGACTTGTAAAATTTTATTACAGTACTTCTCTGAAAAGAATTTGTATTAAGAGATGCTCTAAATTTACAAGAGAATTCCTCAAGCCTCACACTGCTAACATTAATCTTCCAAACTTCCACTAAAATACTCAACATGAATGAGGGACCATGTGAGTGATCTAAGAGTAAATTCATGGGAAATAATTCAAATTTCTTTATAACACAAACAAGAAAAAAGTGCTCAATATACCTCAGTTATAGCCTTCAGAGCATCTTGCCGACACTGAGGTGGAGGGTACAGCAACATACGGTAGAAGAGACTTTCTAACACAGGCCTCATCTCCCCAACGCTGCCCATGGTCACTACCAACCCACACGCAACACTGTCAACATGTTAGTCCATGACACCTTAAAAGTTAGTCATGTTTTCTTTTTATTCCTCAACAAAGTCTTCAAGTTATGAGTAAAAAACAAGTACTGTACAATACAGGTACACATAAAACTGTTTTTAGTTACACAAAATCCAGGCAAATGTGACTAACTGTTGCTTTACTGTTTCCCAAAGCTACATCTACTCTATAAAGAGCTCATAAGATTTCAGTAGACAGTAATATCTCCATTAGCCGGGATCCCTCAAACCCAGAACTCTCCGATAGCTGGAATTTATATTTTCTTGAAAAATCATTCCCAAGGCCGAAATGTTTTGGAAAATTCCGGCTTTGGGAAATTTTTTCCAAGGGGCACATTTTTCGGAAAATTCTGAAAAAAAAAATGTCGATACCCGGAAAATTCCGGATGGGGGATTTTTTCCAGGTTTGAGAGATGAAAATTAGGCGCATTTTCCGGAAATTCCGAGATCCGGGGATGGGGAATATTTTTCCGGGTTCGAAAGATGATGATTGGGTAATTTCTGGAACTTCCGAGAACATTTTTCCGTTAACTGGAAGATTCCGGGGACAAGAGATATTTTCCGGTTTTGAGATTTTATGTAATAGGCAATTTCTGGAACTTCTGAGAACATTTCTCCGGTACCCGGAAAATTCCAGGGATGAGGAATTTTTTCCGGCCTTGAGTCGTCTCGTTACCTGGAAATCTCTCATTCCCGGAAGTGCTCTGCACCAATTGTTCTGGGTAATGGAGATATCACTGTACAGATAAAGAGGATCTTTGACATATGTTGTACAGGTATACAGTACGGCATTTCACATATTTGTCGCTAACATATGTAGGAAGAATTTTCATGACATATCAATTGTTTTACATATACGTCTTCTCCATCATCTACTGTTTTACCTGTATACAACGTCTAGGTGTGCCCGAATACGATGTACAGGGGTTTAATAGTGTTAAAAGCACATAATATAATGTAAAAATAACCATAATAAGTACTACTGTACAGTAATAAAAGTGCCATACATGTGTTAAGGTTCTACCACCCCAAAATATGTCAAGTCACCTTTCACATGACTGAGTGCAAATGCCATTGTTAAGTAACCACAGAATTTGCAGAAGAGTCATTTTAATATGGTAGTGTGCCTTATGAATAAAGGAAATACTGTACAGAAATATAAAGATATAAAATACAAAAAAAATAGTGTAAGGGTATATTGTGCATGGGAGAATATTGTGGCTAGAAATCATCATAAGACACGGGCACTTGTTAGCTGTGAGAAAGCTGCGCATGTACAATCAGGGCCAAAAGTCTTGAACACTTGACAGCATTTGGCACCTAAGTACCCAAAGATCTTAGGTGTTTAAGGAGAGTTTTATCCCATTTTGTGGTTCAGGCATAATATGTGATGACAAGTAGTGTTATTAGTATATCCCAATCATATGTGTAAAACTCAGAAGTACATGCCAGATATTGCTAAGTGTTCAAAACTTTTGACCCCAACTGTACCATTGATACACAAGAAACCATAAAAGTAGTGGAAATACCATTTCAATGCTCTAATGCAATTTAGAAATAAAGAAAATACTGGAAACTATAATAAGAAAAATTAAAGAATGCAAAGTGAATTCTGTGTGGGATAGGTGAGAGGTAAGGTGGGTGGGAGGCTGGACAACTGCCTCTCCCCTTGACTCCATTAAAATGACAGTACAGCATGCAATTTCACCATAATTTAGTGTTGGGTTAATAAAATATTATTATAAAATATTCAATTTTCCTGAAAAAATCCCACACACAACTCAGATGAGTTATTGCATTGTATTAAATTCTCAGTGCCATGTTTACAAACCATGAATAGCTAACCGTCCTCGCCCTCCCTCGCAGTGTTGCCAATGCTATCTTTCTCTCATGCACCTCTGCTGTCATTACTCAAGATGGTTGGTGCTTACCACAAAAACTATCATTAACATTTCGTAAATAATACTGTAATGTATTTATCAGCACTTAATAAATAATATTGTAGTGTACTGTGTTATGCATCGGCCTATTCCCTGGTTTATACATTAATCAGTAACAAAAAAAAGTTGTTAGGAATGTATCTCTATATCCAAGACTATCTGGTACAGAATGTTATAATGACCCCATTGTAAGCAGATTAGCTGAGCTTTCAACTATTACTGTACATGTTGGAACATCCATACGTACCCCTAGCTACATTAATTCTTATGTGGGGAAAATTCCTCATTATAAAACATTTCACTATGAGTCCCTTTCCTCTGGAACACATCTCTGGCATATAATGAGGACCCCTGTACTTGAAAATTTGTATTTCAAGTAAAATTTTCAATATTAACACAATCTCAACACCCGAAAAAAGAAAAAAGACTTACTTATAAATAGCCCTGGCCTGCTGATTATTGAAAAGAGGGCCAGGGTGAGCCAAACAACCTGAGCCTCGTCCCATTTGGCCCTCAGATCTACCTGATGCTCTGGCCAACCTCTGGGACACAGGAGAACCAAGCAGAGCCACAAGTGCTGGACAAAGTCGTTGCCAGAGTGCGCCAACAAGAAGTGTGGAACAGTATGCAGGAGATGGCAGTGCTAAGGACAAGAGAAGGTTGTTATACATAACATGACAATATAATGGAAAAGTTAGTCATGCCTCATGTTTTCCTAAGAGAAAATATATGGACATTGTCTTACCTGAAGAGGATGCAGTTTCTGAGGGTTTATGCAAGTGTGCTAAATTTTCTGGGTGAGAGAGTTGGGAGAGTAGTGTGTTGGTGCACTCCAAGAGGAAAAGTGCAGGAACCTCTGGGCCTTTCTTATCATCTTGTTGTCTGAAAAGACAAATGAAAATCAATAAAATGCAGGGTTATTAAATTCTCTTCAAAAACTATTAATGCATAGTATCATGACTGAAAGCATATTATCCAAATAAATTAGGAATCATGCACAAGTAATTAAAAAAAAAAACATTACTGGTTTGTTTTATACTATATTGGAAATAATGCAATAACTGGGTATCATTGAGAAGTAGCCATGGCAGTGTCCAGACTCCAAGTTCCAGGTACCCGGTATATATTCTGAGTCACAAGCAAAATCATGAAATACAGAGGCAATGGTTTATGGTAACTTAACAAACATTATCACCTACAGTAACAACTTTTATATGTACACATACCAGACAGACTGCATAGGTGATACTGGGTATTTTACAAGATAATTAAAGATCTTGAGAAGGGAAGTTGCAGGCAAAGACTACAGCAAGAAATAACCTTAAGATGGTCAAAAGTTAAAGAGTCAGACAATTCTTAAGTATTCACATTGTAATTGAGAATATCAATTGAGGCCTTTCTAGAATACAGGTACTGTATGTCAAAACACAAAGAAAGTCTGGGAGAGAAAGAAATACATAACATGCTGCATAAGAACTATGTAGCTAAAGAAAGTTCTCTACTGTACTTTTGTTATGGATCCCTTCCTAAAAAAAAGATGGCCTTAAATGAAACAAAGGGTAATGGCATTTATTTTCCCATAGATTTAATGTTACAAATGGAGGATACATTCCTGAAGTGAGGGGGGAAATTTTTTGGTTAGCTATAGTTCACAGGAAAAATAAGAGATAAAATATTGTAGCAAGTACAAGCACACATGAATACCGTAATACCACATGTGGCACAGAAAACAGTAATTTTTGAAGATTTTATAAACCTATGTCTAAGTATATGTACAACCTGCTGGTAGAGATAATGCCGTAAATTATGCCCCAGATATGTGATACAGGCATTTGATAAAACATGTTCAAAATGTTACTTAGATTCTGACAATGAAATAAATGAGACAAATCTAGTTATTTGAAAGAAAAAAAGATTTAAAAACATACAGTATTATACTGTACATTTATTCCTTACTTATTAGCTTCCACCAGTTTATCAGCAATCAAATTTATGACTGGTACAATTTCATCATATGCAGGAGCTATGTATTCATTCTCTTCTTCATCTGTTCCTCCATCATGGGAGCTGTCCTGTCCACCTCTGCATTTATTAAGTAGTATCTTCTCTTGCTCTTCACTTTCTTCTTCTGTAAACATGGCAATATGTTTGACCATCAGGAACCAGGAGTGTCACATCACATTCCGAGACTATTTTCTGTTCACATATCAGTCTTAATTACCTAATACCAATACTTTGTGTCCCACTACAGAAAACAGTACCAATATGTTCACATTAATCAACCTGCCCAAGCCTGTTTTCCATATTGAGACTAAAAAAGAAAAGAAAAAATGAGAGACCATGAGGTGAAACTTCTAGAAATATCAAGGCTTACTTTTGATGAAGCTTTTCTTATTAAACAAATGAAAACACCAGAATTTATGTTATACACAAAGCCTAAGACTCTTGTGATATCTACAGCTTGTTCCCCCTTTTCACAACATATGGATTTGAAGCCTTCAAAGATGTTACTTGTGTTTAAATCAACCTCCTACTTTTTGCCTAAAAATTTCTTCTTCAAAACTATATACAGTACAGTAAGATACAATTATGAAATAATGAACCAAAGAACAATGTATTTTAAGGATTGTATCTTACTACTGAATGACTATTTCTTCCACCAACATTAAGCATAGTCCAAAATGCTCTCATGATTGCTTGACATCAATTGTAATCCACAAGTGATAAAGATACTGTACAATGCTCTGCCATAAAACATCTGATTGCAGCTCTTTCCATGGCAGATATTTTATGTAATTCCTCTGCATTAGGCAGATCCTATACAATACTAGAAATACAGGATAATATGTTGGTGCATGGTCAAGAGTTCACTGTGTGTGTGCAGTATTCCTCGGTTTGTATATTCCTGAAAAGTACTGAGGTAAGAGAAAAGGTGGAAAGTGAAATTAATTACATGTAAAAGGTTAGGTTTGTATGTTTAATAGAAAGATTATGTGCATCAAATATTAATGTTTTTGTGCTTAGTACAGTACAGTACAGTATCATATGAAAACATAAAAGTAAATAAAAAACTATTAATGCGTATACAGAGTACTGTAATGTAAGTTTTTATTTATAAAATGACATAGATATTCAAATGAAGACTCACTGAGTTGCCTCACAAGATGAGCAATAGTCTGGGAGGCAGCAGATTGGGCAGCAGTTCGCAAGGCTGCCCCCCCACGGCCATATGCCAGGCCACACACCCCTACCACCTGCGTTACCACCTGCCCTGAGATGGTGATACCTTGAACACAACTCATGTTCAGCACAACCTGCAAAATTCATGGTCAATTCAGACAATTAGAAAACTTTAAACAATGAATATTAAACAAAGTGTTAATTTCATCTTTTTCAATCGGGTTTGTGTTTTCTAGCTGTGATTCAAAGTGACCAGACAGGTCTTTAGCATTCAGCAGCTAATGGGTTCCCAAGACCCTTTGGTAAGACGCTAATTTACTATGAGGTTCTCCACCATTAGAAAGAATAGCCAATACTGTAATATATTTACTTTATTGATGAATGTGAAAAGGTTAGTGTACTAATGTAGTTGGGAAACCCAACAATTAAGTCTGGCTAGGAATTAGACCCAGGACTACTTACATGTGAGAAGCTTCACCATTGAATAATTATTAGCTAATGAAGTGGATAAAAAATCATTAAAAGCACTCTCATGTTATGTGTGCACAATGTGGTTTATAGTTTGCAGATTGAAAAATCTGCAAACTATAGTAAACAAACAGCCTTGAGTTACCATAATCTTGAACGAGACTGTACAAGAACCTTAACATAAAGTAATTTTTAATAGAGATATGAAACTAAAATTCAATTGCTACAGGTAATCAAAGATGCTATGATTCCAGACAGGTAGGAAAGTATAAAATGAGGAAAATTTTAATATTCAGCATATTATCAAGTTTCTTAGCACTAGTTTCACATCACCAGCAACCAAACATAAGCACCATGCTACCTCTGTTGCAAAAAGATATGCAGTCATTTCCCAACCACCTTGTCATAACAGCCCAACTAACTCTCAAATATCTAGGTAAACAAAGGAAAGTACAATATACATACCTATATTATCCCAATAATTTTTTTCATTAATACTACCGTAATTACCTGTACATGTTTAGTTTGTCATAAACACCCAAATTTAAAATATCATACATAAACTTAATACTTCCATACCATAACTGATCCTTCAAATATCCCATGCTTATCAAGATTTTTTTATTATACTGTACAATACTGTACTCTAAACATAATACAGTACGAAGAATACCGTAAAAAATGCTTACTTTTAGAAGTTCCACTTGTGTGTCTTCTGAATGTAATGGAAGGCTTTGTATGGCCCCCAGCAGCTGACAAGGCAGCCACATTGTTTCATCATCTTCCTCATATCCACTATGGAACTGTGTGTCACGAAGCAACTGAAAGCATATTTTGACCATAATGTTATTTAGTTATGTTTTGTTTAACCCTCAGGCCCCAGGTGACGTTCCAAAAGTCCGACCAGTGCGCCCAGGGTGACGTTCCAGAACGTCTGCCTATTTTCCCGCCCATTTATTTAATTTTTTTCATTATTTTTGGAAAAGTTGATTCTTGATTTATACCCGCGGCAGCGGCAAGGGGGGGAGGGGGGGGGTTACTGCCAGCAACACCCTAACCCGGGGCTTAAGGGTTAAATGCATTTTTAAATAGTTAGTCGCACAAAAAACACTAAGGTCATCAAATCCTTTGTGAATATTCATCAAAAGAGGGTTATTGACTGTTGTATGAATACTGTACGTACAGTATCTATGAATAAAGTGAGGTTATCAGTTAATGCATTCATCTGACTTCATTTTATATCTTGCTCCTTCTTCTTCCCCATCCCAGGCTCATATTTTTTCAGCCTTTTTTTCCTCTAGGTCCTGAGGGATGGTCACACAAGCAACTATTTTACCCTGTTCTAACCATTGTCTGCATCTACATTACCAGGTACTAAAAAGTGAATTAAGAGCAAAGTTGTTGAAGAAATTCTTATACAAAACTATTTCATTAGTGAAGCTATAACTACTTGCTTGTACTGAGACACAGGAACAAGCAGGGGCATCGTTAAGTATTGTCACGTGGGGCACATGCCCCAAACCAAATCAAGATCAATGAAGTGAGACATTCAGCATCAGTCTTTTATTGGCGAGATTTACATATGTATATGTGAATGGTTTTATTATTTTGTTACAATGGAAAAGCTATGTTAGATTTCCAACTACCTTTGCCTTTGCATCAACCAACTTTAATAAATATATGTAGTGTAGGAAAGACCCCAAATGAATCCAAAATGGCAGAGTTGTTGTGGAGAGCTCGGGCTCTGAATCATTTTGGTAGCTAGTGACAGCCATGATAACAAGGAAGAATTAAAAGGTTATCAAATCATGCATTCTCAAAAGAATAAAAAAAGTAAAAGGATAAAAGCATTTTCTTCAGAATATTCCCACAATGACACAGGGTGTCCAGAATCAAGAGCAAACACACTTCTTTTTTTTCATTCATTTACTCTCATTGCAGTGACATCTGTTCTGCTATGGTACTCATCTTCCTCAACAAGGCCCTAAATATCTATCTACAGTAGTTTATCTCAGCCACTTTATGCACAAAACCCATCAGCAAAATTTTCATCCCTAAAGACCATTCAATGCTGTGTTCTTGTCAATAATCAACTGATTTTAGAAATGATTTCACCAAGAGATCTACGGAAGTACAGTACAAAACTGTATTACCTTATAAAATCCAGAAACAGCTAAAGTCACATGCTTGGACTGGCGAGTTTCCAGGGCTAGTTGCAGTGCCCTCAGACATAAAGCCCGTAATTCATGTGGTGGGGAACGCAGCAGCCCAGCCTGGTTTTCCAGCAAGTCTGTAAAACAAGACAATTAATACATAGTACACGTACTGTAATAAATTGTATTCGCCTCTTGCACACATAGAGTGCCCTCTTAAAGTGTCCTTTCATATTACTTTTGGTTTCCATTGCAATAGCTTAACCTGTTGCATGGTTAGGCTGTACTATACCTGCACAGCAAACATGTAAGATAATACAGTAGTTAAGTAATGTACAGAGAAACAGGGTGATTGCTAAAGAATTTATACATATTGAAGCAGCAACCTAATAAATAAATGTATAAATATACAGGGATATACCAGAGAAGATAATATCCAAAAGGACTAAAAAAATAATAAAGTATCACAATAAATATGATAAAGTTCTTAATTAAAAAAAAAATATAAAATGTTTAAGGCTTACCACGAGCTTCTGTGCAGACCTGACGAATCTGAACATGCTTGTTGGGTGAAGTTTCACGAAGAAGCTGATCTAAAACCTCCTCCATAGTGGTTGACGGGAGAGGCTTTCTCACACACGCACACTAGTTAAAGTACTCAGTAACTGCCATCATTTTTCCCTGCAAGTCATAATTCATCATGAATACAGCTAAGCAACATGGTGGATGACAATGAATCACAGTTTACTGATTGCTCATTGCTAACTTCCTGAACATTAGTCCTGTAACTTGTAGATGTATTTCCCTTATAATATCTTTTGATAAATTCCATTCCATATCAATAATTAGACTGAGGGATAAAATTCAGACATTAATTTGGAATATTTCGATTGCTACAGGAAAATATCCCAAGGAGTTAGAAGAGTTGTATTACAAACACTCAAAATCCCTTAAATCTTGAACTCCAGATGTGTGAATGAATAAAAGATCCCTAATGATTAGAAATTGGCATAAATAAGTCTTATATTCAAGAAGGAAGATCGGTCACGCATGGGTAATTATAGACCAGAGTCTGACCAGCATAATGTATAAAGCACTGTTGAATATTACAATATATGTGAAGTCATAATGTTCCATCTACAAAAGAACAGCCTCTTGAAAGGATGCCAGCACAATTTTATGCTCGGATGCTCCTGCTTGACAGTTACAGGTACTGTCAGGTTAGGTTAGCATTAGGCTGCTGTACCAATAAACTGACGTTTCGCATACAGCTGCCACACCTTTTCTGTGCGCAAAAAAAAAACAAAAAAACTCTGCTCTGCCACTTTATTTTCCGATGTTTTGGAGCAGATGTTTAACATATAATTCAAACCTGCCCTAAAAGATATACATAAGTATATTGGATGACTGGCAACCCTATTTATATATGGCAACACAAAATATGCTGAGGATATTTGTCGAGTTGTCGGTTAGGTGCTAGGTTTTTTATACTAACACCAGAAGGAGTTACTAGAATTGGACATAACTTTGTGGAAATGTTATTAACAATCTATTAAACAGATAAATGGAAAAGAGAATGCACATAACCTATTAGAACTTGACCAAACCAACCTAATGTAAAGAAACCTAGGTACCTAACTTACCAGAAAACCATTTTGAAACATACCTAATAACACTGAATAGATGATCATTTACAATTATCTATTTAATAGATTGTAATTACCGTTTCCACAAAGTTTCGTCCAATTTTATCAACTCCTAGTGTTAAAAAAAATACCTAACCGAAAACCGGACACATTTTCACAGCATACAAAATAAATTAAGAACTTGCCATGGAAACAGTCATTGTACAAGTTATAAATGGCTGAATTAATCTTTCCTTTTTGGGGGGCTAATAAAGACTTTTCTTGTAACTCTAGTTTGGGACTCCTTGAACAGTGCTAAGTGGCTCTCTAATATGACAGATTCTTTTTTATATAGTATTGAATTACTCCTTCCATCTCACTTCTCACTGAATAATTCAATAAAAAAATATATGGAATCACCGAAAATAAACTAGACTTCTATCTCCCATATACTTCAAAATCTGAACATATTTTGAAAATTTTAGATTAAGATAACCATAGTGTTACGTATTGCAACTATAATCTCTAAATATCTGTCATTTAGAGTGGTTCCCGGAATAAACATGACTATCGGCTTATATAATGACAACCTTGGTAAATATTAAGGTAGTTGTTGGTACACAGGGGTCCTGGTGCCGCCGCTGACAGCTGTTAGTGTACTAGTGACAACACGAGAACAGTGTAGGGGATTACATTCTCTACCTTATTTTCTTCGTCATTTTAAATCTATTTCAAGGGATACATTTCTTGAAATACCATAATATCACTAAGTTTTTGTATATTATACTTGAATTTTGTATTTGAAATTTAATATTAGTAAAATATTTGCAGAAAATGCGAAAATGCGTGGGATATCTTGCTGACGTATGGATTTACTCGTGAAATTTCGCTCGTTATACTTATATTTTTAATTAAATAACACATTGTTAATTTATATGAATTATTATAAATACTGAGAACCTCAATTCAACAAAACATGTCACAAGTACTGTACACTTTTTAGTGCTTTCATAGGTGTCCTCAGAATCCAATGCACAAAACTAGTTCGCTTTGCAAAGCTCCTATTGGCAGCTCTTTAAATTTCTATTGACTCTCCTTGTCTTATTGGTCTCCTTCGAATGAGATTTAAAATTAAGTGACAATATACGTGATTCTTGGTCTGTTCTTAGCAAATAGTTTTATTTTTCTTTATTTCAACTGTTAATTTTTTATTATTATTATCATTTCACTTCTAATCGTCTTCCTGCCAATTCGAGCGGTTATCACCTTTATTGTCAAGTGTTAGTGAAAGAAGAGTCCAGAGCACCAGAGATACAGGGTAATTATGAAATTATACAATTTTATACTTAATTTGTTGTGTTAAATTTAAAAAGTTCCCTAAGAGTTTGCCTCATATTTACCAACAATGCGATATAGATGTTGAAAATATAAAATATTACTGTATAAATGTCAGTTGTCTTTTACAGGTTTGGGTTAATTTTACCTAGAATTTAAGACACGATTTTCCGTAGCAAACGTTTCTTGGCGATCTTCCAGGGTCACCATAATCTTATTTGATTCGTACAATATTAAGCGATTTATTTAGATAGAAAATGAATACCTTACAAAACGGAGGAAATACAAAAATCATATATGTATACATCAATAATGTTTTAAATGCATGTTTAAGTATTTTTAAAACATCAGAATACCTGAAGACGGCAGCACTAAATAGACTGCCAGTTAATGTTTTTGTGATCTTTTCTCAATCAGCTGCTGCAGGTCGCCCGCGTCTTGATGTACAGTAATGTGTAGCGTTGCATTATTATGTTATTTTAAGTATATTATTCTTATTAAACATTGTTGTCAATGTTTCATTTAATTTTAATCACAATGACGGTAAAATCGTTGATAATTACCACCCAGCTGTTGTTTTTATACATGTCCTTTAAATGGTCTCGTATATCAAGAGTCAGTAAGCCAAAAAAAAGTAAATGTAAATAATAATTTTCTCGGACTGATTACTAAAAGTGAAAAGTTAGTACATTCAATATTAATCTCGTGTTATAAGATTAACCTATTAGGCTACGTATGTTTCACTGTTAGCTATATTCACAAGTTCTCTTGAAAACATCATGTGAAAATTCGAAATCTGAAACCATTATCAGAGCACTACGATGGTGGCTGGGTATTGACAGTCTTGTTGAGGTTTTGTGTAAATTGTTGAGGTAGGCTTAGATGATTCGGTTATTGAAAGAGAATGGAGGAGACCACAAGGGTCAAGACATACTTGATTCTAAATGCATGCAGGGGAGGAGAGCCATGGGTATGCCAAGAATGACAAAGGGAAAGATTTTAAGAAATTACATAAGAGTTATGAACCTGCTGAGAAAGGCTGTCAGCGACTGTTGGGTGTTGTTTGCGTATAACTTTAGTACTGGTAATGAAGGTACTGTCTAGTAGTCCGAAGGTGCTCTGGTAGAGGTAAGAGTAGTCAACTCGATGATTCAACAGCGATCTAGTGGAGAATCTATGATGATATCCCAAAGTGACCTTTCCCTCTTGTCTGTTCCCTTCAAGTAAATTTGAAGGGAAGACAAACTTTTTGGTAAGAAAATAGAACTTCTTATTTGGTAACTTTGAACAGGATGCTAGGAGAGGCCTGTACTGAGGTGGATGGTGGTGATGTGGGCTCTCTACAGTATGAGTAGCTGCAAGGCTGTGTGTTGTTTGTAGACACAAGAATATGGTTTTATGTTCACTGTCATTTCATCATATAGCTAGAATGACAACAAAACCATAAGTGTGTGTTAATAAACATTAAACGGAATATTTATCTGTGCCACTATATGTCAAAATAGCTTGCAATCATCCATCTCGGTGCACATAGAACATGTTTATACAGTACATACGACTAATATACAATAGATGCATTAACAATAATCAAAACATACCAATATACTATAGAGAGAGAGAAAGAGAATACTGGGTATGTATATAAAGTAGGATTTTTTAATTGGTCATCACCACTTATAAGTTTTATGAATGTGTTCGAAGGAGTTTCTAATTACCGGTAGCAAGATAAATTTTTCATATTGCAGATACTCCAAGGATGAATTTTATCATAATACAATGCCAAACTTGCAAGCATTACCTAGCTGACACCTATGTTAATTAGACCATCACAAGAAGAATGTTTTTACAGTCCTGCAGCACCTGCCAGCCAATATGAAAGATGGGTATCCTGAGGTATATAGTGTTGGAGTTTATTCTTGAGGATATTTTAGTAAATGGGTAATCATGATTTAAAATTCTAACTATACAGTATTTAGAAAATATTCTTGAAAAATAAGTAGATACAATAATCGTGTTCAATACCTTCCTTTGCTTTCTCCCCTTTCTTCTTCTCTGTTTAGGCTGATCATGGAATTTCAGATTGATGATAAAGATTGCACAGTACTGTTCCTATATTGCAGGAAGTCCCTCTTAAGACTAGAGTGTGTATTCTTCAAAGTTGGAAACCTGTAAAGACTCTCCCTGAAGTTGTCCAGCTCCCAGACTTACAACATGATCAGGAACAAGACATTGTATTATCTATAAAAAAAAAAGGCAAGTTTACAATATATGAGCAAAGTCTTTAAAACATATTTTCTGGTTTGCTATAGTTCCACAAGGTTTATACTGTAAATATATTATTGTACAAGAGTGGATGGGTGGATGGTGAGAAGAAATTTGACTTTGAAGGAGATATGATAAAAAAAAATCTGATTAGGTGAAGACATGATGGCATGGAAGGAGCGCAGGTAAGTACAGTACAGTACTTAAGACACAGATTCGCTCTTTAGAGGAGTTAATGGAGTCACAAAATGTATCGGTACATACAGTATATGTAGGGGAGGGAATATTTGTGTACCTTAGAAATCACATTATTTAATATACCCTGTATTATAGTAAGTCCACAGTACAGTATAAAACTTTGTATATATTATGCACATGAATTTTATGTAATGGCCAAATTGCTGAATGTTTTCTGTTCCAGCCTTACTTTGCTACTTATTGGAGACAATTTGTTCCTGTAGATGAGCTCATCTGTTATTTAATGATTAAGATTAGTTGTGGCAAGTTTAATGATCTTTTCCTTAATTGGGTACCAGTGTTTTCTCACTTATACATTTTAAAGTTACAGTACTTGGAAATATAATTTGTAATTGTTTTTCAGAACCCCTGGAGTTGAAAGCATCTAATGCAGGCATCAGTCAATTATCAGATGATCGAATTTTGAAGAATAACTTCACAAATGATAAATCAGATGTAGGAACTAAGCCTGACAACACTGCTGCTGTGGCTTTGTCACGTGAGGATTTACAACCAGTTTTCATGTTGATTGAGAACCTTAATTATAAAATTATCAGTTCCTGATTTTTTGAGTATGAGAGGTTGTTTATGACATTACCAGTTCTACTTCACATGGGGAGATCTTAATGATAATATTACCAGACTATCATAACACGAGTTCTTAATTACCAAATTACACGATCATTTGTATTGAAATTCAGGAAATGTATATGAGAATAAGAAGTTATACTCGAGAGGTTTGATGCTGGATTATATGAAGCAGTGAAAAAATTATGCAGATAACTTGGAACCCTTGTTTTTAAGGGAATATCTGGTAATGCAAGTACAGTAATGAGATAACAAGTGACATCATAAGTGGAAGTCACCGTTGCTCTTCATCTTGGCCACCCTGTGCTGCAACACATTTTTTTTTTTTATTATTACCGTATTTTTTTTTTTTTTACCGTTTATCATTGTCCACATACTGTACAAAAGGGCAGCCCAACTATAGAGAAAAATATATTGACATAACTGAATATGTAGGCTAGGATAAGTTTCTGGTACCTCTTTTGTTAAAACTTAAACCATTATTATTCTCTGCCCAGGTGCTGTAGCTGGTAGACTTGCTGCCCAATAGAATTACAGTAAGTAATATTTTGAAACCAAACTGAAAAGTACCTGTACAGTACAGTATTTCAGATACGATTAGAGCTTATGATAAACATTCTCATTTGCGCCCAATGAAGTTATCTGTATCTGTAAGTTGTCTGCCTCTCCCTCTTTCTTCTTCATAATCAAGAACAAATTGGGAAATCTTGCCCAAGGCAGAATGAAGATGCGTTGGAATTACCGAACAGAAAGCACACTCATAAAGTTAATTCGAGAACGGAGGATTCTTTGGGACTCCACTAATGAATATTACAGCAGAAAATCTCTTAAGAAACAAGAATATGATGAAATTGCCCAACAGTTACTTCAAGAATTCCCAGATATTCCTCCTCATGCCATGACAGGAGGTAAGACCATTGGTTTTTTCCTACTGTTGACAATATATTTATATAATTTGGTCATAAAATTATGTACAGGAAATCGATTTGATTGAGGAACTCTTAAGAATTTGGCATACATCACTTTAAGCAGTGTGTGGATTTGAGGCTTTTGAGTCTTATCTTTGGTCCCTCACTACTCAAGACAGCTCCACTGTAGAGGGTGGGCATTGTAGAATTGACCTCCAGGCTGTCTTATCTTTACCTACTATATATTCTCTGCCCCTTCTCTCCCTAATGTATTATTCCCACTTTCCTTTCTCACAATACAGGCTGTCTAAATCTTTATTGCAGTAACTTCTCTATCCAAACCCTTATTTCTTGTATACATACTTTAGTTTTATATTATTGTTTTATAACTTAGGCTGGGGTTGCAGAAATTTATGTAGCCAGCAAGTCTAAGGCATTGAATCCTTGGGACCGGGGACCCAACTTGTAATTAGAATCTAAAAGTTTGAAAAATAAATACTGTACCAGTCACCTTCATCATGGATATAAAAAAACAAGGGAGGTCGCATGGCGGTAACCTAAAAAGTATTACGCTAAAGGCTTCCGCTGTAAAAAAAAAAAAGGGGGATTCTTTGATCTGCTTATTTTTTAGGCCGCTACAAACTGACATCACAAGGATCAGCTCATCCTATCCAGTTGAAGACTGAGTCCTCTTCCACATCACAGTGACCTCCTGTCACTAGAGCTTGTTCTTAAATCTATTACTCCAGGTATTGTACCCTGCAGAGGGATTTTAAGGGCATGACTCGGTCACTGCAAGTTGTTTGCCGATATATGCTTTATGTTATTTTAGAACATACTGCACTATTAGTATTTTTTTCATTTCAATGACATGGAATATATCATTTAGCTATGTTTACTGAATTTGATCATACAGTACTGTTGATTATGGGATGAATTCAGGGACTTGGTCCATTTAGTTTTTGATGATTAAGTAGAGTCTGGTCTTAGTGGAACCAGGTTGGGTAGAAGTGGTGCACACCAGTGACTTCACAGATAGTGGGTCAGTTTTTGCTCCTATCAGTCTCAGTACAACTTTCCCTTGCCCTGGTGATTATTAGTAGATAACATTGAAAAGGGTAACTAGAGTACAGAATTACCTTAGTTGAAATTGCCTGGCGAGAAAGTTTTGACTACTTGAGTTGGGTTCGGTTAGGAATATGAATACAGTACTTTCCAGCTTAAATTTATAATTGTAGCAATGGGGTTGACAGCTGAATGTGGGTGTGAGTGTACAGTATGTACATGATAATGAAGAGACATGGATTGGTAGCTTCTAGCTTTAAATAGTAAATATACTTTCTTTATGGGAGAGGGTGGGTGTTGCAACATGGGGATATTTTAAGGGATAATAAGTGGTTACATTAGTTGTCCAGCCACCATTGTCAAATGCAAACTTTTAAATGTAGGCTACACCACCATTAGCACAAGTTCTTCAGCAGCAGACGAAAGTTAGAGCTCTGTGGTGAAACCTAGTCATGGGAAGTGTCTGAACTTACTTATCCTGACTGTTGTCTGGTGCTGGTTCAGTTTGGGAGAGCAAAATTTTAACTCCAACTACCCATGTCTAACTGCCAACAGTGACTGATAAGGAATGTGATGTCAGGATGCAACTGATATTTTGTTCAAATTTTTATTCTTCACAATCAGACTTCATACACTGAACACCTTGTCATATGTCAAGAGTCTTTCTCTCATATACTGTACATACTCGAGACTTGAGTATAGACTGAAGTGGCCATAAATCATAACGGCATTGTCTTCAAAGGTGGCACTCTCCTAGGGAGAGATTATCCTTTATCCATTAAGGAGGATGTCAGGTAATTTTACTGTGCTAGATCAAGATGTATACTGCACCAGGCAATACAAGTAATAAAGCAATACTTTAAAAGCAGCACTTCATTTTGTTGTGATTTACAGATGCAGTTCGTGTAAAATTTAATCATCTCAGGGAATACTTCCGCCGTCTTTTGAAGCGTGTGCAGGTGAAAGAAAATGGTGCTTTTGTGGGAGAGGAATTGGTTCCTGAATGGGAACATTTTACCAGTCTGCTATTCCTCAATGACACCACTTCAAATCAATATACATTGGTGTCAAATTTACCCAAATTCAAAAGTGTGAGTACTACTGTATAAAGTATTTTAAGTTTATATGATCAAATGCTATGGACTTATTTTACTACTATTTCCACCAAGCTAACATTTACTATGGCATGAAATTTTTATCACTGGCGAATGACAGAGATAGGACATACACCCTCTTTGTTGACTAGCTCAAGGGTTGAACTTACCTCCTTGTGCTGGCTATTTTCATTGGTATTTGTGTTGTAGTATGGTTCAAGTTTATCTAGCCATCATTAGGATGGCTAGCTGACCATTCATTGAATTTTTCTCATATTCTTTCCATACTTTTCAAGCCTTTTCACTCGCCAAATACTTTGACTCTTAGGGGTATATAATAGTTGGTATCCATGCATGTCAGTTATAAAGTTATTATAGTTAAATGGATTACATTAAAATTTTGCACAAGCACCTTTTGAGATCCTATATAATTAAAAAACCTAAATGATAAAAAAAATACACCATACAAGTACAGTATTAGTTTTGAATATATCTGATAATATAGTACATCCTCGATAACTCGGCACACATGGGGTTCTGGCCTTGCAGAATTATCTAGGCAAACTCTACACAAAAATACAATAATTAATTGTTGACCCATGTGTACATTTAATTACTAAATGTAAGAAAAAGTAACACTTACCAGCACTGCAGGAAAGAATAAAGCCTCAGAGGAGACCAATTCATGGTAGGGGACACAGGTATGGTAGGTGGCCATATATGGAGTTTGCCAAATAATTTTATATATCTCGGCATTTTCCCGATTTATATCATTGCAAGACCATATCCATTCAGTAGAGTGAAATTTCTAGCTATTAGATGGGGAGTTATCTAGGGTTTACCGAGCTGTAATTTTACTTGCCGAGAGTAATTTTAAAATTTTTTCTTATCCCTATGGAATTTTCCATAAAAGTTCCCACTGGATTATTACCAGCAGGCAGATTATTTAGGAGTTTCTTAGGAATTGACCTTTTAGACCTCTAGGGGAGGTTTTATTGTAGTGCAGTATTTCTATTTATTATGTACCATATTTTGAATTTGTAGGGTTTCAAGCACTAGTGAATTCTTTAGAAGAATCTATGCTTTTGAGATACGGCAATAATCATTATTATAGGTATTTTTTTTAGTTGCCTGGTTTAGGCTTCATCATAAAAAAGGATCCGTCTCAAAAATTGATAGTAATACACCTCTATACAGTCCACTCATTTTCCGATTTTTACAGCTCTCCGAAGCATCTGTAGAAGACTTCGACAATGCAGGGTCAAAGGAAACCAGAGGAATAGGCCTATACATAGGTGAAGAGGAGGAGGATTCAAGCTACCTCTCAAAAATTCTTACCCCAATAACACAACTTTCAACTGAAAATTGTGAACTATTCCAAACACCAGCAGAATTGGAGAGATGCTCGCCTACAGCAGCAACAGTCCCAGAACAAGACACCTCACATTATCTTAATAGTGTACATTTCAAACCTGGCATAGAAAGTTCATTGGTACCATCATGTACCAAGTCTTATTCTGCAAAGAAAAAAAGGAAGAGAATTTCACCTCAAGATTCAGAGGAAGCTTTAAACATCTCTCTTGCCTGTCTTCATAAAATAACTGAAAAGAAAGAAGACCAGTACGACCATTTTGGAAAATTTGTGGCATCAGCAATTCGTAGCTTGCCAGAAGGAAATCGTTGGCCTGTCATGACAAATATTTGGCAAGTATTAGACATGACAATAGAAAAGGAATAAGTAACTTCTGTAGATCTGTCTCGTAGTAAACTCCTGACAATTTTGTGTAGTGTTGGAAGCTTTTTTTTTTATGCAAATCTTCTGTAAATATATAAAAAGTAACCCAAATTTTTTCATTCCCACTTGCACACCTTTAAAAATGCAACTATGCTTATACAGTAAACAATAAAATTTTTAACAACAATTTGATAAGTTTTTCAAGATATCAATCCGCCTCTTTTATTGCACTAGTTATTCAATTATCGTCTTTTCCGATGAGCATTTCAATTACTTTTAGTTAACTAGTGATAAGGTTATTGTATAGTAAATTTTCATTGTTGATCACAAAAATCTCTAAATAGTACTTTGGTTGTGGAAGAAAGGTTCAGCACAAGTCCAGTTAATTAAAAAATATACTCCACTGCCTTGAAAATGAAATCAGACTATTGGAGACCTCCAAACACTACCCCTCAAATGTCACCCATGGAAAAAAGCACACTATTCCTCGGGGCACATCCATGCCAAGGTAAATTCGACAAAAACTCTTCGAACACCTGGGCACAATGGATGCGAGAATGAACAGAATGGCACTTGTCATCTTGGAATGGTTTCATATGTTTGGCCAGTGTACATAGATGGTGTAGCACCATATAGGCTCTGAAAATCCTAGTTGGCAAATTTTTTTTTTTTAATTGGCCCCACCCCAAGACTTTTTGCATAATGATTAGTACAGTGGTCCCTCGGTTAACGAACTCAATCCGTTCCAGCAGGTTGTTCGTTAACCGAAACCATTGTTTCAATGGGTTTTTGGGTAATTGGTTCCAGCTCACTGAAAATTGCCTACATTCAACAAAAATGGTAGAAAATTTCACTTACTTTGAGGTGTGTATGTAGAAGGCTCCTGGATGATGATGATGATGGGAATTACAATGGGGGTGGAGGAGAAGGAAGAAGAGAAGGCATTGGGGTGGAAGAGAAGTCACCCCATGGTGCCATTTCACCCATAAAATTTTAGCTCTTGGTGTATTTCAAGATTATTTTCTTTAAATCAACACTGCACTGCATTATATATTGTCAATATGTAAAATGTATTTCAAAATGACCAATAATTTACTTGGAAACACAGAAAAAAAGCATTTAGTTGAAGAGAGTCTCAAGCAAGATGTTACCTCCAGTGAAAACAGAGACTAACTCCTGTTTGCTGTGTTAAGAGGCTGGATGCCGCCCATTAAACTAGTCACTTTACTTTCAATTATGTTCAATAATTGTTAAAATGACAAAAAAATTGAATATTAAACTTTTAAAATTATTGAATAGTATAAACTTCTTGATATTTACTAAAATAGTAAGGAATTTAAGCCCTAGAACCGATTAATGTACTGGCGGACTGATACTAAAGCTGGTTGCCCGGCCAGTGCAAGCGAAAACATGTTGAGGTCGGTTAGTAAGAAATTCGTTAACCGAATTGAAGATTCTTATGGAAGGCAGTTCGTTAACCGAGGGATCACTGTACAATAATTATGAAATATACACAATACAATATACTTCACTGGCTAAAGCTCTGGTTAGGCTATAACCTCCATATTTGACACCTAGGAAATTAAAGTGATAATCAGTCTTTTGCCAATACAGGGCATTAGTTTTATTAGATCATTAACAATAAGCTTTGTAGGAAAATTCCAATTATTTTATTTGTATGTACTCTAAAATTACTTTTAATTCGAGGATAAATTTACAGGTTTGTAGTATTCATGTATCTTGACAAAATTAAATTTTCATTCCTCTGTACAGAGGTTCACCATAAGTGCCCCTATACACTGCTTTGTACATGGTGGATGGAACAAGCTTAAGTGTGTCCTCGTGGTACTCCGAGTAAAGCCAACCCAGACCAGCATAGGGAATCATTAGGGTCTTGGGCTCTCCATACAGAAATGGGAATGATGATGGGCACATCGATGGGGTGGTTTTTATCTGTAAAAAACAAAAACAATGTCAAGAATTAAATTAAGCCAAAATATTTCATGTATGGTTTTCTAACTTAGTTTAATAAATTGAGCTCCTTACTATTACAGTAGTTTTGACAAGCACAGTACTGCATTACATTAGCCTATTCAAACTGGCAAGGGATTTGGAAGATCTACAGAATATTATCTTACCTCCCTGATGAAGACAAATTTTGCCCCCTTAAGATAATAAACAAAAAGGTTCCTTCTAGTCTGTATGAAGAGTGCAACTTCACCCATTGGTAAAAGGGACAGACTGCTATGCACAGCTTCAAAAACTTCCAGTTTCTGGAAGGGAGAATAAATTTGTATACTAAAGGCTTATAATAAAGCAACTTTCATATTCTCCTCTGATAAAACAAATATAATCGGACATGTTATTAACGCTTTCAACACTGCCTCTTGTGATGTACAAAACATCCAAAAATGTTCAATTTCCTTTTTATGTCGTGTAAACCACTGCTACGACTTTTAAACATACAATGCTTACCCATCTATCACTAGCTGAACATATTTTCCTTTTCCTTAATAATGTTCTACACAAGATTTTCTAAATCCTGTTCTCAGTAGTAGCATTGCTAAATTCTAAAACAATTAAAATGCAGTTGTACCCTATATAATTCTCAATATAGATTCTAAGTGACTAAAGTAAAATCTAAATTTGTGACCTGCATCTCCAAAAGAGTAAAGAAAAACTACTCGACCTACCTGGTATACTTCTATTTCAAGGTTGTCAACAGTGATACCCAAGACCATTATTGATGAATTACAGAGTCGGTTGGGTCGACTTGTGACTACAACAACTGCCAGGGACTCCTTTACCAACACATCCACATCAGATGCACCAGGAACCTCTAAAGTCCTCACCTGAAAATTACAGTATACAGTACATTACTGTACTTTTATTACTCGCCAGCCTTTAAATTCTCCTACATAACCTTCATGATGAGCCATCCCCAATAGACAGGGAGCAATACTTGTCAACAATCGGTCATGTTACCAGCCCATTTTTTATAAGCCATATTTTATTTTATTTATACTGATAATTGTTTTTACAGCACTACAAGAAAATTATAAAGAAAGGCATTTTGAATAAAGAAACAATTCGGTTATCAAGACGGCTATCAACAGCGCTGTACTTTCCGATATGGCAGTACCAATATCCATCACTGAAGCCTAACTACATTGACAATTTCTTGTCCGAATTTTATGAATTCCAATAACGATATAAAAATGTCGACCATTAACAAAGAAAAATTAAATAGAAACTGGCCAAACTTACCAGCTGCATTTCATCTATATAATCGTTATGCTTGAACAACTTTAAGTAACCCGGCTCAGAGTCACTTTCTTCCTCAGCCACGAACAAGCAGGTGATATAACCCAAATTCACCCATGCTCCCTGTTAGAAAAACTTATCAATTACATTTTTCCTTCCTATTATCAGTATTAATCTAAAAAAACTGTCAAGTCAATAAAATTTGTCTGCAGTTTCAAATGTCTAAGAATTGATCGGGGGAAAAACCCAGGTTAATAGCTATTAATACAAGTCAATAAAAATGATAGGGAGTGGCAAAAACATTACTGCAGTTTATGTAAAATAAGAAATGCAGTGTCAGTAACAATCCTACCTTCACAGCCCTTTGTGTACCCAGGTAGTTCATAAGTCGGAACCCAGTTGACGCAAACCCACACATTACTGTTGAGCTGGCTTTGTAGTCCAGGACTGCTAGACATAATCTATTGTCATTCAATCTGAAACTCTGGAGACAAATACCTATTAATCTTCTTCCAACCCAAAATACATTATGAACATATATGAAGCATTATGAATCCAACTACAGTACTGTATAGGCTAAAGATACACACATATACAGTAGGTCGAGGACAGGAGCAAGTATACTTGGGTATGTTTATTAATCAAATCACTTTAAGTGGTCTAGCACCACTATAAAATTTGTTTCTCTACCTCTTGATCCACTATACACAAAAAAGGGGAACATTAAATATGTAAATATACCAGTAGCTACGAGCCAATCGGTGGTGAAGAGGAAAAAAAGAATAGACTACTGTATGTTGAAACCAATTCACAATATTACAAAAACAATGTATTGTACAATACTGTATCATAAATGATGGTCAGCGAGTTAGGGAGATGCTTGTTCAGACCAATCTGCTATAGAGGGGTATAATGCACTGGCATACCAATGTAAATATAAAATTTTCACAATGTACAACACATGGTAATTCGGTGTACTGTACTGTACACTTCCTATGTAGATAGGATGATGATAGTTGTTAAGACAAAAAAAAAATTTTCCCTCACCACCAAATCTCTACACTGGTTGATCCCAAATGCAGTTTCAAGTCCCACTTCACCTGCCAGGGAGTGGATATGACCATAGTTATTTTGGATGCCAGTTTCAGTGGGAATCTGAAATGGATTAAAACTAGATTAAGTTTCAAAATGCAATTTTAAAACCTTTGTTTGGTACAAATACAGTAGCAGCTGAATATAAGAAACTTATGGAGTAAAATTTTATACAGTACCAGAGTATAGTCTGCAGTTTGTTGTACACCTGATGGGGATGCAGACATTTGCTGCCCACCACAGGTTGCCAGAAGACCACTGCCGAGACCAGCTACAGCCACTGGCTCTGCCACACTCACTGCTGGGTCTGTAAATATGGCACCCCATTAGAAATTTACTACTGTACTACAGGTCATCTCATAAATGTAGCACTTTTGTTCAAAAGTAACAGCTTCACCACTCTAGTTTTCAGACAAAATAGTTTAAGTTCTGTGTGACCAAGGAGATTCAATATATGAATATATTAGTAATTAGAACCCTGAGTTTAAGTAGTGTCAGGCAGAGAAATTAATTCCCGGATTGTTCCCTGGTTCACTGCTATCTATCACAGGATTATAAAGGCTATCTATGATTACACCACAAACCATAACCTTTTTCCCAGGCTGCCATTCTTTATGTATTTATGTTCTGTAAAATAAAATTTTTATTTCATTATACAACCAATGCTTTAATTTTTCACATTACTTTTGATCTAAAAGTAATGTGAACATCCATTTTCCCTTTAAATTAATCCAGGCACTGACTAACAATCAAATGAATATTCTACTTCATCCATTATCTAAAGCTATTTATCAACACCATAAATCAAAATCAAGAAAGTTTCATACAGTCCAAGATATGAATACTGTACTTACAAAGCTTAGGGAAGCCTGGAGTAATGCTGTATGTATGAACTAAATTCAAGGTGCGGTCAAGTCCAACCAGTGTGTCATAAGCTTTTTCTTCCAGGTAGTTGCTTTTTAACCTGCGAGAGAATATATTTTAATGGTGGTTATATACAATCTACAGTAAGTATATTGAAATTCTGTTCAACAGCATTTTAATTTGTTGACTAACCTAAGTCTTGTAATACCTGTACCCAGTACTTCCTTGTTATCAGTGGTAATCTTATCCTAGAAGCAATTAATTTTTGCATTTTAAAAATTGTCCAAAACTTACATCACAGCCAGAATTTTGTACATGGATTCCAAGGAGCTCTCTTCGTAATACCATATTTCCGCACCCTTATCTGAAATGGTTTTAAGGTGTGTATATTGCAGCAATTTTTATACACCCATGACTGAGGTTTCTCCTACATGTCATAACAGTAATACAGTACAATAAAAGTAAATATTTTTACAACTTTTCATTAATACAGTACTGTACAGTGAACCCTCACTTTACGCGGTTAATTCAACCCACGGCGGCCCGCGTAAAGTGAACAACATAACATATGGGATTAATTGAAAGAGACCAGGCCAACCCCCAAACTCCACTTTTTCAGACACAATACCTACGTTGTAAAAATAACTTCTTAATTTTATGATGGTATGCACACACGATTAATAATTAAGAGAAATATCAATAATATTAGGTTTTTTTAACACTTGCATTAGTAGAAAAGATGGCTAGGCACACGGGGATGGGGAGTTGGTTCCGAGGCAGAGGGCAGATTATTGGCCCTCACCTGTATCACTTGTATCAATTGTATCACTATCCACCACAGAGGCTTGCAGGGCCTCTTTGTCAAACCCCTCAAAGTCCATATCCTCACTATCATTATCACTGACTTGGGCCGGCTGTGGTGGGTGGCGGGTGAAGAACTCTGTAATGTTTTGATGACTGGGCGACATTGTGCGCACCCTGCTCGCGCCGCTCTCCGCGTAAAAGGGTACACACCGCGGAAAGCGAGCATTCCGGTTTTGGCAGGGTACCGCGTAAACGTGGAAACGCGGAAAGTGGGACTGCGTAAAGCGAGGGTTGACTGTATATGAAAATTCTAGTCAAGGTAAATACTACAGATTATATAAAAATTAGATATTTTTAAGTTATGGAGCAAGAGCATTACAAGAGAAATTTTTTTGTTCAAAGTACAGTACTGTACGTAAAATATGCATTGGCTAGCTTTATTGGCTATCCATGGTCAATTTGCCTTACTGTTTACTACTGTTGTATACTTGTGTTGTCTAGGTACAGTTACCTCCACTCCCACCACTTGCTAATCCTCTCCCTGATGTGCAAATCCCAAACTCTGAAGAGTTAATTTAAAGCATTTGCTTTTGAGCGGGAGTGAGGGGAGAGTGTGTCAGGGTTGGTGTCCTTATGTGGGAGGAAATGGGGTACTGGGGTGATGAGGAAAAGTATACATCAGTTGGGAGAGATTGCAAAGCAGAATAAAGTCAAATATATCAACAGGATTTCCTCAGCCGAGTTAAATTGTCTCATACTTGACAGATGAAAATACTCATAGTAATAGGAGGAGGAGGAGGAGGAGGAGGGGAGGATTTCATGTTCCAAATAAAGTATTCCTTTACAAAAAAGGGGACACTTATAAGCAAATGGATTATGGGCATGTTAGAATCAACATCTTGAAGCCGCAAAGTCTTGTTTAATCCTTTTACTACAAGATGGAGCTTCCTCAGCCGAGTAAAATTGCATTTGAAGTTTTTCCAAATTCAAACCTGCATAACCTTATTTTTTGAGATACAGCATTCATTTTTAATGCACTTTGAAGTGAAAGGACTGTACTTGCAGATGGTAGGTAGTGCATTATGAATTAATGCACTGGGTTGTTGCAATATTGGCTCGAAGCAAAACTCCCACCTGCTTATGGCTTTTATTTTATCGATATCAAGAGTGCAGATCCCGCCACAAAAGAGAACTGAGGGAGAAGGATATTCTGCCTCATTGGCCGGAGGGGCCGTGACGTAGATAGCAGACGCTCGCTGTCATTGGCCGAGATGGGGAGGAGGCTGCAGGCCGCCCGCTCCTCTCAGTCACTGATGGGACGAGAGCACCTGATGACGCAAAAGCCAAGCTCATAATTTTTGGTGCCACAAATCTATGATCTACCCAATTTTCAAGGGGCTTTCAACCTTATTTACAATGTAGTAAGGAGATCTTTACCATCGTATCGAACTAGGCTGAAAATAGTGCTTTCCAACAAAAAATGATTTCGCCCTGGGTGGTCTGAATGAACCTTACGATGCGGGACGCCTCATATTTACAATACTGTACCTGTATCGTACATTTAATTAATTTAACAGTCAAATTCTTAAAATAGATTAAAACAAATTAAATATAAATGTAAATTTTTTGGTACTGTATTTACCTTCACAACATTGATGGAGGAGAGCAGTGAGGATGATGTGGAGGGAAAGGTGGTTGTTGCAAGAAAGAGGGTGGCAAATCCTATAGCGTGTCCCACTGATGTTATACTCTCCCCTCACTAATCTATCAAGCACGTCAACATTATTTTTAACTTCATTACCGGTACATTCCTTGCCCCTTTTTACCTTGTCACCTTTATCAAGAACACTCAATGAATGCTTAGGGGCCATAGATATGGGCAAAATCAATGTTATTACAGTAGAAATAAGAGTATGTAGTACAGTACAGTACATCTCTACACTACAACTCGCAGCGTGGAGAACAGTGGCAGGAGATGGGATTCTGTGCGGAGGAATAAGGATGCCACTAATCCTCGGCTACATAAATCTAAATGTTGTGTTAGTGAAATGGTATAGAGTGAAAATCATGGATAGATGGAATCATAAGTTGGCGAGGGTCTACTGTAGTATTATACCTGCTAAGATGAGTCTGGTATCTTGGGCCACCTCTAGGGATATCACCAAGTAGTCCTCCATGATGCTAAGGTAGGTGCCATTAATGAACTGTCCAAGGTCATTAATATTATGTCCATTGATTAGGTTGTTCTCCAAAGTCAGTGACTGGAAGTAGCAGACATCCTCGAACGTAACTTCCCCGTAAATAACGTTCGGTCTGTCAATCCTCACCTACAAACAAGGTTAAAGCTATAAACATGGTAGCTGGAAGGAAAACTCGAGCCACACAAAAAAGACTTCCTTAAGAGTGCCATTAAATTACCTTCCTCTAGCAAAATTAACTGGTATATTACACTTAACCTAGGGAAAACAATCTTGGTCCAGTTTGTGGAAGTAATTGCCTTGTGTGGGTTAAATATGTGAATGTTTGGACAGAAGTACAGGGTAAGCAGTAATACTCATTTCCAGATTTCACGACCTAGTGTTCTCCCTAGTACATACATTCTAGAGTTCCATAACCATAATATCCTGGCCCTGGCTGGGGGATTAATATTTTGTGTTATTGCAAACTTGTGGATATTCCAAAACTTTTAAAAGTTACCAGTTCAAGAGTATTTCAAACGTTAGATCTTCGCGACAGTCTCCGTAGTAATTACACCTCAACGAGCCTTTCCATATAGTGTACAGTACATTTAAAAAAAAATATGGCTGATCAATCGAGGCCATTTTCATAAATAAATGGACTTCTATCTGATTATACTGTACCAGTAACAAACCTAATCACTGACAGACTTGACCTTGTGAAGGTTGCTACATATAGTATATATACAGTCGACCCTTGTTAATTCGGACTAATAGGGGAGGGGGGTGTCCGTTTTAGCCGATTGTCCGAATTAACCGATTTAGGGGTTAATATTGCATTATATTTCAAAGTCATTGTTTTCGTCACGATTTTATCCCACTGTAATACGTACGTCATTTCAGCAAAAATATTACATTTCCGTGAATGCATTATATCGAGCACAATATGAATAGAATACCATTGTAATATAACAGTATTTTGACCAAAAACTATTAAAAAAAAACGAGTAACTTCTCTTGAACATCGGAAGGTTAGGTAAAATCTATTGTTTTCGTCATGTATTTTATCCTATTTTACATTAAAATACATCACGTTTCAGCAAAACAACTATTTATTTCCGAGAATATATTCATTCGGGAACAGTTAAGGTAAAATATACATGTGATGTAACAGTTTTTTTAACTGAAAACGATTCGAAAGACACGTGTACCGTCTAGCTGATGCTCAACAGCTGGTGGTGCATCATGCGTCGTTGTAAACAATAGGAGGTTGAAGTAGATTACCTGGTATTATATTAAGTGTGAAATATCAAAAAGGTTTTTATTACCGGTATTTTTTGTAGATCAATGAGAACTGTGATACCGTATATATGATATGATAAGTTAGCCTGCGCTAAGAACTACAACATAGACTACTGAAAGCACGTTGTAAGGTAATTTAGCCAATTGTAAGTTGGTGAGCTTCATTTGCTGAAGGAACTGCACAACTTTTCATTACTAATTGGTACATATTTTACATTTCCTTTGTTTACTGGCAGTAAATGGTAAATATTTTTCATGTCTGAAGCTAAAAGTTGCATCCCCTCCCCCCCCCTCCCCCAACACTTGTGGTGGAGAGGTTACATTTAACCAAAAAGATGCTGGTGTTTTATCCCAGCAGTGGGTGGACCAGCATTTTAGCTTAAGGTCCGCGTAGGTAATATTCCTACAAGTAATAATAAAAAAAGTTCGTTCAGATTTTGTCCGAATTATCCGAAATCCGGATTAAAGGGGTCCGAATTAACGAGGGTCGACTGTACTATATAAATAGAAATTTGGTCATCTATTGTGCCACTGGTAACCAGTACATGGGAAAAGAAAAAAATTACACATTCAGTGGTCAAACTAATATAGCTAGTCTTAACTGCATTAGAGGTGTATACAATAATTAAAAAAAGAAAAAAAGAAAAAAATGGTAGTTCAAATACCCATTTCTGGAGGGATTCTTTTTACTTTTTGAAACTACTATACAAAATCAAATTGGAAAAGTGTAATCTTACCGTGTAGTTACTCAGCCTATCGAGGTCCAGGTCATTAAACTTGTTGTCTAGCACAATCAATGTGCGTGTTTCTAATACAACACCAGGAACACCAGGATTTATAACCAGAATGCCATGCATTTCTTGGTTGTCTGACTTGAGAAGAATGGTGTCTCGGTTTATTGTAATGCCATCAACAGTACCATACACTCTGTAACAGGAGGAGTTACAAATGATTATTATCAACTACATACTTGAAGATGATTAGGACTACATTGAGCAAATTTTAACATTTCCCATCCACTTAAGGTAACCAATTAATAAATAATCCTGAAAACTCACCAAGAAATAACCAATTCCTACTGACAAGTCACAAATGGAACTTACTGAAAATCTAGGCCTGTATATACAAGCCCTCTGAAGGTTGTCACTCCAGGGATTGTGTGAACACTCGCATCGTTTATTCTGACGGCAAGTCGCCCAAGTTCAGACACATCCACACCCTGTAGAGAAGTAAAAATCTTGTTGATACAGCGACAATAAATAACCTTACCTTTCTCAAACCTGTCAGTAAATAAATACTGTATCTTATTAATCTGTTACCCTGTACTAAATTCATTATATGATATTACAGTACATTCAACTTTAGCAGGCACATTTTATTGAATATTCATACACATACCTGAATTGTGCCTTCATCCACCACTACTAAATCTCCCTGGATAATCAAGTTGTGCATGAAGGTCTTTCTACTTGTGATTGTAGCAGTCTTGCCATACTGAACAAAATCAGTACCGATTTTTAGTCCATTCAAAGTTCCATCCAGAAGTATGTTGCCTGAAAAAAAATCATAACATGAAACCAGTGATAATGTTCATGCTATTATTTCAGTACTACAAATTGCTAACCTCCTTACCTTTTGAGTCTACTTTAACTATGTTCAATCTTCCTTTTATTTCTTGATCTCCATCTTTTAGCAAGATATTTAGAAGATCCATCTGCAAAATGAAGGAATGAATGAATACATGCCTGAAAATATAGTACAAGTACTGTATAGACAATACAGTATAACCAGAAATATTGTTTTTCTCAAATTTAATGAAGTTTTATTAAAACGGCACTAACACCCAATACTGCACACACGTGTGGACACTCACAACACCAGCATCATCATTTGGGTTGGTGACCGTGTCTGTGACAAGGAAATCAGTGATCAAGGTGTCTATTGTAAACTCTCCATGTACTATCTGCTCCCTGCATTCTTTCTTCAGTACTTGATCCCATACAGTATTTAAGTTATGTCCATTAATCTTACCCTGAAATATATGAAACTCTGGTAAATTCCATGCTAGCTCGTCTCACTAAATTTGTCAGCATTTTCATAAATTGGAACAGTTTGGATAAAGTACAAGAAAGTTCACTAAATATCCATACCGTCACATCTAGCACCAGAGAAACATTGGCACCATGATTCATGGAATCAAAGGAGGCCACAGCAGCAATTTCATTTGGTACATCACTTAACCAGAACACATCTTCAAGAGTGGCCACATCTTCACCATTCAAAGTGCCAGTAATGGTGACATTTTTGCCAAAGTCGACATCACCTGTAATGCATCATTGTATTATATGCTTATACGGTATATAATATACAGCAGGGGTTCTCAACCAGGGGGGAATTTCCCCTCTCAGGTTTTCAGGGGGGGGGGAAACTGATACTAATATGGAAAAAATAAAGGATTTTCAGTATTATATGCATATTATTTGGAATGCACTTTTTGAGGCAGACAATCTTGGAAAGGAGGGGGAATGACATTCTGACATATGGTGAAAGGGGAGCATAGGGGCAAACAAGGTTGAGAACCACTGATATACAGTATACAATGACAAATTCAGGAAAATTAAGATCCACAGATATTAATTTATTCAACTCGTTAAAACAATCTTCTTTATAATTATAACCAAGACCAAATTGTAGGAAAAAATATCCTCACCCCCAATTGTCCAGCGTTTTAAATTGAGTTTAGTTCCAGGTGTGCCAACCCTATTGCAAAGGTCACCAACATCAATAGGGAATGGGTCATCCTCAGGGTAGTTCCTCACCACCACATATTGTGCCACTGGGAATGGTCCAGCAAAATGCACATTGGATGTGAACATTTTCTTGCCAGTTACCTGATAACAACAGTAGGTTTTAATCTATAAATTCATATCAATATGCAGGTCATTTACCCAAGAGTAGGTCTTACCGTAATCACAAGCTCATTCGAGTTACTAGAACCCTTTAAATGCTTCCATACCTTTTGCATAATACGATTTGATGTCATGGCTTCTTCATTCAAATTCCATCCTTGTATTGTACCACTCAACATTACTTCTTTTTTTGATATCAATTTCTCTACAAAAAAAGAAAAAGTAAAATAAATAAAATGCTTCTTGTTATACAAATATTGAAAATACTTCTGTGCACATAAAAATATTAAAAAGGAGTTGAAGTTCAGAAATCCACTCACCAAATGACACCTGCTGTAATGTAGTTGCTTCATCAATTTTTGCTGTGCTCCTAATAAGGTGCTCCAGGTTGGCTCCTTGAATCAGATTCCCAGTAAACGTTACTTGCGAGGCTTCCATGTTCCTCATTACATTGACTCCTGTTAGGGTCTGGCCACCAGTCTTCATCAACCAACCTGACTTGTAATCCTCAGCAGACACTCCATCAAAGCTGCCTATTAAAGCAAGTCAAATAATGTACAGTACATTACACATAATAGAAAAAACCTTACCCTAAGTACTTTGCATGTTAAACATTTTCTCATCTACAAGTTCTGAAGATGAAGCAATTGTTGAAAATTTAGGCCTGTTAACTTGAAGCTGGCACCAAAAGGAGGTCGAGTAAAAGGACGAAACGATAAGAATGAAACTTTATAATGTGGCAACTAGCTGTAGTTTGATTAGTATCTAGTTGCTTATTTGCCCTGTCCAGGAAGTCGTGGGAAACTAAGACAAGGGGGGGGGGGGTGCTTGCTAATGAGTCAAAGTTGAAGTACAATGGGTTAATTTGTACAAGAGATGAAATGGGTTAGTCTGCTATTATCTAAAACTGTCATAATTATTCAACTAATGATGCTAAGATGGTAGGTCATTCTGCCAAAGGGGGAATTCCCCTGAAGGTAATGCCTACTTGAATAAGTCAAATATGGTACTGTATACAATGGGAAATGAGCCACTCCAGTAGTAAACCCGCCTACCCTGAAAACTGCCTTATTTAAATTTTAATGTGCATGTATGAAGTAGACGCCCCAAATAATAATTCGGGTTCAATGAAAAATGCCCAAAATGGAACTTGCCACTAAAAGTCAAATCCTGGACAGAAACTGGACCAGTAAATGTCAAAGAACCAGCAATACGTTCTATAGTGCTGTCCTTGTAAACAATACTCCTCTCAAAGGCAGCAAAGTCTGTTCCCGTAACAGACGATGTGATCAAAACATTCAAGGACCTTCCTACCAGATGTTGCACACTTCCTCCTGCAAGAATAATAAAATAAGGCAACCTATTTACATAAAGTACATGGCTAATACTCAAGAACTTAACATTATAATGGTCTATGATGGCAAAATTTACAGATATGGCACAATTTACAGATATCCATTAAGAGACCTTGTCGACTGAACTAACATCTATACTACAGTACTAATATAAAGGAAAGTACAGGTACCCCTCATTTAAACAATGGTGTTGTTCCTGAAAACTAATGCAAAGTGAAAATATAGCTAAACGAGGGATAACATACAGAGGGTGAACAGGTTCAAATGGCAGTATTCCTAACAATAATAAGTACATTAAAACAGTTTTGAAATTACACAATTCATTTATTTACACCAAATTTCTACACAAGTGATATGGTTCAGACTAACCATTTAGTGAGCACAAGGCAATTGTAATTCTAACATTTAAAATTGCATACATCAAAAGCATATAGAAATTGCCATGATGAACCAAATGAATAAATAAAATTTCATAAAATACTAATGAATACATAGCATATCAAAATACAAAAGCACATATTCTATGTAAAAAAAAAAAAAAAAGCTTCCACCCAAACTATCCTTTAGTCAAGGTCGATGCAACAGTTCAGACAGACAGACAGTCACCCAGTTGACTCCAGATTTGTGCGTGTGTGTGCTGCACTGTATATGCCAGGACGTCACATTGGGAGAGGAAGTACAGTGGATTGGCAAATTGGCAACAATTATAGCCCACTGCCTCACTTTCACTTCTGCAAGCACTTTTCCAAGCAAATTATTGGTAATTTTGAAATATATTTTACATATTGACAATATATAATGCAGTGCAGTGTTGATTTAAAGAAAATAATCTTGAAATACACCAAGAGAACTAAAATTTTATGGGTGAAATGGTGCCATGGGGTGACTTCTCTTCCACCCCAATGCCTTCTCTTCCTTCTCCTCCACCCCTATTCTAATTCCCATCATCATCATCATCCAGGAGCCTTCTACGTACACACCTCAAAGTAAGTCAACTTTTTTACCATTTTTGTTGAATTTAGGAAATTTTCAGTGAGCTGGAACCAATTACCCAAAAACCCATTGAAACAATGGTTTCGGTTAACGAACGACCTTCTGGAACGGATTGAGTTCGTTAACCGAGGGGTCACTGTACTGTACTCGACACCAATTCCTCATTAGTAACGTTTTGTTTGAGTACAGTATATACTCGTCTATAACCCCCCCCTCGTTTATAGGTCGACCCTGGTTTTTTGACCAAGAAATCGTTAATTTACGATATTCCTCGTTTATAGTTCGACCCACGTTTTTTAGGGTAATGGAACAACAAAACCTTCACTAAAAACACTCTACGTCCTATAAGCTGAGGCTCGCCGTGCACGAAACACGAGTGCGGAAGGCAAATTGTTTATCATTTATTATTACGACACTTTACACTGAAACGAGGGTAGTTTCCAAAAAAATATTGTATATTTCCATTCAAGTATTTATTCAAGTCAATTAGGAGGGAATATTATTGTAATAACAGTTTTTTAACTAAACCATTCGAAAAGCGATTACGGTAACATCTTTTGAACGAAAGAAAGCGAAAGTCATTGCTTTCGTCACGATTTTATCCCACTTTCCACTGTAATACGTACTAATTTCAGCAAAAATATTACAGTTCCGTGAATGTATTATATCAAGCACAGTATGAATAGAATATTGTAATATAACAGAATTTTAACCGAAAACACTTAAAAAACGAGTAACTTCTCTTGAACATCGGAAGGTTAGGTAAAATCTTTTCTTTTCGTCATGTATTTTATCTTATTTTACATTAAAATACATCACATTTCAGCAAAACTACTATTTATTTCAGAGAATATATTCATTCAGGCACAGTTAAGGTAAAATATACATGTGATGTAACCGTTTTTTAACTGAAAATGATTCGAAAGACACGTGTACCGTCTAGCTGATGCTCAACAGCTGGTGGTACATCATGCGTCGTTGTAAACAATAGGAGGTTGAAGTAGATTACCTGGTATTATATTAAGTGTGAAATATCGAAAAGGTTTTTAATACCGGTATTTTTTGTAGATCAATGAGAACTGTGATACCGTATATGATATGATAAGTTAGCCTGTGCTAAGAACTTCAACATAGACTACTGAAAGCACGTAGTAAGGTAATTTAGCCTATTGTAAGTTGGTGAGCTTCATTTACTGAAGGAACTGCACAACTTTTCATTACTAATTGGTACATATTTTACATTTCCATTGTTTACTGGCAGTAAATGGTGAATATTTTTCATGTCTGAAGCTAAAAGTTGCTCCTCGCCCTTCCCATCATGCACGGGTTCAACCTAGCAAAACTATTACGCATGTATAGGACGACCCCCAATTTTTGGCCTAAAAATTTGGTCTTAAAAACTCGAACTATACACGAGTATATACGGTAACTGGAAAACTACTATGCAGCAGTCGAAGCATCAATCAATATTATGTAACAGAGCAATGCTTTATCTACACAGGAAAGAAACCAAATTTCTTCCTTGAAATACAGAAAAATAACTTTCATTTGTACACATGCTATCCTAATTTGGTTTTTAAAGGACAAATTATGAATAAAAATTTGGCAGTACATACCGGTTTTCCTCAACGAGTTGTCAAAGAAGAGATCATCAACTATCACATCGTCCACTGTGCCAAATGGGGCAAGTTCCACTGCTCCTGCTGTCACATGGGATATAACATCCACAGCAGTGAAAGTCTTGGCACCTGCAAAATAAGTTACAAGTTTGTGGAATGATTGAGGATACAGTACCTGTAGTACCAAGTAAGGATCACAATGCCAAGTAAACACTCTTGGATGTGTGGATGAACAAAAGACTTGCAATGCAATTTAATTAATATTTTTACCTTTATTTCAAGCCAAAACTTTTATGGTATCTTGATTAACACAATTCCCTTATCAAAGTTTATCAGCCTCAAATTCGATCCCAATTGCTTCACCACTTTTCACCATTTCCCTTTGTATTGCCACCTAAAGTTTAAGTCTGGTTTCCAAATTCATTGTTTTCTCCAAAAGGTTGACAGCTCTAATGTAAAGAGGTTACTTTTATCCTCTTCGCCATTGATTGGCTCATTAACCACTTGGGCGGGCGGGCGGTCTGTTGGTCAAGTCTCCATTCCATACTGTTGGGAAATACAAGTTCCAGAATGTAGCTGAATACCTGCACCAGTGTTGGTCAAGTCTGTTCTTGAACGAGTCCGTGCCATCACAGCATTCTCTGGCCGATTGTTCCAAGAGTTAAAATTGACACTCCAAAAAAGGTCACCCAGACAATTCTCATAACCATTGCTTCAAGCCTTCTTCCCCTTACATGTCCCATCATTCACAAACATCTTTTAACTACTGCAGTTATAAGAGCACCAAATATTTAATAAGGTCCCACACTGATTCTAGATTCTCCACATCACTTGCTGTAAATATGCTTCATACAACCTCGAGTGATAAACTTTCTTGTAACCCTAATATGTTTTTCAAGTAAAAATGTTACATTTACAATATTCGTTTGAGTTTTAATGTGGATGGTAACCTATCGGTGCTGATGTCAGTACAGGCTGTACTGGCTAACCTTACTACTGTAATAAGAATAACATGTTGAATGTCCAAAACCCCAAAGCTTAGGACAAGTGCTTCAACAATCACGAAGAATTTGGGCAGAATTTTGAGATTTTATGAATACTTTTCTTCAGGATTTAAAAATATTACCATCCAACCAAGCACGACATTATATTCATCTACTTTTGAATGAATGAAAGTTCAGCTTTGGTACAGATACTATATACATGTAGTTTTAAATTGAGATTAAACTTCCAAAACTTATATTGACCAGCAGTTTCATTTTAGGAAACTGAAGTGGTGAATAACTTTAAAATTAATTTCCTGGAGTTTTTACCTGTGAACAAAACAAGCACTGCCTAATTCACAACAGTATTCGTTAATTTTCTTTACCCCATGAACTTACCTGTTATGATGGCAGTCGAGTCTAGGGTGACGACATCATCTAAATCTATACCGTCGATATGAACCTTTCCTTGAACTGTCAACTCCATTATCTCTGGGTTGTAGAGGTACACATCCTGAACAATATTCTGGACCTTATCCCTCATAACAAACTGGGATACCAGTTGATCCAAGTCAAATCCATTCACAGTTTGCACATTAACATTCCCTTCAACTTTCTGTAAGGGAAGTTACAAAAAAGTTATCACCTACATACTCTTAATTTTAAGAACTAATGAAGAGCCCACTAAATTATTACCACCTTCCATACTGTCACTGGGTAAGAGGCAATATAGAGATCAGTGTGCGAGGATTAAGGACGAGTAGATGCAATGCAAATTTTAATTTTACTTTAAGCAGGATTAATATCCAGTTTTAGGGAGATAACCAACAAAGTACACTGGCTTGGAGAAATTTAACCAACTAACATGTTTCAGGATACATTACAGGACTGAAGAATGTCAGCAACAGCAGTTTTCAACAAAAACAGGGATAATGGATAAATTTACAACTATTACCACCAAAGGATTAATTTTTAGGGGACCCAAGATTAACTGTACCCAAAATCCTTGCTCCACAAGGGAGCGAGGTCAACAAACCTCAGGTATTTGGTCCAACTAGCAGTCATGGAGTTCTTTAGATTCATTATCTTTTAAGACTTAAAGCATGTACGGATCAGACAAGTCGCGTGTGGGGCAGCATTACAATGTAGACCGAATGGATTTCTGGTAAGTTCAATATGTTTTTATATTGGTTTAAGGAAGGGTGTTACCAAAATGTAATCTTATGACAAGGTGTGACCCATTCTCTGGAGAAAGGTTTCAGATGACCTAGAAAGGGACATCAAGTGGGTGGCACCAATACTTCATGGAGGAAGAAGTGGATGAAGGATTTTGTACCCTCACACCCAACATGATATGCAGACATCCCTCGACTCAAACCCTTCCCTAGAGGTAGTATACATAGTTGAAAAAATGGTGACCCACCCCACACCCCCCCCAGAAAATCATCAAATTTGCCTTTTACTACTAGCATGTATAAGCATATACTATCTGTATATATATAACTATACATTCTTTATCTTGCTTTGCACACCACTTAAAACCTAATGTAGACATCAAATATACAGCCATGATTGCAGCAGGTCATGTCTATATTCTTGGGTAAATTTTAGATGCTGTCGATACCAAAAACAGACAAGAAACTGTAAAATGGAATTATGTAGTCCCATTTGAACAGAAATTTTGTAATTGAATTTCTAGTCCTTAAAACAAAGTTGGCTACAGTACTGTAACATACTAGATCTGATGTAAAGGTGACATCTCTGGTGAAGATATGCGGCACTCCTTTTAGAACATAGTCTTTTGGTTTCTTTCCATTCAACTGTGAAGTTACACTGATATCTCCAACAACCTGTGAAAGATCAAAGGGTTAAAAGTTACAATGAAGTACTGTAGAGCATACTATAAAACTTAAGTTAGCATTTCATTACAAAGGCAGTTTATACTAAAAATTCTCCCACCTTAACATGATCTTCAAAAATCACTGTTGTGGATATGTTGTTAGTATTAAGGGGTATAGCATAGTTGAGAATGTCCGAAATTCTGACACCATCCAAAACCCCTTCTGTTAACTGGAGGTCATCCAAGAATGCCACCGATCCCAAAATCTTGCGACCAGCTGAGGAAGGACAAGAAAGCAGTTTTGAAGTGTCTGAAATGTTCCTAGTACAGTAGGTGCATACATTACAGTATTCTAATCCGACTTGATATAATAATACTAAATACTTACAATTTACACCTTTCACAAAGTTGGATATTAGCATCTTCTGGAAGTCTTCAATCTTGTACCCAGACACCGTTCGAGAAACTGTCGAGTGACCAAGGACAGTCATCCGGCTAAATGTTTTCTTGGCAAATACTTCCTGGTCTCCATTCAGCAGTAACAAGTCTAACTCACCATCCCTGACCTGTCACCATATAGGTTTTAATTAAGGCTAAAAACCCTTAAAAAATGCACATGTATTCACACAAGATGAAGGGCTACACATGTATTTTGAGCCATCGAATACAATATATTCAGTAGTAATCATCTCTAACTCCAGTCTACACTAGTACACTTCCTACATTTCTCCAAGAACTATTTTAGACAAAATGCTTTGCTCACATACTATATACTGTACAGTACTTGTAGGTCACTATTATTATGATTACTTTTATATTAGGGGCTTAACACCATATATATATTCAAGTACAGACTTCCAATAAAATATTGGATAGTGTAGACTGTAGACAATGTACATAAAGAAATTTTTTTCCTACATTTGTTACAGACGTAGGCGAAATGATGTACCCCTCGACTTACGACCACAGCAGTCGTATACAGTATAATTTTTTCAAATTACATATTTTCGAGTCCCGAAGTTAGTGATCGCACTGTGTACACAAAATTTTGGTTTGTAATTCCCTTTAAAATAGCTGGCAAGCATAAAAGTGAGTTTTGTGAAGCAGAGAAGAAAAAGAGACACCCATTTTAGATTATGTATTTTCGTATTCCGACAAAAGACTTACGGCCTGGTCGTCGATCCCTAACCCCGTCATAAGTCGAGGACTGACTGTATACTGGTACATCTTCATGAGGACCCACCTGTAGACTACAAAATTAGTTGTACACAAGCCCAATTTTAACTATTACAAACCCTAATGTCACCAAGAGCCCTCCTGACGATCACACTATCTGCACGAATGTTCTCAAAAGTGGCGGGTTGGGTAATCGTCTCGCTGCGGTCCCTCAAAAATACTTCCTCTGGCACAGCTACTCCATTGATCCGACCTTGCACTGTCAGGCCACGCTGGACAGTCAAACTTCCAATCGTGTGAGCACCTGGTTGTACAATAAGGAAATCTTATAAAAAGTATACAGGAAATTTAACAGAATTCCATACCTCAATAGAATATTTTGTATTATACAGGGAGAATAAAAAAGTTTTCACCTGTTATTTCCTGTGTGCTTTCTGTATTATGGAAGAGAGCCTTATCCATCACTGTACGAGGGTCCACAGGTGTCAGTGCTTGTCTCGTTCTTATAAATCGAGCTATCAAGTCCCCACTCACATCTAGAGGGCCTGGAAGATAATCATTTATACAGTTCTTACACTTCAACTGTTTATGTAGTTAACACTTCATTTCACTTTTCTTCGCCACTTGTCTGTTTAATAACCAGTACACACTCACCCATTATGTGTTGGTTAGTATTGTTCAGGACAAGCATCCTATGGAACTGGCTGAAGTCTCTGCCATTAAGAGTCAGAGTTTGGATGTGGGGTGTTGTAATAGTCTCCACTGTCAGACTGGAACTAATTATCTGTTCCTTTACAGTTAGCAAAAGATTCTTCTCATCAACATAAACAGAATCAACTGAAAAAAAATAATTTCAATTTCATGACAATGGACAGTTAAAAAGGTCTGTTCATCTTCACCACTCCTACAGTGTTGGGTACATTAAAACATTCAATAAATAAAAAAGTATAGAGGTATTCTGTATTTAGGTGTTAGCAGAAGAATATGAAGTGGGTGGGTGGGGGGAAGCTGATGTGAAGCCTGTATATATATATATATATATATATATATATATATATATATATATATATATATATATATATATATATATATATATATATATATATATAAAATTACAACAATGTGGTATACAGTATATCTAAACCATCCATTACTTTTGGGCGAGGGGCCTTCACAGGCCACGGAGCAGCTGCCAGAGGCCTCCACAACATATTCAGCAAATGCAAAATGTGGGAAATTTAAACTTGCCTCAAGAAATATATTGCAACAGTCCCAAGATATATCCATTACAGTGTGACCTTCCATTCCACAACTGTTAAGGAATATATCCACCAAGGGTTTGAGTAACATATTTTGAGAAAGAGGGTTTTGAAGTACTTGTACCTATATTAGTCTGTTAATGAGAAAAATGTGGAGGAAAGTCCTTGATAATCTGCATATATGACCCAACATCAAGATGACAAGCTAATACAAGGGATTATAAAATGCATTCCCTAAGAATGGTAAAAATTACAACTATGGCAAAGTAAAAAAATAAATAAAAAGTAACTACTGTATGATAATTAAGAAATTAGAACTAATAGGGAACTCTTATTTCACCGAATTTAATGTTTAAAAATGTACTGCACCATTTAGCAAATAAATCTTCTGGAATGAAAACCTCTTATGCTATACTACTGCAGTCAATTTTTATGATAAATCTTGTCTAACATGGCAGTTAAAATGAATGTTGAAAGTATCTAGTTTGATTTAGGCCACCCTGCCCTAGTCAGAAAGGGGCTAAGGAGAAAAAATTCACACTAACCTGTCCCAGATACCCTCAATTCATTCGCTTTAAGGAGTCCAAAAGTCTTCTGCCCAACAATGTGGTGACTGCCAGAGAGGGTGACTAGTTCTGTAATGGGAGTCCGTGGGAAGCCTGGACCACTTAGGTAGGCAACTTCAGCTACAGCCCCACCTGTCACTTCCACATTGGCAAAACTCAGATTGAAAAGTTCAGCATTCTGGTCTAACATCAATGCCTCTTCAAATAAGGAACTTATGCCATTAATCTGTAATTGAAAATTAAAAATATATAAAAATTAACCAAATCAAAGTTCACCAAATTTTATTAACAAGTCTCCTTTATTCAAATTTTATTAAGACGAATTTATTCAAACCTTTAAATTAAGGAATTCTTATGGCTAAATTTGCAACCAGTCTTAAATTAACAATTACATTAAGATACAGTACTCCAATTTACAGTTCAAAGCAGAAAAGCCACCTACTCTCTCGGCCTGCAAGTTGTCCACCCTGCAGCCAACAATGCCACTAGTCTTACACTGGAACTCCACATTAGAGAAGTGAAGACCATCTGAGAAGAAAAAACCTTTATTTATGAATTTTGCAATACATATGCACTTTTTGTAGTTTGCCTCCCCGCCCTTTACATACTTTGATTAAATGTGACCAAGAAGTTCTCTATATAATCTTATTACTCTAGCATGGTGTGATAGCAACTAATAGGTATGGTGTTGGTAGCTCGAGTTCAAAAATAATTACTACACTTTACACTTGTTCACTCCTTATAATTTAACTCGAGGTGTGCCTATATGTTGTTGCTATTACAATGGTAATATAGTACAGTACACTACTTGCCATAACTCCAGGGACAGCTTATCATGTACACTTGGTTAGTTCTTAACTTTAGTTGGAGCTTCATCAATCCAATTACTGTACATGTACTGGACTCTGCAAATAGGTCCATTTCGGATTTCTTAATCCGGTACTATTCCAATTGATTGTAGACCAGCATCAATTAATTTATGGCTAAACAAGTCACTGTACGATTGAGTTAAATATGTTGAACACTAATGCATGAATTTAATGTGAACTGTATCAAAGGAATACATCATTACCGGTACTTTTGATTTGATCTTCACCGATCTAAATTATAGGCAACACGTCCTTGCTCAGGCTTTGGTACACCTACATTTTCTTGTATGGTTTATTTTCTTGTATGGATCGATAATTGGGAATCCTTTACACAGACTTCATTCCCATCGGAGGCCTGGGAGTCTATATAAAGGATCCTCATGCATCTGCTTCCAAGAGATTGTTTTTCATGAAATGATTTAAAGTGGTTGTAAGCACTACAGATTTGTACTGTACTATGTGCTCTTCTGGGAAATGATCAAATCAAATTCTCTTAAGAAGTCTCACTGATAATAATGCATTTCCAAATTACCTAAGCAATAGTTATTAATACTGTATTGCACATACTTACTCAGGTCTGGACGGGTGACCTTTTTGGAGAGTGCAACTGTAGTTCGAGCTTTAGCAATTCTTTGGAAGGCTTCATTTACATCTTCCACACGGCCAGTAAAGCTACTGAAGTTAAAGTTCACACTGTAGTCTTGGCCCCTCACATGGATCTGGCCAAAACGGGAAATATTACGGCTTAAGTTTTATCTCGGGGCACCACAGGCCAGTCAGTAATAATCTATACTACCACACCTCGATGCTCCAGATCAGTCCTGTAGCTAAAGAAGCCTGAAGAGCCACTACTGCGAGTACTTACTGCAAATCACCGACACCCTTGGACTAAAGTTAATCCCAAACATAGCCGAGAGCAACCTAAGCAAGTTGCTATCCTATAACATACATTTGTAATAACCTTGCAACAATTGGGTATACTTCCTTCCCAGAGGAATTTTAACTGAAGATTTCAGACAAGTCCTTAATTTCTATTTGTTTAAATTTGGCCCAAAATCTCCAAGATGCTTTATAAAGAAAATTTCTAATTCTATGTCTAAATTTGGCACCCTACAATAAGCAAATACTTACAACTCTCATTCTGGACAGGTAGGGTCCTGCTTGTAAGACCAGATTACCATGAATATTCACAGGTTGAGTGAAAGTAAAAGATCCATTAGTCTTTGGAGCATTACGAACACGTGTCACTAAATGGTTTAGTCCATCATCCATTACGCTCTTGTAGGACTCGCACCATTGAAGGCTTTCGCTGTGATAGGTCTGAAAATAAAGTAAACTAGTGCTCATTTTTATCACCATCCCATAATAGAATTACCAAGACCTGCACACTTATTATGCAGTAAGAATGAAATTGATACAATTATATAGTGGTACTTCTTCATTAAATACACTCCAATCAATATACATATAAAATAAATCTAAGGTCTAAGTTAAAGTTGTAGTGGGACAACACAATAAATATTACCAGAACAAAAATTCTCTACAACTACTTTGACAGACGCCAATCACTAAGCAAACTACACTGGCTCATCTTTAAGTGTGCACATTTGTAAGAGCAGAATACAAAGGTTCTCGACTCCGCTGTACAAGACACCTCAAAATTGAAAGCTCAAACAAATTCAGGTTTCTTCATTTACAACTTCGTCTTCAAAACCATTACTGTATACAATACAGGTATCTAATGCGCATAATACTACATTCTTTAAAACATTGACTCCATAAGGTAATCCGACTTGCGTACACCCTCCGATACGAACATGGTTAAACTTGAAATTTACAGTACAGTATGGTATGGTCTCGGCTTAAGTGGATTTTTATCCGCGGTTGGTCATTTACGTGGCACCTGTCCAGACGCTCCAATTATTAGTTACGCGGTACATTCCTGAATTTACGTGGGAAGCAGAGCGGACAAGCTGCGCGCTAGGTCACTCTTACGTCACCGGTGACGTCAGATGACGTTTTGGACTGTGATTGGGCCACGCATCCTTACCACCCATGCACCCCCTCCGCCGAGCGCCGTGATTGGTCTATTTAACCTTGCCTGCCCAGTCAACCAAACATTACGGAGTTCTTCACCCGCCACAGCCAGCCCAAGTCAGTGATAGTTATAGTGAGGATATGGACTTTGAGGGGTTTGATTAGGAGGCCCCGCTAGCCTCTGTGGTGGATAGTGATACAGACGAGGACCAATAATCTGCCCTCTGCCACGGAACCAACTCCCCATCCCCGTGTGCCCAGCCATCTCTTCTACCAATGTAAGTGTTAAAAACCTAATATCATTGATATTTCTTTTGTATATTAATTGTGTGCATACCATCGTAAAATTAAGATGTTATTTTTATTACAACGTACGTATTGTGTCGGAAAAAGGGTAGTCTGGGGGTCGGTCCAGTCTATTTTAATTAATCCCATGTGTTATGTTATTTCGTTTACGCGTTATACGCGGACCTCCATGGGTTTAATTGACCTCGTAAAACGAGACTATACTCGAATTTATTTACCCAATTTATTTTTTACTTTCATTTACTGTATTTTGTCATTATATTTCTTCTTTTGTCTTAAATTAAGGAATTTTAGATGTATATAATGACTTAAACTATGACAGTGGGATTTTAAACATGGTTTTGTAAATACGGCAAGCATATAGAATGTGATCCGACTTGTGTACAAATACGACTTACGAATGTCCTCAGGAATAGAACCTGTTCGTAACCCGGGGACCTCCTGTAATATCTTGCCAGGCTCTACAGTGAGTAGGAAGTTTGCTGCCTGTAGCTCATCTCATTTTAGGTATAAACAAAATTCCAGCAAAATAATTTGGATGCCTACAGCACTGATTTCCATTATCAACCTAAAGACTACTAACAGCTAGAGGATTCCTGTGCTCGAACTTCAAATAATACACCAGAGGTCGGCTTGGCTCCTCGAATGGGTTAACAACGGCAAGGACCACCTCATTCAAGGTCTTGGGCACCCAGCTGATCCAGGCTCGTTCTACACCCTAAAGGAAATAAAGACATTAAACACATCCAGTTCTACAAGTACAGTACTTTATTTTTTTTTCATCTCTTGCAAGTAAATAACAAACTTTAGTCAATTTTATTCCAGGAGTGATCAAATTGATAGTCCGGAGAACTTGTGTAATGATATTAAACAAAAATTTCTTAACTATAGCAGAACAGTCAAATTTACTGAAAAGTGTATTACTGTAGATTCTAAACACTGAATCAGACATGACTTGAACTTATCCCTGTAACCTTTAATTGTAGCAAATAACGTATTAAAAAACTTACTGCTCTAGAAGCCTTAAAAGGACTAAGGACAAATCTCCAACCATTGTATTGGTAGAAGAAGATGCCAGCCTGGCTGTTGACCACTGCCAATACAAACTCTCCATTTGGGCCCTGAAATTTTTTAGATGTTCATAATATGGTCTCGTGTACCAATGACAACCCCTTTGCATAGGTTCAAGAGAACTGAAAATAACGCTCAATGCTAAAGCATGTAAAATACATCGTTAACAGCATTTTATACAGTATAATCTATATTGTATAAGCAATACAGAAATAAACGAAACTATCACCTACCTGGTACACCACCCACTCCCGGGCTCCAAAGGTTCGTATACACTGGAATGGAACAAACTTGCCATCATCGTACTTGTAGATCACCGAGTCGACTTCAAAGTTTTTGTTTCCAGCTGACAGAAAAATCCAGTTTGTGGAGTGTAAATAGGATACAAAAAAAAAAAATTATTAATGATATTTTATATGTTTACCAACGAAAGTGGAACTTATACCTATCAGATTCAATGGCCCCAACATTTAGGCCTTTTAAATTCATACGTTATTATGCACATGCAGGAGAAAGACTCGTTATAAACCATGATAGGTCATTTTCACCCATTACAGTAGTCAAGCTAAACTAAAAATACAGGAAGGAAATACCAAAGGGCTTGGGAAGCAGGTTTCATGATGTTAATCATACTGCATAGCTTGAACATTACAACAAAATCATAAAAGCAAGAATTCCATTCAGCCTTAGTCTGGAATATTAAACCCATTTAATTTCCCAGCAACCATGGGATTGTATTTAAATATTTCCCGATACGGACTACATTCTTACCCTGGCGTTTTTGCCGAAAGTCATCCTGCATATTTTATAAATTAAACCAGTCATTCTTCACATCCTCAGCCGTCTGTAATACGCTTATAAAACTTCAAATCTAATAATAAAACATTCACATTACATTCGAAGCCTTGCAGTTGAGGAGGGTAAAGGTATAACTATTATTTAAACCATATGGACAATTAGCAAAGGAATATAAAAAAGTTAAGTAGGTTTGGCTCTTCTCATTAAACTTAAAACTCAATTAGGTTCATCAGCTACAGCAATTACAGTATATATTTTGCATAGGACAATGACAAGCACCAAGCTCTACATTCTCCACCTTACCTTTGTCATATTTATATTCATTAGCTACAGCCAAGAAATATTCTGCATTTGGCCCACTAACAAAGCTGAAGGCTGCCCAGTCTCTGGCACCACTGGTGCGAACACGCTGGAAGGGCCTCAGTCTTGCATGGTCCAAATCGTATACAAATATGTCACTGTCTATCTCCACATTCCCTATTAAAATGCACCAAATTATTATCTTTTACACTTCATTCTTGTGATATTTATGACAATAACATTACTTTATTCACTGCACCAAAGCAATACTTTACCTAAATCATCAGCATGGTTGGCAATGGCTAGAAACTGGCGCGATACAATTTTGAAGGCAACAACTCCTCGTGCATTCATACTGCCAAATGATGCACTATCGAGCCTATCATAAGTGGTGTAAACCTCGCCATCCAGAGTCATTGTCTGTCAAAAGTATATTCTTGAAGCCTAAACTGATTACTTTCAATTAAAAATAAATGATTGCAGTGTACCTTTCATATATACAGTACATAGCACTACAATGAAGAAACAAACATACCTGCATTCTGAAGATAACATTGGAAATCTCACCAGTCTTTCTAATATGGTCATATGAATTTGCAAATGCTAAGTAAGTGTAACCTCCAAGAACCCTGAAAAATACAGTTTTTGTAGTTTAGAATCTCAAAAGTACCTTATGATTTACAAAGGTTTAATATGCAAAAATATAAAAGGGAGATGATTTGATGGACACTATACAGTACTGCAGTTTGTATTAATTTATGAGAAACCGCTAGATAGTTATGTCCAATGGAAGAACTGGGATTACATCCCAAATACTTTACTGTAATAGCAAGGTGCATCAAATGGTCTGCACAGAAAATAATAAGCAGGTTTAAAAGCAAATAAGAATTGGGATTAAAAAGGTATTATTCCCCAAGTACAGGTATTATCCCCTTAAAGGACTACAGTATTTAATCATACTGTACTAAAGACTTCATATTACTGGTACATTTAAAAAAAAATTTACTACACCCCTGGGTCTGACTGCCTTCTCAAAGATCACTGACCGAGGTCCTTCATTTGATAAGCTTGGTACTTCCGATTGTGATGCATTGTATAACCAATACAATGTACTGTATATCACGTATAATTAATAGAGAAATTAACAATACATTTAAAACCTTTAACTCCCGAGTAGTGTTCAGACTTTTTTGTCAACTGCAGTGTTTATCTTAGACCTGCCAACTGATAAATCATTATTACCACAAATCAGTAGACCTACCATATGGCAACATCCTGGGCACCATTAGTCCGTAAAGTCCTGTGGAATACAACTGATATACCGTCCACCCACGTCATCCTGTATATCCCACAGCCAACCTGCCAAAGAAAGAGGTTTACTTATTTATCATTTCACCTTGTCTCGGCTTACTAGCCATTCAGGCTTGTGCATTACTTTATCCTCTTTGGCCCTGACTAGCCTGTTAAACACTTGGGCATTCGGTGAGGTCTGTTATACACTGTTGGTCAGCACAGTACAGTATATACTGGGCATGTATTGGCTCCAGAATGTATCTGAACCTGCAGCAATGTTGGTCAAGACTAACCTTAAGTCTGAACTGTTAAAAAAGGTTCATCCATGAATTTCAAAATAATACATGTACAGTATATAAAAAAATAATTTCAATTTTTAATTTACTGTAATGCAAAAACTAACTGATCAAGCAGCATCTCACCCTGGTCTTATCCATGGCCTGTTCCCCTTGGGACTCCACACACACAAATTCTACAAAGCTGTCCATCAGCAAAACTGGTACACATTTGGTGGCCCCCATTGTGTTGACTGATGTTGTCAATAGCTGGTAATCCTGAAAAGAAAAATCCATTATTTTTCCAAACATTTCATTTACATAAAACTTAACCACACACAGTTACAGTACAGTATTACCTTACTGCTAAAGTGATTTCCCTTAAGTACAGATGATAAATATCCAGTGTATATGAATTGTAGGGTCATCACAGTATAGTTCTCCCAACTTTAGTAAGCATACCATGTGAAGAGCATAGACGTGAAGGCGTCCAAAGTTAATGTGGGTGAAGCTTTCCGTGACAAACCAGAAGAGGAAATTCTGGTGCTCAAATACCACCATGGAAATGACATTAGAAGGGACAGCAAAGGACTTCAGGATGGTGTTCACATTGCTATCAAGGTCCATCAGTCTGTAGTAGCCTGTGGGGAAGTCATCAAAGGAGGCTACAAAACGGTCAATATTTCTTCCTAATTTAGAAGCCATCTTCACTCATTATTATTCTTAAACAGGCTATCTTTCAACCTGTACAAACCAAATCCTGGAACAATTACACTACCATCTGCAGATGGTCTCAGCCACACCACTAACATTCAGTGAAGTCATCACCTGTACACGAAATAAGTATAGACTTATTTATATCTACTACTTATCCTTTCCATAATGGAAGCCTCCTAGATAAAAGCCACATTTCCCACACTATCTTGAAACTTGTTCCAACTTTAATTCAATTCCCAAAATGGTTTGCCAACTATATATGTATAGGGTACTGTATTGGAACACTGGTACCAAAATTTTACCCAAATGGCAAGCAAAATAATGACTAAAGCTTCTCAAAATTTTATATAAACATAAAATGAAATGTAGTGACATCTGCCAGCAGGTTGGTTACAATTCCATCACCAGTGTACTACCAGTGATGTGTTCTGAAATACCAGCGAATTTTTAGGCCCAAAACATTTCAAGTTCTAGATATACCATTTGTCTGTATAGTGAACTATTACTGTATGAAAACAGTACACTGCCTCACATCTGTAATGATCAGAGTAAATAACTAATAAAATTAACACAATTACATGTTAGAATTCTTTGTGTTTTGAAAAGGCAGGTCTTAAAATTTCCTTGCCTGTGGATAATGTAAGAACAGCCTTAACAGGTTCCTAATTAGCTCAATGATAAATTCAATAACTTTAGGGGCTACAGTGGTCGACCATAACCATACTGTACAAATAAAAGTCTCTGCTTGAACTTCATTGTGGCTTAGAGTAAAGTCCTCCAAAGATGACAACTCACTTTGTGACTAGATCTGGTTTATCAGTAAATAAGGGGCATTAAGTAATGTATATAACTAAATTTGTATAAAATTATTTTCTTCTGAAAACTTGTGTACCCTCACCTTTTTCATCCCGAAAGAGTTTTGTATCGAGGGCATGAGCACGTCGCTGTCTGTGGCGCACATCTAACAATGATCGTAATTCCTCTTGTAACGTCACTAAGCCATCTTGCTGGAATCTCTCAAGACGACCATCTGCTAAATGCATCAAGAGGCTATTAACTTTCAATGAACAGTTATCATAGCAAGCTTTCCTAGAGTGATTTCACTTAAAGCATTAACCAAGTATATTTCAACCACTATTTCCAGGTTTGTGTTAAATATCAAAATGAAGAATATTCACTGGAAGTCGACAATTCTCAAATACAGTATGTGTGCTTGCCTATATTTTGCATGCCATAGCCAGCTAATGAACCAAGCCCAGTGCTGATGCCTGACCACAGTCGTTGAAGCACCCCAGCATCTTGTGCCTCTTCATCCACATTGCGTAACTCCTCCTGTGATCCCAGACTGCCAGGAGACTTTACTCTTGTTGGCACACCTTCAACCTGTGTACAGAAAATTAAACTGGAAGGGTACGGGATTCGGGGAAATGTCCTAGTGTGGATCGGAGACTTCCTCCATGACAGCAAGCAGTGTGGTGATTAATGGCACGAAATCATTTGTACCCGTCACACGCGGGGTACCACAGGGCAGTGTATTGGGCCCGCTGTTTGTTTCATAAATGACATGCCTGAAGCTGTACAGTCCTCCATACAAATGTTTGCAGATGATGCCAAATTATTTTGGGAAATTAAGAACCAAGCAGACTGAAGAGCTGCAGAAGGATCTCTTAGCTTCAAGAATGGTTGAGGAAATAGCTGCTAAGATTTAATGTCACAAAGTGTAAGAGGATGCACCTGGGACGTACCAACGGTAAGGAGGCGCATCATATGTCCCAACGGGATGAAGAAACTGTATTGAGACTGAAAGTGCATTAATTTAGACCGAATGTGAAAAGGACCTAGGTGTGTACGTTGACAAAGAGATGAAGTTACCGGGCCATTGCGAGAAGGTAAATCAGGCAACTAAATTATTAGCTCTTTAAAGAAGGTCGTTCAGACATCTAACTGTCCGTTCCGTGGTAAGCACTTCAATAGTGAAGTGCTTCCCCGTCTGGAGTGCTGTCACCCCATCTGGTCCCCGAGATATGCTAAGGACTGTCAGTTGAAAAAGTCCAAAGGAAGGCCATCAGACTGGTGCCTGCACTGCAGCACCTCGGCTACCCTGAGAGATTAAGAGTGACTAAAATTGCCTAGCTTATACTACATATGGGCAAGGGGAGATCTAATCGAGATGTATGAGCATCTCAAAGGGCTCTACTCAGTCGAGTGCCCTTACTTGGAGCTGGCGGACGCTTGCCCCACAAGGGGTCACAGCTCAAGGTTGAAGACGCCACAAGCCCAGAAAACTAGTGTGACAGTGCTTAAAATAGCTCATACAAGCCATATTTACGCGATAAAATGAGAAAGTAAACTGAAGTAGTGAATCAATGTCTCCATTGCTCGATCTGAGAATATCTAAAATATTTCAATTTCCGTCAAGCAGAAGGACCAATTTAAAAAGAAAATATGTGAAGGTAATCACATAGGATATCTGGCCTGCCCTACACTACTGAATATAAATACCTTCTATACAGTAATACAGTATAATATTCATACTATGTCTGAGGGGTAGAGAATGCACCATTCATAATTAAATAGCATTTCTTATGGGGATAATTAGTTCAACATTCGACAATTTAAGGTTTGACCTCATTTTCAGGAATTAATTTTTGTCCAAAATAGGGAGTTGCCTCTATATGTAGAAATAGAATTCACATTAATGCCTACACCTGTACAATACTGTACTCTGAAAGTAAAAAAAACAGCCTATAAACTTGATCTTACGATAAACTTCTAGTACCCAATTTAAAGAACCGTTATGAAATACTAGCACCTAATACACATCTCAAAATTTAACCCCTCAATACTTAATCCCAAATTTCTTCATAAAACGAAGATATTAACGCACACCTACAATAAAACCTCTTGTTTACTCACCAACAAGTGGACCCCTAGGAATAGCACCAGGACAAGGATGTCCCTGGAGAGATGCAGATACATGATTGGGACAGCAGGGCAGACTTCCACCCACACCTGTTGATATAGAATGTAAATGAAAAGTGTCCTTTTGGTCAACAGCAATTTTTCATAAAAGTTCAGGTGGACAGGTAGCACGAGGAATAGCACAAAAGAATAATCTACAAGATTTACAGCAACAGGAAATAATGTTCACAGTATATAATTTTGCAACCAAATAACAAATGGCACGGATATAATGTTTGTTTTAATAAAATAATCTGATGAAAAACTTACCAAATTTTTTTAATACATTACAAGGAATTCTAAGAAGACATCAAATATATAATGGCCACTATTGTATCTGGCTATTCCGACTAAAGTAGCATCACCATACACCCAATAACAGTCACAAAACCCCAATTTTCCACTAACCGATTGGGAAATAGTCGGACAGAATGCAATTAATATTAAAATGCAGGCCTGTGGCAGCACCGAGCGAGCTCATTTACTGTACGACCAGACTGCTGGAACAGGTTTAGATACACTTTATGATTTGGAGCCAGTATATGCCCAGTATTTGCCAACAGTGTGTAACAAACGTGACCAACAGCCCAAGCGGTTAGCAGGCCGATTGGTGGCAAAGAAAAAAGAATTGGTATCAAGTGACTTCAGTATACTACTAGCGGCCATGTTAGATTCTTGGATTCGAAAACCAAACACGACGACAGCTTACCGCTATCGTTATCAGTAATTGTTATGTCGAGTTCTGTATAATCTATTATGAGGGTCTGTGTGTCAGTAACAATTCCTTTTACTCGTACTTATTACCATTGGTAGCGTGACGAGAGGAGGCTCGTGGGTAGATGTAATGATAGTATCAAGCAATAGGGAAGAAATAACGGTAAATAATAGACAATATACAAACAAAATTTATTTAAACATTAATATGAAATTAGGTTTAAGAATTTATATGTACCAACAGACGAAATCTAGTACTAGGCCCTCAGGCTCAACATACTCACACCACTACTGGGTGGACATACTCAATAACACTCCCAACCCTACTGGGTGGACATACTCAATAACACTCCCAACCCTACTGGGTGGACATACTCAATAACACTCCCAACCCTACTGGGTGGACATACTCAATAACACTCCCAACCCTACTGGGTGGACATACTCAATAACACTCCCAACCCTACTGGGTGGACATACTCAATAACACTCCCAACCCTACTGGGTGGACATACTCAATAACACTCCCAACCCTACTGGGTGGACATACTCAATAACACTCCCAACCCTACTGGGTGGACATACTCAATAACACTCCCAACCCTACTGGGTGGACATACTCAATAACACACAACTCTTCTACAGTAGTCACTTAGCACCATAAAGACCAGGACAACTGCCACTACCACCTTCAGTCGTCAGGAGTGATACTCAAGCAACAGCCATGGGGTCCAGCCACCATGGAGTACTTTCCGACGAACTCTGAAGATCCCAGTGGATTAACTCCACCACACAAATAGCTCTACTGAGTTAGACACTCATCCACCAATGATGGGGGCTGGCAGTGGTGTGTGGCTTGGTGATCCGGGGTCACCTCGCAGGCCGAGCGTTAGGGCCAGACGAGCCAGCTATGGGGGTCATAGGTAGTCTGAAGTGTCTGACGGCCGGGTCTCACGAAGGTAACTGATCCTACTGGACCTCGGACGTCTCCCCAGACATAGTGGATACACCATCCACGCTACAGACACGGCCTAGGCTGCGTTAGGGACCCGTATGGGTGAAGGGACGGGCACTCACTAACGGTGACAACAACATCACGTTTCAGGGGACGTTAAAGACGTAAATATGACTTCACTCAGAGCATATCAACTACGTTACTGTAACACTTGCACAATCAACTATTAATTGGGTCAAATCACTTAAAGCAGGGCGAATTACAACAGTGGAATGGCATACCTGTATGGGTGAAGGGACGGGCACTTACTAACGGTTGAAATGCCCGCGGCCCTCACTCAAAATAGGCCAGGGAGTCCACCTACTTCTATTCCGATGAATTTACTGTACACACTGACGTTGAAACAGACTATAAACTCTGTTTCATTCCCTACTATTATCTTCACTAACAATGCTCTGACTCGGCTATGAAACGCAAAATTAAATTGATTACAAAGGGTTGGATGGCAATAGGTCCCAACATACAGCGTCTGCTACGAAATCCGTGGATTATATTCAAAGTTCCCTACAAACAAAGACGGGGAAACAGAAAACGGGGGACGTTTCCACTGGGGGACTCAGGTTTTGTGGACGTTTGAGCGTAATATGAATCCTTAAGGTTTTCAGGTTAGCCATTATCACGATTATGGCGCTATCATTAATCGATATACTGTTTCCATTGGTTTGCTTGTTATTTTTTTCAAATACTGCAAAGTAAGCTACAGCGAAACTAAAGAGCACTGGAATATAGGTATTTGCATATATTGAAGTTTATCGGAGATGATGTACCGGGTATACACTACGATGCCGGTGTCAAGTGTTGCCAAATGACAGCCACTAGCAATCCAAAAGTCCCAGACACCGACAACCACTCGTTTTCAAAGTCCATGGCTCTATGCTTCTTAGTAATTTTGATAGTGGATGGGTACGCCAGTCCGCAGTGATAGTCAGGAATGGATAGACATCCAAGGTATGTCTACACGAACTAGATCATTTTCTAGAATGAACTGAAGCCCTGACGGGTAGACGCCAGTATAGTCTAGCTCCTCTTTGTGGTGTATGAAGACAGTTTAAGAGAGTCTAATGTCCAAGACATTAGAACCTTTATCAGCCCGAATTAAAAAACAAATCAGTTGGTGTCGTACGAAGGCCATTTTACAATCTGATTAGACAATTAAAAAACATGAACTGACAAATATCTAATATACTATAGGAATAGCCATGGCTCTGTCTGTCTGTCTGTTCTGGGCAGCCAAAACAGCACAATCGTTTTTCATCAAACTTGGTGGAAAAATCGCAAAAAAATTCGTAGAGTGGAGCAAACCTGGTCCCATGTCAATGGTTTCTTTAGGAAGGCATTAATTAAACATTTTATTTACGATGGAAAACGATGCAAGTCTATGGACTTAGCGCACCCTCATTCGCTGTACGCTAGCCAAGCACGAGCATTCAGACTTTAACAGGGCACGAAGGGCCTGCGATCACTTGTAGCAACTATTGACGGAGGAATCATACACCGAGTTCGAGCATTGACCGATACTCAACAGTGAATGTTGGAACTCGGTCTCATACGCCATTTGTTGTTATTTTGTCAGGTTTTTCAACTGTCAATTCAAATTGTAAAATGTCATTTAATGGCCCTTGTATGTCAACTAAAAAAAACAAAAAACTCCATTTGGGCAGAAAGATAATGCACGTTTGCAAACCTCACAAGCTAGATAAATTATTATTTTATGGTTTTAATTCGGCGTAAACTTTTGTCATCCGAGTTGCAGTATTCGTTAACACCGTCTGAAGGAGGCCATGGCGATTTAATATATTTTAACAGGTTGTGAAACTAGTTTAATTTCACAATTATCAGCTGCTGCTGTAGACGGAGTGAAGGAATACTTATAAGCTCTTAAGATAAAAGGCGATAGAAGAGGAAGATAAAGTTAGAGGGAAGTAAAGGGGAAGATTAGAAGCAGTGGCTCAAAGACTATATAGTACTCTCTTTGAGGTGGCTTACTAGCCTTTCAGGTGTGTATTGTACTGGCGGACTTAAGTCATGTTCCGAGTCAAAACGACCAAGTGATCCTAAAATGCGAAGATTAGCCTAGCTACAAGTTAAGCGGCTTAACAGTACATAGTCTAGTCTTGTTTTTTATGGTGTTAGAAACAAACTTCCCCAATAAAATTATTAGGCTAAAAGCAGTACATACCACTGAAAATGATCGGAGGGGGTAATGAAAAGGTAGGACCAAAGTAGTAATTTTTCGTTAACCACCCATCACCCATTTTTACATTTAAAATATTTTTTCGCTAGTTTCCTTGCCATTTTAGAGGATTCCACCCAAACAATGTAGGCCACATTGGGAATGCGGAGTTTTGGGTGGTGGTGGTGTAGGGGGCTCTGAAAAAATGTGATTTTCACCAAAAATAAGTGTCAATTGTCTAAAACACGAAGAAAACTCTAAAAAAAAATCTTGAGATTTTTTTTTTTAAACTAAACTAGGGCCACGTCCTGTCCTAACAGGCCACGTCCTAACCTAACAAGCCACGTCCTGTCCTAACAGGCCACGTCCTAACCTAACAAGCCACGTCCTGTCCTAACAGGCCACGTCCTAACCTAACAGGCCGAATATCGTTTATTTTTTAAATGCCCCCGCTAAATTCAAGTCCATGCTTTCGTTTACCGAAGAGATCTATTAAACGGTAAGAGAAAATCGTAAAAAAGTCGAGTGCTAACGAAAAATGACCAAGGTAATTGCTGATCTGCTTGCTACCGAGTACATTGTGCCTTTTCTTGCAGCTCTAAGGCCATGGTCTATCTACTTCTGTGTATTCTAAGTGAACTACAGTAAGTCACTTAATAATCATTTTTAACCCCTTCACTAAGGGGGGCCCCACTTAATTTATTTGGCTACTGCCAGGCGATTTTTATCAGCACGGGATCCCATACACAAGACAACGGGGCACTAGAGCTGTTGTGGCCGTTTAATGTGTTATCTAGCAAGGTAGGTCGGTAGATAACCTATCTACCTACCTTGTTATCTAGTATTTAATAGGTACAGTCTTTCATTAATTTTTATACGAGAAGCTGTGACCAACTATGCCTTAAGGTGAAATCCAAAAGATGGTGCCGATAAACTAGTCTGCACTTTGAATGCCCCAGATATGCCTTACTTCGATTACCATAGGCGTTTTACCTACCTTCAACGTTTATTTGAACAAATAACAGGCGTAGTTACCAGATTATACGTTAAATCTCACAAGTTTTAAACTTTAAAGAGCCTTCACCATCAATGTTTCATTTCAAGAATGCTAATATTTTAAACTGCTTGCATCTGTTGCCCAGTTCTGTTTGAAGTTGCAGAATAGTTTTAAAACCTATGTCAATCGTGACACTTCACAATTGCTCGTTTCACATTGACAAACGGCCTAGGATCATTTAGAAAACACAAATAATCTAGTTAGTGAGGAGGTCTCAACAATTTCTAACGGTAATAAGTTATATGGAATACACGAAAAACACAAGCACTTACCTTCCCTTACACTTCTCAACCTGTCAGAGGAATAAATGGCAGTAGCCGGTATCGGAGCAGACAAGGAAAATTATGTATTTCAAAAGTTCTTTCCAAGGGAGGAAATTATATAAAAAATATTCACTTCGTAAAGCGTTGTAAGGCGACATCAGGCAGTCATTTTGGCGGTTGCCCTCAACAGATGGCGCAGCGGAATTATCGTTGATATGGCGACTATATAACGATTTTTACTTTTTTACTATTATCACCTGGGAATATTGTTCATTACATAGTATAAAACAAGAAACTAATTTACTTGATTTCATCCTCGAAATTTTATAGTAATTGTTGTTGAAAGAGAAATACGCATTGTACAGTATATATATATATATATATATATATATATATATATATATATATATATATATATATATATATATATATATATATATATATATATATATATATATATATATATTAAATAGGTGGTTTTATAGGTGCATCAATAATTTCAAGTACTGTAAGTGAAATCAGAAGGAATGGAAGTTTTCATACTGTATGTGGAGAATACGAATATTATTAAATCATAATAAGTAAATTACTTGTTTTCGGTTCAGCAGTTTAGTGACCTTAGGTGTAATAGGATTAAAATATATTTCAAATAACACGTGTTGGGTGAACCAATGAACTGAAAAGAGAGGTAAGGTTAAGGGGAACTATACTGTTGTGGAACCTATTTGTGTGTGTAAAAAATACGTCTATAGTGTATTTCTAGGCCCTCAAAAATCGAAACCTTGTTTTCTTATAACCGATAAACTTATTGAAATAACTATATACTCGTGAAACTTTTCCAAGGTACTTTTGACATATTTATGAAGTTGGTCGCTGTCAGCTCTCTGGCGCCTCCACTGTGTTGGGCTGAAGTTTTCATTTCATCCTTCTAGTTGCTCTGTCTTGAAGAAGTATAATATTACTCCTCTTCCACACTCAAGAATTATACCTATTGAGTTATTCAGATATTTGTATTCATGTAGGGTCGGGCCCGTTGTGATATCTGTTTGGGAGAGAACTCTGTTTTTTAATTCCTCTCATATACCGAGGCCCATTAAAATTGAGGTCAATAGGTAAGGCCTTTTAGGAATTAGGCCCATTAAAGGTAAAACCCATAAAATATGAAGTTTAAGGTAAATGTGGACCAAATTAGTTAAATTATGGTTGATCCTATTAGTACTTGGTCCTATCTGACTAGCGTTACCTTATACGACAATATGGTAAGACTATGAGTTCAATATTACCTACCGTTTATACTAATATACTGTACATGTCATAATCCATCTCCCAAATTTTGGTTGTTACCTTAAGATTATCCCAGTTTCTCGTTTATTTACCTGTACTTCATCGTCTTCTATTTCTTCCCATTTGTATGTATTTTTTTTTATCATTATTGAGGTAATGTTAGTTTATTTTTGTGAAGGATTTAGAGTTAGGATTTTAATGGCTATCTAACTATCTATCTATCTATCTATCTATCTATCTATGTTTAGATGGCTTGTCATGGTAGTTTGCGGGGGAAAGTGACATGTTTGTGGTAATTAATAGGGGAAGTGACTGTTTATGGTAATTTATAGGGAAAGTGACAATGTTTGTGGTAATTTATAGGGGTAGTGACAATATTTATAGTAATTTATAAGGAAAGTGATATGTTTGTGATAATTTATAGAGGAAGTGACTGTTTATGGTAATGTATGTATATGTGTGGAGAGAGTGACAGTATTTATGGTATTCTTTCGGGAAAGTGACAGCCTTTTGACAGCTTATACGCCATAAGTTGGCGGAAAGTGAAAGCGCTTTGCCTTAATGAGACCAGACAGGTGCAACAGCCGGCGGAAAGAGAAGCCACTTAATACTCTGCGAAAAGTCTGTTATTATTATTTATTCATTATTAATATATCATCAACTCTATTTATCATTGGCTGTCTTTTCCTCTGTTATCATTGTATCATTATCAGTTGGATCTTTTTATCATCATCATCATCATCATTATCATCATCTGTGTCTTCTGTTCTTATCATCATCATCGTCATCATCAATCATCATCAACTATGTCATCTGTGTCTTCTGTTATCTTATTATCATTATCATCATCTTTATCATGTTACTGTTTATCATACTATCAACATCACCATCAATAGGGTCTTCCTCTATTGTGTTATCATTATCATTATTATAACCATTAGGGACCAGGCGCAGTCCCTAAGGGTTAACGTTAGGTTTAATTTAGGTATCGTTAGGGTGAGACTATAGTCCAATGTGGCCCCAATTTCAATTGAGTCTCAGTAGTGATGGTGTTACTTGGGGCCTAGTAGGACTGGGACCCATTTGATTTTCAGAACTGTACACCGTTTTCCTCTGTCCTGTAGGAATGTTAAATGTGGTGTCCTTTGGGAATTCCTAATCTTGTTCAGCTCTCTGGAAAATATTGATTAAAATAGTATACCTGTCCCGTTGGTGATTTTATCATTTACAAAGGTGGTAGATAATGTGTGGCAGTGATTATGTGTATTGGACTTCTCAGGTGGATAAAGAACCTTAAATAAAACATGAAGCGGAATGATAATCAAAAAAATCTTTATTTAGGATCATTTCAGTTTACAACATCCGTTAAATACCAAATTTGAGCTTTTCTATAAACATTTTTCGAAAACTAAAATTCACTGTGTTCCAGTTGGTCATTATTATTATTATTATTATTATTCCTAGTTTCCTCTTTTTAATTAGGTCAATATAAACTTCTATTTTGTATCCCGAAGAAAGAAAACAAAATCACATATTTTACACACGTTAAAGATTCATAAGACTTACAAATACCTGAAGGAGTTTTATCTCTTTATGTTGTATCGTCTCTGGGTGTTTGGTGATGACGATAGCGTTGAGCGTCAACAACTAGACGCTCTAGCAGGTGCAAGGTAATTAACCTCATACATTTCAATTTTATTATGTCGACGACAGAGACATTACAGTGTATTAGTTATTGCAGCTCGTCCAATGTGAGACCACAGACAGTTTGCCACATAATTTACCAATGTATATTTTCCATTGTCTCCTCCATCCACTCATGTAATTTAAAGCTTTATCCTGTCAACAATATCAACACGAAATGTGACACGTCCTCATGAAAGTTAACAACAACAAAGTATAGTTTTAGATTAAGGATGATAGAATTCGAAGATGCAGAGAAAATAGACATTATATATAATTAACAATAAGTAAAAAGTAAATTAGCTTTGTTTCCAAAGTTTTTCTGCATTGTCGAACGTCAACAGTTTTTCAAGACGGCCACCAGGAAGTGTTGGTACATGTATATATTCTTTGAACAGACACATAAATCTACTGATACACTACATTGATAAACTCTCTGTTTATATTTTCATTATTGTGATTCATGTAAAGTAAAATATTAAATAGAAATGGACCTAGTTCAGAGAACATTCGTAATCACAATAGCAGACACAAGGAATCGACTGTCCACGAGCAGCACTGGTTATATGCACTTCGGTTCTCTCATATCACCTCAACACTCAAGAGGTTGGTATAAACATACACCATTCACAAGTTGTTCTTCCTGTGTACACAACATAGCACGTCAGCATGAAGCTACATAGACCTACGGCGGCGTACACCCATCAACATGGTTGGCTTATCAAAAAGGTTTAGGCCTAGTGAGTCCTTATACGACTAAATATATATAATTTTATGCTGCAGTCGCCTTACTCTCGGTATAAATTTTTACTATGTGTCACCCTCAAGGTTTGGTAATTTTAACCTGGCTTACAACAAGTTATTGCTTTACTCCAATACACTGGTGAGACTCGGCACCTCCGGCAGAAGTACTCTTGAGGGACAACAATGAATCTTGGTCATTTGAGAGACTGCAGTACAATTCTTTCTCCAGCGCGGGAGAGAGAACATGCCCGCCTCTCACAAGAACCATTTGGGGGAATATTCAACACACATCCCTTGCAACTAATCAAGACCCACTGAAAAAAGGAATACGAAAGATAATTTATTAAATGCGGGTAAAGTTCTCAAAATATCCTAATGTATTCTCAAAAAACCCTAATACAATTTTGACGGAGTATTTTCCAGGCACTCAGAGACTGTGGGAATATTATTTGTATATAATTGCATATGGAGTACTCAATAATTGGCTTTAATGTATAGAACAGTGTTTATATCTCACAGAGAGACAATGGAAAGTGAAAGTCAATGTAAACAAGAAAGATTTTGGATGTCAATACATTAATGTTTCGCCAAGTTATTGAAGAATTCTTGATTATAGTCTTAGTAGGATCATGTTGATTAAATTATGCGATGTAAGCTTGATAATTTTGTTCATTAAGTACTGTATGTGATGTTGTCTAAATTTTTATGTATATTTAATATAGTATATGGATTATTGTAAACACACTAATGTACGTAGTTCTCGTTTTTGTTTTTGTTTTTTACTTATTATTTCTGGAGCCTCGTAGACTTAATCATGTTTTTGTTTTCTTTTTTTGCCTGTCAGAAAGGACCACCGTGGAGGACTGACTATACGCGTAAGGCTAAGTAGATACACCACTTTAGGCTTGGATGTTAACTTAAGTGCACACAATGTGGTAAGTGACCGGTAATGTGTTTTAGATTAATGAAGTACCATTTTGAATTTTCGGACCTTTTTATTTGTTTACCTATATTTTTTTTTTTTGGATGTTCTTGTTATTCGTGGCCGCTAGGGGGATATTATTTAATTATCAGAAGGTATATGTGCATGAGCTGAAAGGGAAAGGGAGCAGGGTGACAAAATAAGACTTAGAACGAGATGGAAATTAGACTGAAGAAGTGTGTGTGTGTGTGTGTGTGTGTGTGTGTGTGTGTGTGTGTGCGTGTGGTGTTAGTATGAAGTGTGTGTGTGTGTCTGTATGTACAAGAGTGGTGTTTATATGAAATGTGTGTGTGTGTGTGTGTGTGTGCACAAGAGTGGTGTTAGTATGAAGTGTGTGAGGTATTGTACAAGATGACTTTGATATAAGGCCTTGCTACTTATTGCCGCCATTCTGGAGAGTTAAAGGCGGTGTGACATTGTAACATACAGCAGATTAGGCGGAATAGAGCGATGTTGAAGGGTTAGTTGTTGTTTCTATGACTTGTGTAGTGTTAAAAGAGACTCAGTTTCAGCCCGAGGGCCTGACTGGTAGCACCCTGTCATGTGTTGTTTTGATATGTGGTTCGTACGAGTGATTGTGGCGCTTGTAAAATTAAATGCTCTCGTGTCTCATGTTCGTAAGAAACGTGTAGGCACTGAGTTTATCCTCGCTTTTGATGTGAACTGCCTGGTTCTAACAAGTGTTGATGGTTCTTATCCCTCAAAAGTGCTATGATTTCATGGTTCTAGCCAGTCTTGTACCTTATTTCTGTTCCCTGGAGGATTTGTTTCTCTAATGATCTGCTGGTCATCGTGTCACTACAGCTCAGGTGCTGTACCAGCTTTAGTCTTCGACGCTAATAATGTGTGTATTTATAGTTTTTTTTAGAGACGGGTAAAATGTCTCTGGATATTTTCTTTATGTATCGATGGCCATTTCTTGCATGTGTGTTGGTTAAGATGTGTGTACTGAAGTGTGTGTGTGTGTGATTGAATATGTTTGGTGCAACAATAAGTTATATATGTTTGTATTTTGTTAAGGTAATTCGTAATCACTGAAAGCAGATATTGAAGACTATGTCACTGCTTTTTATGAAAACAATCATATGAAAAAAAAATATCGGATCTCATTTGTGAATGAGTCCTTTTATGTAAACAATCTTCTAAAGAAACAAACAAAAACACATCAGATAGTATTTATGAACGACGCTACTTTTATGTAAACATTCACGCGAAGAACTAATGAAAATGGGATAATTTTAATGAATGACGGCCCATTTATGTAAACAATCCCCTGAAGAAACAGGATCGTATTGGTTAGTTGAAAAACAAGTTGCTATTTGTTTGCTCCTTTACCTGTAAAGTGGACGCGTCATTAGTACCTGAGGGTGAAATGGACTTTAATAATTATCTTTTGTCTGACTCAGTTGACCTTAAGTACCGTGGAGATGGAGGTTAATGATCGATATTTTGGGTTAAGAAAAAACTGATTCTAAGTCTTGGTGTTGTGGTGGCGGCAGTGCTTCCTGGAGAGTATTATTGTCATATTTTGTCCTTCCAGCAGCGTGGAAAAGATAAAATTAGGTAACTTTTGCGTACTAAAGTTTTCATGACGTGTTAATGTAGCTTAAAGCTGAAATGATAGTTAACGGCAGCACTTCATTTATACAAAAGCAAAGTTTGCTAGTCTTAGGCTTTCTAAGGCCATTAGGGATTTTTCTTCTCAGAAAAATGTTTTGAAGAAAACAAACAAAAAAGTTCGTTGCCTATATATATATATATATATATATATATATATATATATATATATATATATATATATATATATATATATATATATATATATATATATATATATATATATATATATATATTAAAAAAAAGATTTGATGAAGTTTAAACAAAGGTGCCACACATACTGTATATACAATTCGTATTGTTTAAAGAAATTCTGAATGAGGCTTTCAGCTTCACGGATGCACTGAAATTACCCTAAATGAGGGAAATATAATATCTAAGAGTGGTGACTCATCCTCCACCAAGAATTAAAAACAAATCAGCTTAAGAGGCGACGTAGTTGAACAGGTAAGAAGCTATTTCAAGGTGTAGTTGTTGGAGGGGTGGGCAATGTCAAGACTCTTGTTAGAAAATGAAACATTCTAGTGAGGGTCTGTGTGTAGGGAGCTGTATATATATATATATATATATATATATATATATATATATATATATATATATATATATATATATATATATATATATATATATATATATGCACATGTGTGTGTGTGTGTAAGTATAAAGAGCTGATATTCGATGTAATATAAACTCGGTAGAGAGGGAGAGTCAAATGAGATTCTATTCAATTTTCTTTTGTCATGGAGAGGAAAAACATATTATTTTGTAATGAAAACACAAATTATATATTGCTGACGTATTATAGACAATAAGATAAGTGAATAAAAAATGGGCGCCGTATTCAGTATAAAAGTATGTGGTAGTGTTTACGGAGGTGACAATACTCAGTGACTATGCAATACAGTATAAGAATTAGGCGTCGAAGTAATTATCCAAGGAAAGAAATAAAATGATACAAAAAGTTTTGGAATGATTATGAAAATATTTGTTTTTTTACTTCTTTACTAAAATAAAATATTCAGCTTTCGAAATGGACTGAACTCCCTAATAAGTAACCATAAAAAAATTGCTATCACATATAACATTTACAGTAGATGGCGAAAACGATATCCGAATGTATGATGATTTCCATGACTTCACGAATATATATATATATATATATATATATATATATATATATATATATATATATATATATATATATATATTATATATTATATATATTATATATATGTATATATATATATATATATATATATATATATATATATATATATATATATATATATATATATATTATATATTATATACATTATATATATGTGTATATATATATATATACATATATATATATATATATATATATATATATATATATATATATATATATATATATATATATATATATATATATATATATATATATATGCAAGTAAATCACTGTAGGTGCGCGTGATCTAGGTATATGCTGATAACCACAAGGAAAGAAGAAAACAAGAAGTTCCCAAGCGCTTTCGTGTAATTCACATCTTCAGGGGTGAGTACAGACTAGCTGTACTAATCTGTACTCACCCCTGAAGATGTGAATTACACGAAAGCGCTTGGGAACTTCGTGTTTTCTTCTTTCCTTGTGGTTATCAGCATATATATATATATATATATATATATATATATATATATATATATATATCATTATCATGAGTGAAACCATAATCATAAAGGTATGTTAGCCTCTAGATCATTAGATCATCCTCTGCCAGTGCACACTAATTATATTTTTATGTGTTAACACAAGAAGGTACACCAGAGGGCCCCACCTGAGCCTGACCCCGGGGCCCAGCACCACCAAGCACACATTCAGTACACAGTACAGTACCTACCTCGCTCACACACTACCAAAGAGGTATAAAATATTACATTATGATCGTATTTAAATGCCTGCAAGTACAAAATCTTGCTCATGAAACATTAACTTCATCAGTCTCATCCAAGACTTGATTCCCCAGACTGACACACACAAGTTCACCTCAAACTAACTCACAAATCTTGATATGGAATTGTCACAAGATGATTTGTGATTGTTCTACATAAGTTACCCATATGAATTATATAAAATTTTCCTTTTTATTTATTAAAAAAAAGAAGAATTACATATAAGCAGTCCTTCGGCCAGATGTCTTGGTGACGAGTTAGTTGATACTGTGGTGGTGGACCTACACGGTCCTCCTCGCTACCGAAGAAGTCACTGTAGGGCGAGACAAAGTCAATACTAGTCTACATAAACGCACTTGGTGTTCAACCAGAAAGGAACTTACAAACACTTCTCAGCCACAGTATAGCGAGAAGGACAACAACGCATAACCTCTTCTGCTGTAGCAGAGGTTACGACGTGTACTTTGTCATCGTCTGTTTCAGAAAAACAAATAGTTGAAATTATTTGTATGAAGGCGTCTCTCCTCAGCTTAGACCTTCAGGGCTGGCTACGATTTGTGTTAATTTAACTGGTAAGTTTTTCCTAACAAGAGAATGGCTAGAATCTTGTATCGTAAAATAGTTTATAGTATCCCAGCTGCGTGATGATTTATTACTGGTCTACACATGTTTAGAAACTAACGAGAGAAGACTCGTGCTCAGGTGAGTGCTCTGTCGTGTGTACCTGGTGGTGGCCCAGGTCCAGGTTATCTAACCAAATACATGTCTCTAGTGGGAGGGAAGGAAGGACGGGCTGCACACTTCTCCCAAGCTTACACTCGCACCTTGGCTCTCGCTCCACACGTCGACTTCAGATGGGACAGGTACCTCTGGTTGTGTCTTCCCTGGTAGCAACCCGCCTCTATATCACTACACTTCGTGGACATTTGATGGCATTTGGTTTAGGAAGAAAAATTCCCTCCGGTAGTGTCTCTTGAAAGACATTTTAGTTTTAAACGCTCTAACTTATTAAGAAATATTTTGCTCGCATAACAACTGCGGCGAGATAAGGAATGTCGTGTCTCTCATATGGTACAAAGATAGCACCATCGACGGCACTCATTGTGTTGTGCACCTCATCTACACCAGAATGAGCACACTTCATTAGGTTACACCTATCGTTTATTTTCTTATATATATTCTAGCAGTTATTATCACACATAGGCAAAACACTTTTCAGGCACACCTAACTCTTTCCTCCGCCTGAGGCCTGGCGCCTGCGTCAGGTTGTGGCCCCTCCGGCGGTAGGTGCGGCCAGGCAAGGAGGGCCGCAGCGTCCTCCTGCCTCGCCAATGTCTCACACTCAGGCGCTAATGTTTCTGACGCTTTGTATCACTGGCTGTGACGAGGCTGTGGCCGGGGTGGTTCTAGCGAGGCTGTTGCCGTTGGCTGGCTGGTCCTAGCGAGGCTTTGGTCACCTGGGTCTACCTAGGTCATGGCCAGGCTGTGGCTCGGTAGTCATAACCAGTGATGGTCCTAGCCAGGCTATGACCTAGGGGTCCGAGCTGGGTATGGCCGGGGTAGTCATAGCAAGGTTGTGGTCAGGTGGTCCTAGGCCGGGCAGAGGCGGAGGTGGTAAGGCTGGGCAGCGACCCCCAGCGTGGGCGTGATCTTGGGCTGGGTGTGGGCGTGATGAGTCTTCCTGGATGTGGTGGCTGTGAGGCCCACAGGTCTGTGGGCGGCACTCAGGGTCCAACACATGAAGACTTTACGATGCGTACACAGCGCGAGTATAGTAAGATGGGCGGACACAGGGCGGTGGGCGGACGTGTGAACACAGGCTGGTGGGCGGACACACAGTGGGCGGATGCATGAGCAGCGGGCGGGTAGTAGGGCGTCAGTGGGTGACGGGCGGCACATGTGGGCGGCAGTGAGCAGACACATAACACAGTGGGCAGGACACCACCACTTGGCGACAGTGGGCGGGGCAGCAATGATGTGGAGGGCAGAGCAGTGTGGGTGTGGGCGGCGCCTGCCCCTGCTGGCTGCCTGTTGGTGGCCCCGTGACACGGCGCAGTGCTGGGCGGCGGCGGCCAGGCTTGGCTAGCGGACTACAACGACCACTGTGGGCCGCACACTTTACAAGTCTGTACAAGAAGAACAACAAATAACAACACAACGACAACTTTGCTTAAAGTTATGATCACAGATCAGACTATATCCGAAGTTCGTCCCTTGGAGGAACGCGTGGCGCCCGGCGAGGCTGCGTCGGGCGCGCCATCACAGTCAACCATCACACTCCCCGGGCTGGGGCAGGTCTTCCCGCGGGCCTCTGGTTACGCACACCCGCACTCCTCCACCACCATGCGGGGCACGTCGCGCTTGATGATGTTGGAGATCTCGTCCAGATAGATGAGGGACATAGGTGAGAGCTTGGTGGGCGCACAGCACTGTGTCAGGGCGCCTGGGGGCCGGTGCCGGCTCATCTCCTCCAGCACGTGAGAATAAAAATGGGTGAAGGAGTCGGGCGTGCGGAAGACACTGGCACACGAGCCTTTGCAGTAGTTGGCATTGTAACCACTGGGCGCTATGATCCAGTCGTCCCAGCCCAGTTCTTTGAAGGAGATATGAAGGTTCTGCTTGCAGCACATTTTGGTGTCTTTATCACACTGGAGGGCACGGCGAGAGAGGCGACGGGAGGGCGTAGGCGCCGTATGCACCACCAGGAAGGGCCTGTGGGAGGCCTCCGTGCGCCGTGACCCCGGCTTGTGCGCACCCTTGTGCTTGAGTGGGGTGAAGAGAGCCGCCTCCAGCTCCCCGTTGCAACTGCTACAGTCCACAAGGAGTCGCAGTCGTTCGCCAGGTCGCGCAAACCACCGCTGCACCGCCGACGTCACGTCCATGCGACACCACCCAACCCGCGAGCTGGCCACGGGCAACGACGCCACCATCTCCGCCGACGGACTCTGTAACAACACAAGACACTGTAACATTCATGATTGTCAAGTGATGCTGCGAGAGGCCGCACCATAGTCATTCTTACTTACTGGAATCAATGAATTAATGAGCATATCATACCACCCACTTTACTACTCACCCCCATACTATCGTTCACCTGGTCAGGGTGCAAAATATGTTGGTCGTATCTACCTGGACGACTAATATCATCAACATATTGGAAGACAATATTTTGATTTTACTCAGCAACTCCAGTTTACGTGTCGGTTGGTCTCAGGTAACCCTCTGTGATGCATCCAGGTTCATGTCTACCTTACGTGAATTTAAGGTCACTTAAATTCTTACGACTTCTGCTTGTCTATATCCCGAAAGTCTTAATAACAAAGGCTACACAGGCTTACTGAATCGTTATGTTACGAAAGAAAAATTAACACATAACCTTGTTAACCCATAAACAACCGTCACAGTGATGATTAATTACCGATTTACTGTTAGGTCTATAATATCTGCATCACCAGAACACATAGTCAGGTGACCGAGGGGATACAACACTCGCCTCCTGTCTCCTCAAATCCACCCAGCTGTGAATGGGTACTTAAATTTACAGCTGAAGTGAACTAATTTAATTGTAGTGTCGGCTTTATTGTGTACTATAAGCATAGTAGTGAGTGCCCCGTACCCACACTGTCCCATTGGCACCTACTTTCTCTTTGAGCGCGATAATATATCATTCCTTGAGAGGAAAATTTACTCGTTGTTGTACTAGGGTGCACCACTAACTCTTAACATAGAACAGAAACATACAGTACACTTTTTTCTGAGAGGGGGAATAAAACTAACTCTTTAAGGTACGAGATGTATAAGAAAATGGGATCTAAAGAGTTGTTTACCAAATTAAGAGATCTCAGTCGTTGCTGAGAGCAGAGTTGATGCACACCATCTAAATGTGGCTCACGGTCACATACAGGTGTACTAATATTTATTGAATTAGATACGTGTTGTCTTATGTTCTATTCAGAGACCCAAGGGTAAATATACTATGTAAATTTTGGAAATATGCAATTATTATTATTATTATTATTAATATTATTAATGTTATTATACAGACACAGGGCCTCGTACAAGAGGAATGGGTCTCACCTTGCGCGTGTCCTCAGGTGGGACCCTAAAGACCCAGAGTGTGGTCCTGGGTCGTGGGGGGTCGTGGTGGCGGGCTCCTGGTGGTCGCCTCACGTACACCCACAACATGGCCTCCGTCACCCGCAGCGACCCGACGTCCGCATCGCTCTGGGTAAACTCCAGTAACGTGTGGTTGTTCACTTGCGGACCTGCCGAAGCAAAGGTGTGTTACTAAATGTTGTAGATGGTAAGAGGATACACATGGAAAGAGTTAGTTGATAATAAGTAACCGAACAAAAATATTAGTTTCACTTTAATATGCATGCACAGGGGGAATATATCAATATTTTTACCTGTCATTGCCAATTGTCAAAGATCATACCTGTCTGGAAATTACTTAAAAGGTTTAGTACTGGGTAGTCGTTTGTGTGCCGTGATGAGAGTATGTGAAGTACCGTAGGATGCAAAGCTGTTACAAGGTACTATATATTTTTTGAGTTAGTGTTTGCAATTTATCAAGTTAGTACCGTTTTCTATGATAGCACTTAAGATAATATTTTGTTTTTTGTGGGGAATGTTTATATATCGAATTTGTTTATTAATTTTGTGGAGAGTTTGCCTTTAGCGAAACTCTTAGACATATGTAGAATGATAAAGAAACATTATACTCATAACAAAACTAGAGTATTTCACATGTAATTTTATTAATATCGTAATTCAAGGTGACGTTACCAGTTTTAGTAAGACTGACATTCTTACTTTGGGTTGATGAAGGTGTTACTTAATGACAATGGGTGTATGAAATGATCGTGTTTTTGTGAAGTGCTATAATATTGCACACCTCACATGACGTCGCTAATTATTATTAAGGACGACACACACAAATTTAAATGACTAACTTAAAAAGTAAACATAATTGTATATATATACAGAGAGAGAAAGAAATCCCAACATGAAAACAATCTGAATATAAACAATATACATTAAAGAACTGGAGTATAACATTGAGACTGATGACGTCAATGGAGGCGTGTTGCTACCCATACACCCATCGGAGAGCATCAATATATTTCCTCCTTTTTGCCTAATATTAATTCACTTGGTCTTAAGGAAGTGTAGGGAAAGTTACGACCTTAAGGGTGTAGTGTTGAAGCTGTTTGGTGAGTGAGGGAAGGAGGAAAGGAGGGAGAGAGGGAGAGAGGGAGGGAGGGAGGGAGGGAGGGAGGGAGACACACACACACACACTTACACCACCACCTCCCTCACTTGGCTACCTGGCAACATTCTGATACAGCTATATTGTTATCACCTCATAAATCTGTCTATAGGGATAACGCCACGTCCGCCTTCTGACGACGAGTGATTCTCCTCCTAGCTCAGGCGACAGTGTGTGGGTGGGTGGGGATCAGGTACTGCAGAGGGTGGTGGTAGTGGTGGTGGCGGAGGAGGTAGATGGTAGTGGTGGTGGTGGTGGAAGAAGAGGAGGAGGGAGAAGAGGAGGAGATAAGAGACAGTCTCTACCACCTTCAAGGTATAGGTGTGAGGATAGATGTGACATAAGAGCGAGTTCCCTCTAATGTTGATGACATTTGAGAGAGGATACGTGTCAGGTGCTGACAGTAAAGTATAGCTAGTCTATATATAGATTCCACTGTACCCAGGGACCCGGAGAAGTAGTCGAGCAAATCCTCACAAAGACTCAAGTCAACTAGGAGAGGTCTGTTATATATACTTCCCGCTCTGTGTATCTAGTAGTGGTATAATCCCTGGTAGTCAAATAATATTATCAATTATTTAGTTTAAGTGTAAGAACTGTAGATTACTTACACATAAATTAGAGACCCAGTGACCGCAGAGAAGCTCAGTAAGATTCTTTTGACAGTGTAGCGTATTGTCCCACTGTACTGAAAATTAAAGGCCACTTTTTTTCTTCTCGTGTGAAAATATAAATAGCCTTTGGGAATCACAGACTAGTTTATTGTTGGTTATCGCCTGATCATGATGGTGGCGTCGTAAGATTCTTGAAAATGGATTTATCTTCCCAAAGTATTTCTGTGCTTTGATACTTTACTCTCTCTCTCTCTCTCTCTCGTCACCTCATATTATATCGTTACATAGAGTTTTTTAAACAATCATTCTCTGCATCTTGAACCTGTTTTAACTTTATCGACACTGTGACCCCTAGTAACTAACAGTGTTCGGAGATCCTTTTTGGCTCCATCTGACCACCAAGTTTCTCTTTCCTTTTATATATATTTGTCTCTCCTTCCGAACCATAAGTATTTTTTTTCGACTACTTTTCAATTACCTTTTCCAAACCATCAGTTAGGAGCGACCCTCAGCTCCAAGAGGAACGTCCTCTTCATGACCACTGGGAGGGCGCCATCACGGTGTCCCTCCCCTCAAGGTCCCTCCCCTCCACGTCTGACCATAATAGTATGTCTACGTCTGCCTCCTCGTCTTCCCACATATCCCTCCAGACTTACGACTCCCACCGTCTCCCTTGTAGGCCTCATGTTCTTGGCTACATATTATCCCTCAGTGTGTCATTCATGCCGTGTTGGATTAACTCATTGGTGTAAGGGTCGTGATGATTACGCCACCTCACCCTCAGTTGTTTTTCTATCGTGTTAAGGGAGGCTAATCCACAATCCTACCACCTTCTTTACATCAGTGTCGATTTCTATGCCAGATTTATTATTCGTTTTTTTTTTCTTCTTTTGGATTTCCATACCTCTGTCTGGGTCCTGAAAGATGTTCCCCGACTTTCTACGTGTTCTTATAGAAGTTCCCCAGCTTTCTCTTATGTCCTTAAAGAAGTTCCCCAGCTTTCTTTCATGTCTTTAAAGAAGTTTTCCAGCTTTCTCTTATGTCTTTAAAGAAGTTCTCCAGCTTTCTCTTATGTCTTTAAAGAGGTTCCCCAGCTTTCTCTTATGTCTTTAAAGACGTTCTCCAGCTTTCTCTTTTGTCTTTAAAGACGTTCTCCAGCTTTCTCTTTTGTCTTTAAAGAAGTTCCCCAGCTTTCTCTTATGTCTTTAAAGAAGTTCTCCAGCTTTCTCTTATCTCTTTAAAGAAGTTCCCCTGGTTTTCTGACTAAAGAAGATCCCAACTTTTTCTGTGTCCTTACAATAGTTCCTGATCCTTACTTTATGATCACAGGCGTGTCTCCATCGAAGGCTTTACCCACACCGTCGTCTACAAGGCCAGTGGACCACTCAGTATTCCCCATCGTCTTCGTCCTGCCCGAGTCCCCTTGAGAGACAGGGCGACGAGGCTCCCCCCTCCCCTTGGAGTACTCCATCTAGATTCTCACAAAAACTTTAATGGATCTCGTTTTCAGGACGAATATAATGATCCCGATGGCTATTATTATGCTCATTATTTCTCTCACTTTTTTTTGTAGTAGTTATTGGGTTGTGTGTTGTTTTGTCTGACTGTGTGATGGTGTGGCCGTAAAGTAAGGCATGTTGTCTTAGTCTCTGGTGTTCAGTACATCTTGTGGGAAACATTTGTTTGTAGAAGAAAGTAACTCTGACATCTTGTGTGTGTGTGTGTGTGACGTCTCGCCTTCACATGTTTGTGGGAAAACCATTGCCGACATATGGGCGCCAGTCACTCTAGCGGTCTCCTCCTTCTCCCTCTTGCATCACCGACTCAAGAAAGAGAAGGCATCACCTATCAGCCAGTCAAAATCGTGTTTCCAAAATGTACGGTCACAATCCCGCGACTTTCCCACGATGTGGCCCATACAGCCATACAAGTCCCCGTCCACCTGTTTCTCGAGTTATACAAGAGAGTTTTATCTCAGAATTTTTAATTGTTGATAAAATAGTGTAATTATTAACCTTGTTAAGCGCTTAAAGACCCTAGTTGTTGAGGCGCAATCATAACATCATAACATCAACTTCTCCAGCACTCACCCACTCTCTCAGAGTTACTCTCTACTCGCTCCGCCAACAGCCTGTCTGTACAGCTCCTCAGACTCCACCACCACAAGTCTCTGCCTCGTATTCACTACATAATGGCTAAGTGATCTTTGTGTATTTTACCTCCATCATCTAAGTTACCTTCTCAGCCTTACAGTACGTGTTACTTTAAGACTTGGGTGATACGTGTGTACTCCATTATGTGACTTCCAGTAGGTGCTGCTCCTACCAGTGGCCTTTGTTAGTGACAGCACCAGGTCCGAGACTCTTACTTACCTACTTTATGAGCACCATTATACAGGACCACCACAGTCCTGTTTTGTATCATTTACTCCTTTAAATTATTGTACAGTTGACTATACCTGACGTAGGCCTGGCATCATGACCCGGCCTATCCAGTTGATGTATATATATATATATATATATATATATATATATATATATATATATATATATATATATATATATATTAGTAATTAAGATTATTTATAAGTAATTAACTGTTGATGAATGTCTAATTACCTTCCCCATACCTGATATCTAAGAGTTACTGTTTATTGCTTCTATGATGCTTAAATTATCTGGCAACACTTTAAGTTGTTCACGAGAGGAATTTCTAGCTAACTTTTTACGTACATATTTCACTAAGTATTCCTTGGATGTTCTGAGTAAATATTAAACTGATGAAGAGAAGTTTCTAATAAGTGACTGTTTGTGTGTGTGTGTGTGTGTGTGTGTGTGTGAGAGAGAGAGAGAGAGAGAGAGAGAGAGAGAGAGAGAGAGAGAGAGAGAGAGAGAGAGAGATTATGTTTGTTTATAATAATTCATCTCTATGATAATTTTCATCAACTTTTTCCTTCTCCTTTTATATAATTGCTCTCCATCTCGTACGATCCCTTAGATCCTTCGCACATCGTCGTACATCAAATAGTCAACATCAAACAACTACACAACCATTAATTCAACCCAAACATCTACCACAATTTAACATCAAGAAGAACACTAATTAACAGTTCACTGTAATTAACTCACCATTGACCCACCAGTTCTTATCCCCCTTGAATTATGGGAACAAAAAACGACTGCTAGAAGATACGATTGCCCTTTCTCTCTTGTGGGACGTTATCTTAGCGGTGGGCCAGACATCGTAGACGATATCTTGCCTCCCCCCCTCCCCCCATAACATAATGCTAGACCAAGAAGCATCTACGATAATTTATTACAACGGGAGTGATGACGGACACTTTAAGACTTCCAACCTTGGGCAGACATCGTTGATCCTCGCCACGATACA